TCGCTTGGCCTCGCTTTAAAGCCAAGATTTCATAAATGCGTCGCTTAAACTAAAAACTTTGACTTAAGCTAAAATTCACTCAAATTCAGTTAAGTCATTGGAAATTCGCTTAAGCAAATTTGGACAGGATACTCATGTTTGCGCCAGAACATGAGAGGATCCGGATCCAATTACGGTAGGTAGTAATGTGATTCACAAGTACTGCCACATATAGTGGCCAATAAATGTACTTGTCATAGGCCCACATGCAGCATATGTGTCAATAGCTCAGTGATAAATTACATCTTTATTTCTATCCCCAGTGCTGGCTCCTCTCCTCTCTTTTAGAAAGAAAAATGTAAGATGTTATTACTGTTTCCACCGAATAATATTTTATCTAAAAGATTCTACGCAAAAACAAGGAGAAAAAGCAGCCTCGTTGGATTGATTATATGACCAACATAATTATTAAGTAAATTTACTGCATACAAATCTTAATTAGATTTCCAATCGTTGAAACTCAGAATTCAAGTAAATCTTGAAGCTTGCGACAGAAACTATCAATACAGGTGGACTCTAAGTCGTTGCTTTGAAAGAAGTTCCTCACTCTTGCATGGTTTTCCCTCACTTCTCTTCCAAGCTCATTTCCTTCGTCCATCACAATTTTCACAGCTTTGCATACACTTTCTTTTGTGAACAAACCATCTTCTTCACCTTTCTCCACTTCCACCCCAACCTTCAACTTTGTACTCATCATTCGTGCATTCATGATATGATCATTACCCAGGCGGGGCAACAACACCAATTGACACTCACTCAAAAGTCCCTCAGTCATAGAAGCAGCCCCACAATGTGTTATAAAGCACCCAACAGAAGGGTGTCCTAAAATCAATTGTTGTTGTACCCAACCTCCATATGCAATCCCTCTTCCTTCAACCCTTTCTTTGAACCCTTCAGGAAGAGCTTCTTCAATAGACTCAAATCCTTCAGGGGGCTTAAGTGCTGCAAGAAATGGAAAACCAGCTAGTTCAAGACCAAGCAACAACTCTTCAAATTGATTTTGTTGTAACCGACTTTCACTTCCATAAGCACAAAAAATAACAGAACCAGCCTTGAATCCCCCAAGCCATGCAACCCATTTTTCCTCTAAAGTAGAATTTGGTGGTTCAGGTAACAATGGCCCTGAAAGTAGAACAGGCTTCTTATATACAGTTTCAACATAATCAGCATATAGCCCATCAAATTCTCTGCAACCTTTGAATCCAATTGCATCTGAAAAGCATGAACCTAAATGCAAACGGTCGTACAACAAAACACCACTACCAAACTCTAGTTTCCTTGTGACAACTAGGAATCGTAGTTCATGTGCATGAAGCTTGATGGCTGAATCAGGAAACCCCTGAGGTGGTTTCATGAGATCAACTTCAGTTAATTCTCTTCCTTGGCTCTGTCTTGGTCCATGCCATAGGTAAGATAGTAATAATGGATTACTTATCCAGTATTGTATGGATTTGATGCCCAAGCTTCGTGTCACGTTTGGTAACCAGTGTTGGAAATCGAAGAAAACAATTTGTGGCTTTAGTTTTTCTAGAAAAAGTTCAATGTCCTTCTTTGTATGATCCATAGCTGTGGCAATAAATGGGAATAAAGAGAAGGGTACATCTGCGGTAGTCTCAGCATCGTGGGGAAGGCCATCAACGTGAGGAACAGTGATGGGGACAAAAGTGATCAGGTGTGGGTGAAGGTTGAGATGTTGTAACTTTGTTTTTGTTCTTTTGGGTATGATGAAGGAGATTCTGTGCCCTCTTTTTGCTAACTTGTTGGAGAGGTGAAGATATGGGGTTAGGTGTCCCATGGCAAACCATGGAAACATGGCGATGTGAAGAGGAGTTGCCTCCATGGTGAACATTGAACTGTGTATTTGCACACGTTAATGCAAGTATAAAGAGTACTTAATTATATTTTTTGGTACACATTTCTTTGTGTTTATTTTTAATTATCTTTTCTTTCTGATTATCTTTCTTTCTGTTTTATCATCTATACGTGTTTTCTTTATTACCGTAAGTCTTTCTTCTTACACCCATTTCATATCTTATTTTAGGGTTATAAATGATGGGGTCCCATTCAATAAATGGGTGTTGAACTGGTGGAAGAAAAGGAGATCGTAAAAGAAAAGAATATAACGTGATAAAGAAAACAAATAAAAAGAGATAAAGAGAAAGACACAATTAAAATTACACGGGAGAAAAAAATAAATATATGTATATAATAATTATTTTATACATTAAGCAACTCATATTTTTAATTTCTAATAATCACTTTTTCTTACATTTTTTTTTTAATTTTTTTCTTTCTTTTGTATTACATCATAATTCAATCTTACTTTCATCCTCTTTTAGTTTATTTTGATTTATCTTTTCTCTCATACGACATAAAATAAAATTTTCCCGTACTTAATATATTTTTTAATGTTTTTATTTACTTTTCTCTTTTTATTATTTTATATTATTTATTATATATTTTTCTCTTCTATTTTATACTAAGCATATGCACTAAAAAAATTGTAGAAAATCCATTTTGCTCTTTTGATAGTAATGGCCTAATCTTCAGAGTTTAGATTCTCTCTAGTTTTTTTTATCTTCTTATTTAATCATTAAAATTATTATAGTACAAATTTTAGTTTAAATTATCAATGCTTTAATAATTATTAATGTTTTCATTTTAATAATTAAAAACATATCTATTTTCTATTTCTTTATCTCTTTTTTGATCCATGTCATATTCATTTCACTTTTGCTCCCTTCCTTCACCCTACCCCTTCCCTTCTTCCGTTTTCTAAGACCACCCCTCCCTCTTCTCTTTCACTTAACCCTCTGGTGCTGCTCTCCTGTCCTAATAATCTTGGCCCAATTCCTTCTCTCACCTGCTCTCTTCCCAATCTTATACCCGTGGTATTTTTTTTTTAATAGGAGAGACGATTTAGATAAAAGTGGTAAAGTGACAAAAATAAAAAAAAATGAAAATGAAAATGAAGAAATAGGTTACGAAAAAAAAATGTGTGTGAAAGAAAAATAGTGATATAAATTTGTTTAAATAAATTTTACAAGTTTTTAAATTAATTTTAAAAAATTTATTTAAGTGAATTTACTTTTATTTAAATAAAAATAAAATTAAATGTTTTGTTCTTAAAGAAAATTTGAATCCATAAAAGAGAAGTTGTAGAAATTTCATATCAGTGTGGCCCGTGAAAAATAGATTTAATGCTATTACTTTATTCACAAGTAATCTTGAAGTTTTTTTTATATATGATTTTTTTTCAAAATTTAAAAAATATAAGATTTTTTATAAAATTACAAATATATAAACTTTAAAAATTATCAATGACATTTTTTAGTGTAGCTATAGAAATTTAGAGATAAAAAATTTAAAGAATAATAAAATTTTAAAAGTTGTTAACAGCAATTTCTAAAAAAAATATTAAAAATAAAAAAATTCAAAAGTCATCAATTATAATTTTTCAAAAATAAATAAATATTTAAAAAGTATATAAAAAAATCGTCCTAAAAGTCGCCTGTGACTTTTGAAAAAATTATATTTTCGTAATTTTATAAAAAAAATTCATTTTTTTAAATTTTAAAGAAAAATTATATAGATAAAAATAATCCTAATCTTGATCATTAGAAATATATTATAATATTAAATTGTATTAAATAATATATGAATAAATTTGAATAATTAAATTACACAATGGACATCTCTGGAGTAAGATTAAGACATGAGAGGATCTTATCAGTTCAGGGCCACACCACTTTATTGTGGTCAGCATCGTGAGCAGGACCAGCGTCAACGTGTCAATGATTGGACAATGTAAGGATTTTTTTTTCCCATTCTTCTCTAATACTTTTTTTTATTTATAATGTCATTTGTTATTTATTATTATTTTTATTTATAACTATTTCATGTCTCTTCGTTCTATTTATTTCATATCAATGTTTATTTTATTAAAAATAAAAGTAAAGAAAAAAATATACAATTTTACGCACTCTTTTTCTTACCTTCCATTTTGTATTCGTTTGTTACAACTCAGAGGATTCTATCGCTGCCGTTTGGGTGATATAGTGAGAGTTGTTGGTTTACATGATTCATCTCCACTTGTGGAATATGTTTGATTTATTTTTAAAAATTAAAAAATACTTTTAAAAATAAATCAAACAGACTCTTAATTTCAGCAGTTGAAAATTTAGTGGTGCTATGAGAATTGAGATTGTTGAGTTTGAAAGTTTCTTGGACCAGGATTCAAGACCAAAGCAGTTGAAGGTAATTGTAGAAGTTAAAGAGGAATCTAGTTTTCTGGAGGATAAACGGGAGGAATCAGTTATAACTTTTAGAAATTGTATTTTATCTCTCTTTGAGAATGGCTTGAGAGCAAATTTTTTAAAATCTAAAGTATCTTTTTAATACAAAATAAAAAATATTTTAAAAAAATATTAATTACAATAAATACTTTAATAAGTGTGTTTAAAAAAATATATTAGGATATTACTCTTACTTGTCCTCTTTGCCAACTCGTCGGAGAGATGAAACAATGAAGTAAAGGATACACTGCTAAGCGCAAAGGAGGTGCATCAATGGTGAAGTGGATGTATATTTTTTACCTTTTTATAATATTAATTACTTTATCACGCTATTTTCCTTTTTTTTTATGTGTTTCTTAATTATAAAAAAATCTAACGCATCTTATATTTTCTTTCTCTCTTTTTTCCTCTTATCTCTCTTTCTTCTATTATTAAATTTCTATTTTAATGTGTTATTAGAAATTGATACAAATTTCTAGAATAGTCTAGAAAAAATACTAAAAATAATTTAAGAAAAACTAATTGTATCTTCTAGTATGTAGATGCTTCTAGAGAAAGTTCTAGAATATTGTAAATCTTCAAGTTTCTAGATAGTTCTAATATATTGAACCAAATGGTGGATAATACCTATAAATAGGCATGCTACCTCATTGTAAATGCAAATGAAGAAGAAGTAATTAAGACATCAATTCTCCATCTCTTGAGTCTCTTACTAAAACTTCTTCAACTACTATTTTCAACTATTCCTACTAACACATTTCAACTATCTTACTCATCTCACCCACACTAAAAACTATCATGTGTCAACCAATCATCTTCTTATTATAAATCAGAAGGCGTTGTGATTCTATACTTCATTTCTACATTAATATTAACCATGGAAGCAACTCCTCTTCACATAGTGATGTTTCCATGGTTTGCCATGGGACACATAGCACCGAATATTCACCTTTCAAACAAGTTAGCAAAGAGAGGGCACAAAATCTCCTTCATCATACCCAAAAGAGCACAAACAAAGCTACAACATCTCAACCTTCACCCACACCTCATTACTTTTGTCCCTATCACTGTTCCTCACGTTGATGGCCTTCCCCACGATGCTGAGACCACTGCAGATGTACCCTTCTCTTTATTCCCACTTATTGCCACAGCCATGGATCTCACACAAAAAGACATCGAATTTCTCCTAAAGAAACTAAACCCACAAATTGTTTTCTTTGATTTCCAATATTGGTTACCAAACGTGACACGAAGCTTGGGCATCAAGTCCATACAATACTGGATTGTTAATCCGTTATCAGTAGCTTACATGTGGCACGGACCAAGAAAGAGTCAAGGAAGAGAATTAACTGAAGTTGATCTCATGAAACCGCCTCAGGGGTTTCCTGATTCAGCCATCAAGCTTCATGCACATGAACTACGATTCCTAGTTGTCACAAGGAAATTAGAGTTTGGTAGTGGTGTTTTGTTGTACGATCGTTTCCATTTAGGTGCAAGCTCTTCAGATGCAATTGGATTCAAGGGTTGCAGAGAATTTGATGGGCGATATGCTGATTATCTTGAAACTGTGTATGGGAAACCTGTTCTACTTTCAGGGCCTCTTTTACCTGAGCCACCAAACTCTACCTTAGAGGAAAAATGGGTTGCATGGCTTGGAGGATTCAAAGCTGGTTCTGTTATTTTTTGTGCTTATGGAAGTGAAAGCCCATTACAGCAAAATGAATTTAAAGAGTTGTTGCTTGGTCTTGAACTAACTGGTTTTCCATTTCTTGCAGCACTTAAGCCCCCTGAAGGATTTGAGTCTATTGAAGAAGCTCTTCCTGAAGGGTTCAAAGAAAGGGTTGAAGGAAGAGGGATTGCATATGGAGGTTGGGTACAACAACAATTGATTTTAGGACACCCTTCTGTTGGGTGCTTTATAACACATTGTGGGGCTGCTTCTATGACTGAGGGACTTTTGAGTGAGTGTCAATTGGTGTTGTTGCCACGCCTGGGTAATGATCACATCATGAATGCACGAATGATGAGTACAAAGTTGAAGGTTGGGGTGGAAGTGGAGAAAGGTGAAGAAGATGGTTTGTTCACAAAAGAAAGTGTATGCAAAGCTGTGAAAATTGTGATGGAAGAAGGAAATGAGCTTGGAAGAGAAGTGAGGGAAAACCATGCAAGAGTGAGGAACTTCTTTCAAAGCAACGACTTAGAGTCCACCTGTATTGATAGTTTCTGTCTCAAGCTTCAAGATTTACTTGAATTCTGAGTTTTATTGCGAATGAGATTAAGATTTTTATGGAATAATTTTACTTAATCAATTATGTTGGCTAGATAATCACATTAAAATGGAAATTTAACGACAGACGAAAGCGAGAAAGGAAGAAGAGAAAGAGAGAAAGAAAATATCAGATGCGTTATAATTAAAAGAGCATAGAGAAAAAGGGACGATGAAAATGAATATTAACAATTGTGAGTTTGAAAATATAATAATTGGTTTATATATTTAATAATTTAAAGGATTGTTTAGTTTTAAAAAAAACGTTTTTATTTTTACTGTTAGTTACAAAGTTACTGTCATTTTTTTTTCTTTATTTTCTTGTTTTAAAGGTTTATACGAAAAATAATAAAAAAATGTATAAAAATTTAAAAATATTAACAAAATAAAAGTAAAGTAACGATCTTATAATTAAAAATGACAAAATATTAATAAAAAATGTTTTTTTAAAAATAAACAGTCCCATATATTTTTACAGCTACTTTTTTTATATTATTTTTATTTTATTTATCGCACTGTATTAATTACAACTCTATTTCTTCGTCTTTTTTTTCAATCATTTTCCGCCTTTTCATTTACTTCTTTCTTTTTATTACTTTATAATAATTATTATGTTTTTATTTATTTTATTTTATTTTACTAAGCATATCCACAGATAAATTCTATAAAAATTATATATAAATCATCAAAATTTAAAAATTAAAAGTCTTAAGAATATTATATGACTTAAAAAAAAAAGCATATAACTTATATATTTATATAACCATTTCTTCTCACTATTGTAAGAGGTTGGAGTTGATTATCAAGACATGGGGGCTTTGCATGTGATGGCTAAAGAACGAAAAATTGTTGTGTGGTTCACAAAATTCTGCGGAGATTACTCACATGACACAAATTTCTGCAGAGATTACTCACATGACAATGAAGCAGCGTAGAAAAGCTTAAACACAGTGGTGGATGCTTTTTCTAGAATTGACATGACATGTTACACATGCGATCTAGATTCTCCCAGGTAGGAATTGAATGAATAGTTTCATTTTACTTATTCAAAAGCATTAAGTAAAATTAAAAAAAAAATAAAAAATTACGGCAAAATTTATTTAAATAAAATTTTTTTATTTAAGTAAAATTTTTTGACATAAACTAATTTTGTTTTTTATTTTTTTTAATTTTATATTTTCTTTCTCTGATTTCGTATTTAACACTTTTTATTCAACTATTCTTTTAAAATATACTAGTTTAATAGTCTTTGCAATGCACATGTATCATGAAATATTAAAATATATTATAATATCAAAGACATGAAATTTAAAAAATTTGCATAATTATAAAAATAATCACATATAATACACTACTAAATATTATATTAATTATATGTGTATTTTAACAAAAATATATTTTACATGTATAATATTGAGTTAGAAAACATATATTGTAAATGCATGATATTGTGATAGATATGAAAAGAAAAGTAAAAGACATGGTAACGTTAAAAATAATTTTTTTTATAATTAACTGAAGAAAATACTATGAGAAAGTATTTGAGAATATTATTTTGCTATCAAGTGTCGACTGGGGAGGAGTATAATCGAGGAAGCATTGATGAATTATTCAATAAACAATTAAACATTTTATTTATTGAACAGTGCAACTTGCATGCTGCTTATAGTTTAAAGTAAATCTTGAAGCTTGCGACAAAAACTCTCAACACATGATGATTCTAATTTGTCGCTTAGTAAGAAGTTCCTCATTTTCGTATGATTTGCTCTCACTTCTCTTCCAAACTCATTCTCATCATCCATTACAATTTTCACAGCTCTACAAATGTTTTCTTTGGTGAACAGGCCATCTTCTTCACCTTTCTCCACTTCCACTCCTACCTTTAACTTTCCACTTAACATTCGTGCATTTATGACATGGTCAGCACCTAATCGTGGTAAGAACACTAACTGACACTTATTCACAAGTGCCTCTGTTATAGAAGCTGCTCCACAATGTGTTATGAAGCACCCAACAGAAGGATGACCTAAAATCAGTTGCTGTGGCACCCAACTTCCATATGCAATCCCTCTTCCTTGAACCCTTTCTTTGAACCCTTCTGGCAAAGCTTCTTCAATAGACTCAAATCCGTTAGGGGGCTTAAGTGCTGCAAGAAATGGAAAACCAGTTAGTTCAAGACCAAGCAACAACTCTTGAAATTGATTTTGCTGTAACGGGCTTTCACTTCCATAAGCACAGAAAATAGCAGAACCATCCTTGAATCCTCCAAGCCATGCAACCCATTTTTCCTCCAAAGTAGTTTTTGGTGGGTCAGGTAACAAAGGTCCTGAAAGTAGAACAGGTTTTCCATACACAGTTTCAAGATAGTCTGCATATGGCCCATCAATCTCTCTACAACCTTTGAATCCAAGTGCATCTGAAGAGCTTGAACCTATATCGAGACGATCGTACAACAAAACACCATTACCAAACTCTATTTTCCTTGTGGCAGCTAGGAATCTCCGTTCATGTGGATGAAGCATGATGGATGAATCAGGAAACCCTCGAGGCGGTTTCATAAGATCATCTTCAGTTAATTCTCCTCCTTGGCATCGTCTCGGTCCGTTCCATAGGTAAGCTATTGATAATGGATTAACTATCCAATGTTGGATGCACTTGATGCCTAATCTTCGTGTCAAGTTTGGTATCCAATGTTGGAAATCGAAGAAAACAATTTGTGGCTTCAATTCCCTTAGGAGAAGTTCAATGTCCTTCTCTGTGAAATCCATAGCTTTGGCAATAAGTGGGAATAAGGAGAAGGGCACTTCCGAAGAAGTTTCAGCATCATGAGGAAGGCCATCAACATGAGGAACAGTGATGGGAACAAAAGTGATGAGGTGTGGGTGAAGGTTGAGATGTTGTAGCTTAGTTTGTGTTCTCTTGGGGATGAAGAAGGAGATTCTATGTCCTCTATTTGCTAACTTGTTGGAGAGGTGAAGATATGGAGTTAGGTGTCCCATGGCAAACCATGGAAACATCACTATGTGCAAAGATGATGCATCCATGGCTGCAAGGACCTTGTTGCAGGTTCAACTACTTAAAGCAATTTGAGTCACCCTACAAAACCAGTTCAGCCTGTGGTATGTGTGTGTTTTATTTATATGCAAAACTAAAAGTAATTGAAGTGAATATCTTTAGTGTATCATACTAAATAATATAGAAAAAACCATCCATATAATATTACTTTTTTATATTATTACTTTTCTCTGTATTTTCTTTATTACATTAGTCATTTTATTTTACATATTTTCTTATCTCTCTCGGGGTTTGTAGAAAAAAAACCTGTTGTAAAAAATAATTTCACTTTTGAATTCAGTTATTCTCAGCAAGGAAAGGGAAATAAAAAGGAAAGCTTCAGAATGTCCTGATTGCTTCCGCTTTCTCTCTCTCCTCATATGTTGATGTGCAGAATTTTTTGTAGTTCATGGCTAGAGACAAACGATTAGTGGCTATGTTAGGTGTGCAGTTGGCACTCTTGATTCTTGACACCATTATTAGTGGTTTGCTTTAGGAAAACAAAGAGATAAAGTATGAAAATGTCATCATTAGTTATAAGTCATTATCTTGATTAAATTATTTTCATTTTCTATGTGTTAGAATATTCATCATTGGATACTCCTTAAGACTAAAGTTAGAATAGCGTTAAAGGAAAACATCAATGAACAATGAACATGATTTTGGGTAGTCTATCAGTTTAAAATATATACTATTTCTGTCCTTTTATTTTTTTTAGTTGAATAATTTTCCTATTTTCAAAATAGTGCAAATGTAACTTTTTGGATGATCTTCTTTTGCACCAAAGATTCAAATTTGTATTTTTCACTCAGAATTTTAATAAATTAAATTAATTATATTGTTCCTAAAAATCATTAATACAAAAATCAAATTTCAATCAAAATAAAAAAAAAATTCAAAAATTTCCTTTTTCAAATTTTAATCAAACATCTTTAATTTCTTTTTCAAATCTTATCAAAATTTTATGCTTTTTTTACTTTTAAATATTTAAAATTATTTTATATCTTTCATTTTTCAAATATTTATAAGAAAATTAAATTTAGGTTTAAATATAATAAAATCAATAAAAAATTTAAATTTACATAATTTTAGAAGTAAAAAAACTTAATTGATTCAAAAAATAATATAAAAACTTAAATTAAACATAAAATAAATTAAAAAATAAAAAATAAAATTAAGTCAATCCACATTTTATGTTCCATAGATATATACATCTGAAAAGAGAAATAAAAAAAATAGATATAATAAGTGATACGTATGATAGAAAAAAGAGATAAAAGTTAAAGTAAGTTCAAAATACTTATGTTTTTACGCTCGTAATACTTACTTTATTGTTAATATTTTTTAATTTATAATGTATATATAATACGTTCTACATATAATAAAAAAGAGAGATAAAGATTAATTGAAGTTGAAAATATTTTTTTATACTATTGTAAATTTACTTCATGGTTAACATTTTTTAATTTAAAAATTTAAATAAAAAATAATTATACAAAGATAGATGTTACTATTTAAATTGTAAGGAAATATGGACTGGGAGATTATTGAAAGGATAAATATCGAATAGTCAAAGTCAATAATTTGGTTCCGTTGCTTAGTATATTATTTAATTTTTGAAATTTAATATTATTATTTCTTAGGAGCAAGTAAGTCATGGAATGCATGACCAAATTTTTAATTTGCCATTGTCGTGTTGAGATTTATGTTATTGGGATTTTCATTTGGTTAGGTGAATAAGTATGTACTTAATAATGATCCCCATTAATTAATCAATCAAAAGTTGGACCCCAGGAATTTTTAATTATTACTCTTTATATGATAGTAGGTTAAATGATTCAATTTTTCTGAGTAGTAATCAATGCATCAAAATCCATTCTTAAATGTTTAAACCCGTGTCCTTTTTTTTGGAACCTGAAGTAAATAAATAAAAAGAAGATTACTGGCTAAGCAACCCTAGTTAAATCATAATTAAGTCAATGCCGAGCGTCATGCAGGAATCACTCTCACGTGTGATAACACCAGAGAGACAATTATCCAATCTCAATTTCGGGAGATTTCTATAGTTAATTTATATTTAATAAGATTATAAGATAACATCAACCTTTATCTTTAGTTAATGAATTTATAAGATACATTAAAATTAAGAAGATTAATCAAAATTAGGTTTTTAATTAAATTTTTTAATTAACAAGCTGATAGAATTTTTATGTTTTTCTCTATTAGCTATCTTGCTTGATTATTTGAGATAATAATAAAGAGAAAATTATAAGTAAAATAAGAACTCTAAGCGCATTCATAATCAATTCTTTTTATTGCTCTCATATGGGATTAACTGAGATGGTGATAGATAACTTGCTGAACGCGACCAAAGAAAAAAGCAGAATAGGAAAAATGAAAAATAAATTTTATATTAATTTTAATTTTTACTGTTGATATTTTAAAAATATAATGAATGGAGTAAATTTACTCATTTGAACTTCTGATATTACTCCTCGAATTTAGAAGATTTGTATCTATTGTCCTGAAATTATCTGTGTATTTATCATTGATATATTAAGTCTATAATGAATGGAGAAACAGTGGTGCATGGAAGCAGAAGCACAAACACTGTTCCTCTCTCCGTTTTTGTTTTCTAACAAATAGCCAAAAGCTACCCCTCTCTCACACTATTCAGATTACTCAATTTGTCGCGCAAGCAGTGCCCCACCTCAATCCCATACCACCCGTGAGTATTCATTTTTTACGTAAGTATATGAATAAATTTTAATATATTTTTTAACACACATTTTTTCTCAACTTTTTAAAATTAACTTTATCTAATATTTACTTCAATGTTATACTGAGATGGGCAACTACCGCTTTCATGTAATACTTTTCTTGAAGCAAAGTTGAATTGGCATGAACATTTTATCTTCAATATTTCATCCTATCAATGCAGTTTGCTGCTATTTTTTATATTTGCTCACAGTTCATTATCAACTAATTTAATTTCAATGCATAAACCATCTGTTTCATCTATATTTCTTAAACGCAAGTTTAAAACTCCAACCTTCAACATCAACATGTGATTTACTATTCTACCACTTCATTATGTTCATTTAAAAACTCAGGATGTAAACCATTCTCCTTGAGAATATTTTTTATTTTATTTTCATCAGCCGTGCGAGTCTGAATATATATACATACAAATGAAATAAAATATGTATCGAAATAAAAAAATAAAAAAAAAGACATGCAGTTTCTAAACGAAACTCATTCGGTTCATTTATTTAAAAACAACTGAAATACATTTGTTGTCATCGATCGACTTAGGCACTCGGAACTTGCACCAAATCGTGAAGCTTTTGACATAAAACATCAACACAAGAGGACTCTAAATTGTCTCTAAGCAAGAAATTTCTAAATTTTGCATGATTTGCTCTCACTTCTTTCCCGAGTTCACTCCCTTCATCCATCACAATTTTCACAGCTTTGCACACACTTTCTTTAGTGAACAAACCATCTTCTTCACCTTTCTCCACTTCCACCCCAACCTTCAACTTTGCACTCATCATTCGTGCATTCATGATATGATCAGTACCTAAGCGTGGCAATAGCACTAACTGGCACTCACTCACCAGTCCCTCAGTGGTAGAAGCAGACCCACAGTGTGTTATAAAGCACCCAACAGAAGGGTGTCCTAGAATCAGTTGTTGTTGCACCCAACCTCCATATGCAATCCCTCTTCCTTCAACCCTTTCTTTGAACCCCTTGGGCAAAGCTTCTTCAATAGACTCAAATCCTTCAGGGGGCTTAAGTGCTGCAAGAAATGGAAAACCAGTTAGTTCAAGACCAAGCAACAATTCTTGAAATTCATTTTGTGGTAACGGGCTTTCACTTCCATAAGCACAAAAAATTACAGAACCAGCTTTGAATCCTCCAAACCATGCAACCCATTTATCCTCTAAAGTAGACTTTAGTGGCTCAGGTAAAAGAGGCCCTGAAAGTAGAACAGGCTTCCCATACACAGTTTCATTATAATCAGCATATGGCCCATCAATTTCTCTACAACCTTTGTATGCAATTGCATCTGATGAAGTTAAACCAGTATAAAACCGTTTGTACAGTAAGACACCACTTCCAAACACAATTTTCCTAGCACCAGCGATAAATCGAAGTTCATGTGCATGAAACTTGATGAATGATGAATCAGGGAACCCCGGAGGCGGTTTCATGATATCTTCTTCAGTTAAATCTATTCCTTGGCTTTTTCTCGATCCATATCCAAGGTAAGCTGATGTTAATGGAGAAGATATAGCATATAGGACACTCTTGATGCCTAGGCTGCAAGTTAGGTTCGGTAGCCAATACTGAAAATCAAAGAAAACAATTTGTGGCTTAATCTCTCTTAGGAGAAGTTCAATGTCCTTCTCTGTACGATCCAAAGCTGTGGCAAGGAGTGGATATAAAGAAAAGGGCAAGTCTGAAGTGAGTTCAGCATTGTGTGGAAGACCATCAACGTGTGGAACGGTTATGGGAACAAAAGTGATAAGGTGTGGGTGAAGATTGGAATGTTGTAGTTTGGTTTGTGTTCCTTTGGGTATGATGAAGGAGATTTTGTGCCCTCTCTGTGCTAACTTGTTAGAGAGGCGAAGATGTGGGACTAGGTGTCCCATAGCAAACCATGGAAACATTGCTATGTGCAGAGTAGTAGCACTTGTGGTATCCATGGCTGCTTCAATTATTTGCTGTTTTGCGATTCAAGTGAAGCATATATATATACACACACACGAAGTATATAGGTGGTCATGAGGGTTATCTTGCAGAACACGTTGCATGTATCGCCGATTTGATAATTTGGATATACAACTTTTCCATTGTGCTTTGATAATTTGGAGTCTTGTAGTCACGGATTCTCTGTTCCACTCTTCCCGATTTGCGTTCCTATTTGGAAAATACAAAATTAGGAGTTGTGTCCCGTGTCTAAGTGTCTTCCCCTTTGTCCCAGCCTTCTAATTATTATTTCAATTTTTTTTTAATCTTCCTAATACATCTTTACAATATTGTGAATTATTTTAAAAAAATGAATTTAATAATTTATATTTTACTCTATGCACTGTGTTTGTAACTTACATAGTGTTTGTATTTTAAAAAAGATAGATGCTAATTGGCATCTTTAGAATATTGATTAAGCAATTAAAAATAGTTTTTATTAAAATATATTATAAAAATATTTTTATGTAGTTTTTAGTATACTGTTACTATAACTTTAATAAAAAAAATTAATATTAATTTTTCAATTAAAATATTAGTTAACCTTAGTATTCTCGTTACCAAAAGTATTATTTGGTTTAAAATGGAATATTTCTTAAATAGAAAATCATTTTTAAAACCTTAGAATCTCAGAAAATTATTTCTTTATTTTTTATTTATATATTTTCTGCAATCTCAGAAATGTAATGTTGGCAAGTCAGTTTGCCAAACTTAAAATCAGCCTCAAATCGATAATACCAATTAAAGCTGCCCCTTCCACAGAAAATTCAAGCACAGAGATCAAATTTATTTCTTTTCTTCCTTTTCACTTAAATAATGTTAATTTAATAAAAAAAAAAAAGTATGACAACTATGGAGAAAAACACATTATTATTTGAAAAAGAAGGAGTCTTTAAATTATCATTGGATTATATGGGCACAGAAGAAGACAGGAAAAATAAATTAATATCACACTAAATTAATTTCTAAAATTATATTAGAAATAACTGTTTTTTAAAATTATCAATATCAATTTTTTTATAATTTTAAGGACTAATTATTATTTTAAGAATGTAAGGAATCAAAATTATCACTATTTGCTAATTTTACGGATAGGGAATATATTTTAAAAGTTTATTTGATTAACGCTTAATAATTTAGAAAATTAAAGTAATATTTTTAAAATATAAAATACTAAATTAATTGATATTGATTGTTTATATTACTATAAAAAAGAAAATTACTAACTAATAACGCCTTGATTTACTTAGTTAAAGAATTAAAATACTTAATTAGAAAATATAAAGATATGTTCACTCTTATCAGTTTTTATACGACTCAACGTAATTCTTAACAAAAATTTACGAATGATATGATAAAAAAATAAATAGTAAATTTGACTGGTATACTATGACACCCACCTTTGAATCGAGAATTATGGTACGTTTGCTACAGTTTAATTTTAGTAAAATAATTGTTTATCTCTTACAAGTTTTCTTAGTTAGAAAAAAATTAAATATAATTTAAAAATGAGTTAAAATCAAGTGATAATAAACACCACATTTAGTAAAATAATATCTTAAATAATTTTTTCTTAAAAATAAATTTTATAAATTTAAATATTTGTAAATATATAATTTTAGAATAGCTATTTAATTATATTTTAAATAATATATCATTAATAAATATAAAATTTATTTTGATTAAAAATTTATTAATTTATCAATTTACTAAATTACACACATAAATATCATTTAAATCTAACTCTTTTAAAATAAAAATAAACAATCACTTAATCTCAAATTTTTGAGTATGCTCATGCAAAAGACAAAAAAAAATGATCAAATATCAGCTGAATAAATTCAAAACAGAAATTCTAAGTATTTTTACGATATAGAAATCAGATCTGTCCATCCATTTTCTTGTGTCTTTTCTGCTGTTTTTCAGTTGAATATTATGTAAAAAGAGAGGCATGTCTTCTATTGAAATATCATTGAATTATATTGGCATTGAAAAAGACAACAAAACAAAACAGAAAATATGAAATTTATTATGAGTTTTTCTAGAAAAAATTAATAAATTTTAAATAAAACATTAACCATCAATAAATTGGTTTAAGTAATACATATTTAGTTTTCTTAAATAAGATCCTGAGTTTAAACTTTGTAAATAAAAAATTATTTTAAAAAATAATCTTATTAAATAATAAATATTTTTTACCTGAACAGAGTTATTTCTTGTGAAAAAGGTAAATGGCATGGAAAAACTAAAACTTTAGTAGTATCAAATTTTTGCTCTTCTCCGCTAAAGGTCTTCCAACCCGAAACCATGGGCTTTCTTGTCGCTTATGTCTCTTCTGCTTTTTCTATTATGGCAATCATTTTCTGGGTGTCTTATCATTTGTCAAGTTGTTGCAGCATATCAAACATTTTCTGGCTTCTACGGATTACACCTGTTTCTATAACTTTTTTTATTGCGCGCGTGTATATATATTAAATAATATTTTTTTAATTTCTCATATAAATTTTTAGAAAGAAAAGTAAAAGTAATATTGTTAGAATCATGAAATAAAAAGTAATTAACTAAATTTTTTCTCAACATAAATAGGCTCTGATTCGAAAAGAAAGGGGTGGAGGGAACATATGTTAAGGATTATATCCAAATTAAAGGGAAAAGGTGTATAAACATAAATACCTATGAAGTGTGCAATTGGAACATATCGTTAAATCAAAACACTTTCAAGTTCTCAACACGTTGCGCTTTGTTACCTTCATCCGTAAGGTACTGTTTGGGAAACTTTAGTTCACATAAGCCTGTGGGACTTAGCTGCAATGCCATGAACACACAAAAGAAACATAAGTTAGAATCAATCCAAATTAAATATCAGCAGTGATTAAATTATTGAAGATGCATTGACATACTAAGATGAATTCATTGATAAACTTGGTTCAGAAAAGCTGCAAGTCATTAGGATCAGAAATGAGTCCAATTGACTCAACTCAACTCACTTGATAATAATTGATTCGATTCGAATTATCGTCGAGTTTGACATGTAAAGCAATTTTATTCGGATTAAGTTCGGCTCAATTTATGTTCATGAAGTGTATGGTTGAGCTGTTTTAAAGAAAAAAGACGAATTGTTGGGTTTAATTTATGAATTCCAGTGACGTAGAAAAACTAAAAGTCAAACATAAGACAACTATATGAACATCATTATAAGGCTAGCTTCAGCTTAAAAGAGAAAAGTCTTCGCTTTTAACTTCCGAAATATATCTTTTATTCATTAATACTATTTTTAAAAAAATATTAATTTATTAAAAATAACTAAATACATTTTCTTTCTTGAAATTAATAAGTCACTCATTTTACTGTCACCTTTTCTCTTTTCGTAAAAAAAACGTGAATTTAAGCCTTGTGCATGAACAAACCTCTGTTGAAAAAGCTAATCACATCATATTAAATTTCTCAAAAGATTAAAAAGATAAATTTTACATAAAATTATAATAATGTAATAAATTGTTTTTATTCTTTCAAGTAAAAGTTGTTTTTATTAATTTTAAAAGTCCTACCTTAAAGTATGTTATAGGCCTAACTAAATATTGGACTAATGATAAATATCATTAATCATACTTTTACATTTTTTAATATATTTTATACAAGAATTTGTGAACTTTGAGCATGTGTTCTGTGTATACACACAAGAACACATATGGAGTTAGTTCATGAAATAAACATATGGGACCCAATTTGACTCAAGTTCAAATCATTTAATTAAAATAATTTTTAACTTTTAGTTTATGAAGTAAGCTTATCAAGTTAATTGACAAGTTGTTTCTCAAATTAATTTTAGTTAGTTTGGTTCATTGCCTACCCTAAATCCATTACTCTAATAATGTATTGACACATTATTAATTTTATTGACAATTAATAATGAATCAGTGTTTCAGAAAAATGATTTTTCTAATATATCGAATTAATGACATGCATATGAAATTAATAAATAATAAAATATTATGATATTCAGTATTATAATGCATTAGATCTGCAATTTTTAGCAAAAAAATATTATATATAAATTTTTATTATGTATTTTCATACACACATGAGAGAAAACGTTAGAGGGAGATAATTTACCTTGGGTGAGAAAAAGATGATTATGAGCTTCCATATTGCGGGTAGAGTATTTAAAGCCCAGCATTGGAGAGATTATTTTCTTTTGCCTTTGCTTCAGTATTCTCAACTTCATCTTCCTCTGTGACCAACCAATTGTAAGGAAGGTGGATTTTGGGCCCAGAGTTATTGCAGCTATTTTCTACATAATCAAAGTCAATGTAGTGAACATCATTATGATCCAAATTTGTATGGGGTGGAAGAGGTTCTCCAAGTTGCATCCTTTTTAAGTAATCTATGTCTTGCTTGAATACACTGCTTAGAGCCCATTTATGAATCTTAAAACATGGGTGGGCTTTAAATGTGACATATGCCCCGGTTTTCACAAAATGGCAGTGTTGTCGAGAGACATAAATGATCCAAAGATGTCTTGATCCATCAACCTTGTCCAATTCCAAATTATGTGCCATATCAAAGCATTCTTCCGTGTGTTCACTTTCAAAAGAAAGATAAAATGGATGTGGCATTGATGAAGAAGAGGAACAACTTGGAGAACTAGAATCCGTACGACGATTGTTTACCTCAAATACAACACAAAAGGTAAAGCCAATCCAATTGTCAACCATATTAAAGTGCTTTATCCTTATAACTGAACCACCCTTAAATCCTTTGTCGAACCACCGTGGAATATTTTTCCAACCCCACGGAACAACAATGTCAAAGCCACACCGAAAATGAAAGGGTTCCTGTCACCACAAATATAATAATGTAAGTATATCAGAGTTGGAGAGAAAGAGCAAAAAGAGTCCATAGCTCAACTAATGTTTATGTTAGTCATGAAAAATGCTACTAAGCTTTCCAAATTAATAAAGCACTATCTAGTGCTTGTTTGAGATAGCTGGATTATTTCAAATTTAAACTGTTTAGGAGAAACCAATAGTTTTATAGCTAAGTTAGCGTGTTTAGAAAATCATAATAAAAATATAAAAAACTATTTATAATTAGAAAAAAAAAAAGATGATGTTTCTTGCCATGCTAGATTTTGAGCATCAATTATGATGGAATATTTTGATTATATACCTTCTCCCAAATCTCTTCTGCTCAATTTTTTTCTACTACAACAATTATTACTATAAATAAATGACTTCACTACCTCTTGTTTATATTTTCCTATATAAAAAGTGATTTAAAATGCATTTCAAACAAAATATGTTATAATAACACGGCTTTTCATCTAACATATCCAAACAAAAACAAGTTTTGCAATAATAAACTATAACAAAAATTAATTTTGATTCAAATTAATTTTTACAACTAATCTAATGACACTCCTAATGATTAGGCAAATATTTCATCCAAAGACAGAAGGAAAAAGATTGTAGAGTACGAACCTCAATTAGTCTCACTAGCCATATAAGTTCTAAGTCTTTGCATGGTGACATCCAATTCCAATTCTTGGACAACATATTGGCCACCTTGGGACAATCAAAAACATATAACCCTGACCTATGATCATGTGATCCAGATACCGTTTTAAAATACCTTCCCACTGATGAAGCACTACTTGATGGAAGCTCAGGCAAAACATTAAGCTCATGGCAATGAGACAAATTTAAATATGCTAGACAATGTAGCCCCTTGATAGAATAAGGCAGTGAAACAAAATTGTTTCCTTCTAGATTCAATCTTTCTAAACACCTTAATTCTCCAATAGCATCAGGTACTTCAAGTAGACTGCAAAACCCAATGTCCAAAAATATCAAGAATTCCAAATGGGATGAAGAATTGAAAGTTTGTCCCAGGGGCAGATTCATAAGTTTCAAACAGCCATATAAATCTAGAGTTTTAAGAGATATCATGGTATCAATGTTGTTAGTTACATTAACAAGATTTTTGCATTCTCTCAAACTCAAAAATGTAAGCTTTGCAAGAGCTCCAATAGATTCATGAACCATGGACAAACTTGTACATCCATCAATATCAAGGTACTCAAGATTTATTGCACTTGCAAAATCTGGCGTGTTTTCAAGTTTAGTGCAACCAGAGAGGTGTAGAACTCTCAAAGAACATAGATTAGATACACTGCCAAAATTGACGCTTTCTAGATTGCTACAATTTCGTAAACTCAAGAAAGCAAGTTTTTCAAGAAGTCCAATTGATGGATGGAGCTGTAATAAATCTGTGCATCCTGAAAGATCTAGCCGCTCAAGTTTGGGGACCCCAGAAAAATTTGGACCCTCTATAAGATATTTGGAGTTGCTCAAATCCATCCTTTTCAAACAGGGGAAATTCTGTGAAGAGAGAAGTAATAATCATCTATTATTAGCATTCTAAAACTTAAATTTAGATAAGAAGAAATTTCAAAATTGAGAGAGATTACACTTATATACTGATAGTTAAATGTATTTATATCAATAGCTGAAAGAATAGATTATGTTACAACTACCCCCAGCCAATCTAAATTAATTAATAATAATAATAGCAAAAAAATTTAATTAATAATAACAGAGGTAACTACACACTAATTGAAATCCATTGCCGATTGCCTAATAATTTCATTAATTTCACTTTATTTTGGTAAGGCTTCAAAATTAAAGACATACGGAAAGAACAAAAAGAAAACTTTTGTAAGCATCCTCACATGAACCCCCAAAAATATGAAATGAAAAAAAAAGTTAAGTTCAATTTTGGGTAATTATTAAATAACTTTAAAACGTCACCCAAATGGTATGTATATTAAAATAGATGGACTACGATAATAATTACTAAAAATGAAACATTATAATAACTTGCAATTAAATAATTAAATGGTAGTAGAAATATTGCACTGAAACAGTATGAAATTTTAGTATAAAGATTAAATTGTGTTTATACCTGCATAACATGCGCTACATCCTTCAATAACGGAGAACGCAATTTATTTTGAATTAAAAATATACTTAAGAGGTTCTTTTAAACTTTTTAAACATGTTACAATATTTAAGCAAGTTAATTATATTTAATTTTTGCACATTTAAAATTATAATGCTACTGTGTAGAACTAAAAAAGAAAAAATGTACGAGTGCAGTGCCACTTCTTTTGAAAAATAATTGAGATAATTGTTTTTTCCAGTATTTATTTTAACCAATAAAAGTGGGAAAAAAAAACATTAACATACCTTGCAACCTTCCCAAACACGTTCGATGTTACTATCAGGCATATTCAACTCCACAAGACCAAAGGCTGTAAAAAATGATGGCAAAGAAGGAAAGGGATAACCATGCCACATAAGATATCGCAGCTTTTGAGAAAGAAAATTGAGGCTTCCTGAAAATTTTTTATGATATAATATCAGTAATCTAAGGTTCTTCATTTTTGACAGTCCATCCACCCTACATTCGGACTCGGAGTCATCTTCTTTCTGATCTACAACTATGGCTTTAACATTATCTGTTCCCTGAAAAACAAAGAATATACATATTTTAAGAAAATAATTACTCAAATTAGCAGCACTTCTTCTTTTTTTATTCATTTAGAAATTCAAGATCTCTTATACGTTTTTATTTTAAATTAAAATAAAAATGATTTATAAATGTAAAAAGTAAACTTTTAAAAAATACAAAGGTTGCAATCTATTTCAAAAAGCATTACTCAACACTTGATAATTTTGAAGATATAACTCCTTACCGTTTCTGTCATTAAGACGTGAAAGAAATCTTGATAAAGCCATAATCTACTCCATAGTCCTGGCTCATCAGGATGTTGATCACGAACAATTTTCTTCCCCAATTCTTGTAACATTTCATGCATATGAATTTCTTGATCTCTAATAGTTATGAGTGATTTTTCAATGATTCTTGAAATTCCAATGTGAGGATATAATCCACAACAATCAAGAATTCGCTTGACATAGTCCTCCCTCTCCCCTTTAAAGAAACAAGCAATGTGTATAAATATTTCTCTTTCTTCATATTGTAGTCCATCAACACTTATTTGAAGTACATTCATAACTTTATTATGTGGATTATTCTCGAGTCTATCCAAGGCATCTCTCCATTGGGTAGCATCTCGAGTACACAAGAAAGAACCCACTACCCTAATTGCTAGTGGAAGACATTGGGCATATTTTAATACCTCAGGGATCAACTCTACACAACTACTGCTTTGGTCCTCATTTTTGAAGGCTTTTTTATAAAATAGTTCACGAGCATCATTATCATTTAATAACGAGATCTCGTGGATTACATTGGCTCCATAGACATTTAGAATATGCTTATCCCTGGTGGTAACAATCATTCTACTTCCTAGGAAAAGCAATTTAGGATTTATGGCCAATTCTTGCAATTGCTCTAATTGGTCAACATTGTCAAGAACTATAAGAACTTTTATGTTATGAAGCCTGTATTTTACCATTCCTGATATTTCACTAGGGCTAATTTCTAAATTTTTCTCATCTAATGTTTGACGAAGAATTTGTTTTTGTATAGCAACAATTCCACCATCCTTATAAATTTTGCTCACATTCTCAATGAAACAGCAAGCATCAAACTTATAAGAGATTTTATCATATAGAACAGTAACATGAGTTGTCTTCCCTATTCCACCCATTCCCCAAATTCCTAGAACTCGAATATCGTCCTTCTCTGAGCTTAACTTTAAAATGCTTTCTAATGTTTGTACACGCGGTTGCATGCCAATAAGGTCATCAGCAAATCCTGAGAATTTATGACCCAATATTTTTATTACCGCTTGAACAATTTTTTCAATCTCTTCGAACTCTGGCCTGGAAAAATAAACCAAGTACAATAAAAACCACTATAAGATAAACATTTTCATAGATAAATTAATAAAATTAGGACATTATGTTAAAAATTCTATTATTGTTTTATTACAAATCTCATTAATTCACATAAAATAGATTTATTTGACACATGTTGTAACATAAACAAACCCATTCTATGCTATATCATCTACCCAAGAAAAGAAGTATATTTTTCAACACGAAAAGCTTAATTGAACATAGAAAATGCTAGGAATGTAAGACAACAAAGAAAATAACATTAATACGTACTTATTCCTGACATCCCAACCAACTGAACTGGCCAAACCCGTCATAGCTCTCTCCCATCGGTGAACCTTGTCCGGATCATGTTTGAACTTGCGTCTGTGTGAAACAAAAGCATCCTCGTACACCCCATTTTGATATCTTACATCAGATGGATCCACATCATAGAAAATAGGGTAAACGATTTGCTTTAAATGTTGTTGGCAATCAGCAATAGCAGCCATTTCATCCAAACACCATGTTGAGGCAGCATAATCTTTTGAAAAGATAATGATAGAAACCCGTGATTCTGTAATTGCTTTTATAAGCTGTGGTAAAGTGGATTTTCCTTTTTGGAGCTTTTTGTCATCTTTAAAGACAAAAATACCTTTTCTAATGAAATGAGCATACAAATGATCGACAAAAGTGTTGCGGGTGTCAACCCCTCGGAAATTGATGAATACATCGTGTCTATAGTTTTGAAAGCTATTGGAAAACTTGGAAGAACTTGATGCTGTACTTCCCGGGCCCAACGGGCTAAGATTGGAGGATGATCGACGACCCAATAGGGCCCAAAATAGCTTCAAGAACGAGGATATCCAAGAGACAAACATATCAGTGAACGATTCGAAGTGTTGGGAAGGATGAAATGGGATTGTTGAAGAATGAAGATAAGCTTAAAATTGGGATTTGGTAAATATAAGAGATGAGAAATGGAGTGATCGAATGCCTTATCTTGAAGAATATCCAAAGGATAGTCATCTATGTGGTTCCTCCTTGGAAAATTCTTCATTTAAAAATATGCATGACTTTTCTCATGCCTTAAATAAGGGTATGATCTCTTCCTATTTTCCTATTCTGCATTTTAAATTTCAGATAAGGACAAAACTATGCAAAAGTCAATTGGTCACAATAGTTTTGCGATGGGTTCAATGTCCTGCCAGTTGTCCACGTATAATTTTATATCCTTCAAATATTTCTTTACAATATAATGTTTAATTATGTGTAAAAAATACATTAAATTGTTTTTATGTTCCATTTCATTGATATTATTTTGATTGTTTGTAAAAAATTGAAAATTAATATTTTTATTAAAATATAATTATTTTATAAAAATTAGAAGAAATTGTCATCAATTACTCTTAGATCAATCTGTTATTTTTCTTGTCTTGTAAGATTTATGGTTATTGTCAATAATATTTATTTATTTCCCCTAATTTTTCTATTAGGTATAGAGTATGAAATATAAACATATATTTCAGTAGAAATTGGAATTGTATGTGAAAGACTAATATCCTCCATCAAAATTATATTTTTACTGCTGAAACTTTCATATGTTTCATTATCAGGCTACCATAGTCCAATCGGTTTCACTTTATTTGGAGGATCAGGTAGCAGAACAAGCTTTTCAAAGTGCTCTTAAAAGTAGTCATCGGCCATCAAATTTTCTACAACTTTTGAATCCTATTGCATACCAAACCCCAAATTCCCTTTGTAGAACCATGCTTTGAAAGCCTGATAACGAAACACTTACCACTGTGCCTGCCACTGCCGCATCCTTGCTGGGAATGCTTTGTAAGATACTGCGGCTGCTGAGTTAACCACCATTATTCAAATTACAAATTACTCTAAGTTTAATAAAAATTTGTTGAAGAGGTGGAGATAGGAGGATATCTGTCCCATGGCAAACCAGGCTGTGTAATTAACGTTGCTATGTTCAAAGAAGGTGTATCCATGGCTGCCTGATCGTTTTGCAGCGGCTCTGTGTATGAAAAATAGAAAGAGAACGTACTATAGCTGTTTCGGTTAGGTAAAATGTGATGGTCATCTACTGCATTGGGTGCAGTGTGTTGTCCATCCTCTAACAGAGTGGTCCCATTTGGGGAACACCATTTCAATGTTCTGTTGACATTTGGGATTGGCCAAGTAAATAGTAAGTCTATATTTCAGCATATTTGTCATTATTATATTTATCCATTTAAATCAAATACTTTAATTCCATTTTATTTAAGGTACATTTTTATTTGGACAAATAGTATTAGTTAACTAAGTCGGTAATAAGTTAATTTAGTAAAATATAATCTTTTTTTTTCATTATAATCATAGTGAGTGAGGATGATACCATGGTGAGAAACCTAAAAGAACTGAAGAACAGAACATACCATTAAAGCCACAAAGTTATTTACATACAAGAGAGAGTCCAGCTTTATATCTAGCTTCCAGTAACTAATGACAACTTCCAAATTATAGCTAACAATTTCTAAGTTCAAAGGTTATTTTCTTGACGTTATTTAGAATATCTCAATAGAATGGAAGCTAATTACTGCTGCATATAGGCTTGGCCGAAAGAGAGTAATTTTAGCGCATATCATCTCGTCACAAAGGAAATCACTAAGTGTACAATCTAATATAGACTGGCAAGAAACATTGGAAATAATATGCTAATTCCTGCAATAGTTTCTTGAGGATAAAGATTTTGAACAACTGACAAAATATGTCAAAGATAATGACATGATTGGTGACTGTGTGATACCTTAGTTGCAATTATTTTGAACCCAATCTGTGAATTTTGGACAGTTTTAGCCAACCAGAATGGTTCTTGCTAGAATAGCTTGGAAACGGGTGAATAAATTCAACTAAATAAATATTACAGTTGGACAATTTCTGAAAGCATGGAAATCACCTAATTAAATCTTGGAGCTTCTGACAAAAGCTATCAACACAGGCTGATTCCAAATTGTGGCTTAGGAAAAAGTTCCTCACTTTGGTATGATTTGTCCTTGTTTCTATTCCAAACTCATTCTCATCATCCATCACAATTTTCACAGCTTTGCTTACACTTTCTTTTGTGAACAAACCATCTTCTTCACCCTTCTCCACTTCAAGCCCAACCTTTAAGTTTGTACCCATCATCCTTGCATTAAAGATATGATCAGCGTCTATCTGTGGCAGTGACACTATTTGACACTTATTTACTAGTGCCTCAGTTAATGAACCAGCACCACAATGCGTTATGAAGCAACCCACAGATGGATGTTCCAAAATCAGTTGCTGCTGTATCCATCCACTATGAACAATCCCTCTCCCTTCAACCCTTTCTTTAAACCCTTCTGGGAAAGCAGATTCAATTGTGTCAAACCCAATAGGAGTTTTGAGAACAGCCAAAAATGGCAAGCCCGTTAGCTCAAGACCCAACAACAATTCTTGAAATTGATCATGTGGTAATTTCCATTCACTCCCAAGTGCACAATAAATCACTGAACCATCCTTGAACCCTCCAAGCCATGAACCCCATTTTTCCTCCAAAACAGCGTTGGGTGGCTCAGGTATGACAGGTCCTGAAAGCAAAACAGCCTTCCCAAATTGCTCTTCAAGGTAGTCAGCATAAGGCCCCTCAATTTCTCTACAACCTTTGAATCCAATTGCATCTGATAGAATCAAACCATTGTTGAGACGATCATAGAAGAGAACACCACTACCAAACTCCCAATTCCTTTTAGAAGCAAGGAACTTTGCTTCATGGGCATGAAGCTTGATGGATGATACAGGATACCCATATGGAGGTTGCATGAGATCAGTTTCAGCCATGTTTGCACTTTGACGCAACCTTGCTGGGGATCTAACGTAAGATACTGTTATGGGGCTAGTAATTAAGTATTGAAAAGACTTGATCCCCAAACGTTGAGTCAATTTTGGTAGCCAATGTGTGAAGTCAAAGAAAACAATTTGTGGCCTTAGCTGAATGAGAAGAAGTTCTATATCTCTCTCAGTAAGGTCCATAGCTGTCATAATGAGTGGAGCTAAGGAGAAAGACACATCCGAAGTGGTTTCTGCATCTTGTGGAAGGCCTTCAACGCGAGGAACATTGATAGGGAAAAAAGTAATGAGATTTGGGTAAAGGTTGAATTGGTCTAATTTGGATTGTGTTCTTTTGGGGATGATGAAGGAGATTTTGTGACCCCTCTTTGCTAATTTGTTGGAGAGGTGGAGATATGGAGTTATGTGTCCCATAGCGAACCACGGAAACATGGTTATGTGCAAAGAAGATGAATCCATGGCTGCTTGGAACTATTTGCAATTTCTCTGCCGAATGAAGTAAAAGCATACGTTTTGAAGAAACAACTTTTATATCTTTACCGCCACTTGTTTTTACATTTATATTTTATTCCAAAATTTATTATATCATTTTTTTCCCTTCTTTTTTTCTAGATCATTTTACCCCTGATTTATTATATCAATTATTGAATGTGAACACATGATCTTTTGCAGATCCTTTGCCATATGCTTTGGAATTTAGTTTGAGATGATTTGATTCTAATGGTACGGTGAATGGCTTATTTTTTTGGTACAGATATTTTAGGATCCAAATCTTCTACCCTCAAAATTTCTGCATTCATTTCTCCATTCATCACTTAATGGTTCATTTTTTTAATATATTTTATTAATATTTTTAAATTTTATAATAAATTAAATAATAGAGGTCTATCTTTTTTTTTCATTTTAAAGTAAAAAAATGGACTAAAATATTATTTGCCTTAAATTTATTTTTATCTTCTTCAAATAGAGGACTGAAAAATTTTATAAACAAAAGTTTTGATTTATTTGAATAAAAACTGTTAATTTCTTTATCTAATTATTTAAAACATTTCTTAACACTTTCTTTTATAATTAATTTGAATAAAAATAAAAATAATTTTTATTTAATTAAAATAAAATAATTTCCAAAATAAAAAAATTAAAAAATTTTTCTTATCTTTTATTTACTTCTTTTTCCTAGCTAAACAAAGAGTCAGGTATGAAATCACTAAATATTTTTTTTCAAATAATTTTTAAGACTTCATTTATGTTTATTATTTATATAAAAAAAGTTGTTTAAGATTTTTTCAATCAATGTCTTGAAGGTATAAAAAATAAAAAAATAATCAAATGTTGAACTCTAATCAAATGTAACAATAACATATAACTCAATAATTATTATACTATTTTGTTATTGATATGCACTAATTATATAATTGATATTTTTATCATCACATATATTCAATACAATATATTATCTAGCACTTAAATCAATAAAAAAATAAAATTAATCTAGATATAACATAAATATGAGAAATATTTAATTTCTCATAAATTTTTTTTTTTAAAATCTCAAAACTTATCCCTCTTTTTATTTTAATTATTTTTTTTACTTTATATTTCTTTCAAATATTCTTTCATTCTAATATACAACGATAATAATTCCACTCATTCTACATTTATAAAAAAATAAAATAAAATAAAATTTAACATAATATTACTCAACATATCATTTTTTAAATAATATAATAAATATTTCATAAATAATTTAATCTATTATTTTATAGTAAATATCACTAAGTAAATTTTCACTTGTATTCAATTTATTCATCAAATTTAATCTAACAATATTCTCAAAGTAACAATATAAAAATAAAGCACAATTTAATTGTGATATATAAACCAATTAAACTTATTCAAACGATCTTAAATAAATTAACTAAATATTTATTTGATATTATTATTAAAATAATTAAATTTAATTTATTCATGTTTTAAACTAATAAATACTAAAAATATTAATATAAAAATATTACTAATCGAGTACTTTCACACTTCTCAAACTTAATATTTTAGATATCCCAAACTAATATCGCACAAATACTTTTAGTCACTATTTATATACTAATATTTTATATAAAAAAGTGTACTTTCTTCATTTTACTTGAGGAGTATTAGCACTTGGTATTGGCACGACCTCGTTAAGTTTCATTTGAACATTCTAAATAATGACACACAGAATAATTTGCACAAGTTTTGTTCCTATATGAAATTCTCTCGATAATCATAACAAGTATTGTTTTTGACATAGATGACACTGAGTTTTGTTTAGATAAAAGTTATTGCGATTGTGTCATGTGTCACATTTGTCTCTAACTGTTTAAATTTAATTTTTTTTAAATTATTATTTTGTTCTTAGTATAAGCAAAATTTAATAAAATTTGGATCTGTGTATTAATCTCTAAATTTTGTATCTTCTGCATATAACATATATTTTTAAAAAATTAAATTATGTTTCTTGTGTAAACAAAATTGGTAATAACTAGACAAAAAAATTATTTTAATAATTTGTGATGCGCCAGCTCATGCCACCATTTCCTCTGGACCGTTCACGGCTACCTCGCGTAGTGTGCACGCTGCCACAGTCCCAATAGAAAGGCCCATGCTCACTAATTCTCAGCTGGCCCCAATAGAAAGGCCCATGCTCACTCATGCTACTATATATTGTTATTTTTATGTTTGAAAATGAAAAAGAAGGAAATATTTTAGTAAAATTTAGTTTAGGATTGTAAACCCTAGTTCTCTTAGTGCTCTTCCGTAGTAACCCTAGAATTCATTAATATTCTCCATTAATAACCTTAACAAATTGTTGCCGAACAATTTCTCTTCCCAATTCTTGCAACATTTCATGCATATGAATTTCCTGGTTTCTAATGTTTATGAGTGATTTCTCAGTGATTATTATGTAGAGATTAAAAAGGTTAAAAAAACTACCATACACCGTCTGAGACAAACTTCTATTAATTTTAGTTACTCGACATGGTACAAGGTAGCAGTTTACAAGAACTATGGTTATTCGCATAACTGTTTTGCTAGAATAGCTTGACCATGAACTATAGGGAAAGATTACAACGGGATATTTAGTTTCTGCAAGTTTAAAAATCAGCCGAGTAAATCTCGAAGCTTTTGAGAAAAACTATCAACAGATGCGGCCTCCAACTTGGGACTAAGTAACAAGTTCCTCACTCTAGTATGATTTTCCCTGACTTCTCTCCCAAGCCCATTCTCATCATCCATCACAATTTTCACAGCTTTGCGTACACTTTCCTTTGTGAATAACCCATCTTCCTCACCCTTCTCCACTTCAATCCCAACCTTCAAGTTTGTACCCATCATCCTTGCATTAACAACATGATCAGTATCTAGATGCGGTAGTAACACTATTTGACACTTATTTACCAGTGCCTCGGTTAATGAACCCGCCCCACAATGCGTTATGAAGCAACCCACAGATGGGTGTTCCAAAATCAGTTGCTGTTGTATCCATCCACTCAGCACAATCCCTCTCCCTTCAACCCTTTCATTGAAACCTTGTGGGAAAGCAGCTTCAATTGTCTCAAATCCGATAGGAGTTTTAATAACAGCGAAAAAAGGCAAGCCTGTTAGCTCAAGACCCAACAACAATTCTTGGAATTGATCATGTGGTAATTTCCATTCACTCCCAAGTGCACAGTAAATAACCGAACCATCCTTGAACCCTCCGAGCCATGAAGCCCACTTTTCCTCTAAAACAGCGTTGGGTGGCTCAGGTATGACAGGCCCTGAAAGCAAAACAGGCTTCCCAAACTGGTCTTCAAGGTAGTCGACATAAGGCCCCTCAATTTCTCTACACCCTTTGAACCCAATTGCATTTGATAGGCTTAAACCACCATAGAGACGATCATAAAAAAGAACACCACCACCAAATTCCCATGTCCTTTTGGAAGCAAAGAACTTTGCTTCATGGGAATGAAGCTTTATGGATGAAACAGGATACCCAACAGGGGGTTGCATAAGGTCAAACTCAGTCAAGTTAGCATTGTGGCGCATCCTTGTTGGGGTTGTAGTGTAAGCTACTGTTGCTGGGTTAACAATCAAGTATTGAAAAGATTTGATTCCCAAACGTTGAGTCAAGTTTGGTAGCCAATATGCCAAATCAAAGAACACAATTTGAGGCTTCAGCTGAATGAGGAGAGCTTCAATATCCTTCTCAGTGCGATCCATAGCTGTCATAACGAGTGGACCTAGAGCAAAAGACACATCAGAAGTGGTTTCTGCACCATGCGGAAGGCCATCAACATGCGGAACATTGATAGGGTAAAAGGTAATGAGATGTGGGTAGAGATTGAATTGCTCTAACTTGGATTGTGTTCTTTTGGGGATGAAAAAAGAGATTTTGTGTCCTCTCTTTGCAAATTTGTTAGATAGATGAAGAAATGGGGTTAGGTGTCCCATAGCAAACCATGGAAACATGGCTATGTGCAAAGGAGGTGGTGCATCCATGGCTGCTTGACCTATTTGCACTTTGCAGCGTCTCTCACTCTTCAACTATATCAAAGCTAAAAAGCAAGAGATATATTATTCTTTTAAAATAAAGTTTACAATAACTTTTTTTCAGCCACATTACATATTTTATTATTTTTTATTGACTATAATTTATAAAGTGATAACGACTGCCTAAATTTATATATTATAAATTTTCATTGACAATTATAAAATATTACCAAATTTAATTTATTAATAATATTAAATATTATAATTTTAATAAAATTTATTATTTATCAATCAATCTTTTTAATATTTTTCTACCGTACATAATATAATATAAATTTAATTGAAATATATAAACTGTATATATGATTTAATTTTGTATTGTGATACCAGTTAAAATAATCAATTAATAATTTACATTTATAATATATTTTAATAGATTAATAGTATAAAAAATTATATTAACAATAGAAATAAAATTAAATTTTAATATATAATTATATTTGCATATAAAATTGTTAAATATCACATAATTTTATATTAATAAATTTTTAAAGTGTATTAAAAATTTTCGTTAAGAAGTTAAAAATTTAAATGTTTTATTAAAAATAAAAATAATTAATTTATATTTTTGTCATAATTTAAAACTTTGATAAATTATATTTAATATTTTTTAATATATATTCTTAAACACACATTAAAATTTCAACATAATACATTTAATAATATATATATATATATATAAGTATAAAATACTATGTAATATAACTTATTTTATATGATTTTTAAATTTACATAATTAAAGTTAAAATTTAATTAAATATAAAACTAAGAAATAACATATTATTATAAAAGTTACGTAAAATATAAAAAGATAAAATTTAAACAACTTGAGAAAATATTTATAATTTGGCAATGCTTTAAGAAATAACCGTGGTTTGGTGGTTTGGTACGCGGATTTGTCATTTTGTCCAATAGCGACAATATTTTAGTATTTAATTACGAAAGAATCTGGACAGGTGTAATTTGTTTTTGGCTCATGTCAAATGGTATCATTAAAGAAGATGCTTATGTTATTTTTTATATAAACAATGTTAATTTATTAATAGTAAGATATAACGTGTAATTTTAAATAATTTTTTATTTAAGTGGCTATTATTTAAATTAAAAATTAGTAAAAATCACTGTTTTTATATCATTAAAAAAATAAATATTAATTACATATGAAATGAAACAGCTTACGTGATTTATTTAGTAAAATTTTTAAATTATAAAATTAATAATTTTTTAAAATGATAATTTATATTTTAAATTTAATGATAAAATTTATTTAAATAAGTTAGAAATAATTTATTTTAATAAGTTATACTAACAAGTTTATTAAAATAAAATAATTTACGAGTCATAAATTATTTTATATAAATTTTTATAAGCTATTTTTAATAAATTTTAAAATTAAAATTTTTTAACTAGTAAAAATTAAAAAAATTCAGTGTTTGAACAAATTAATTTTCACAAAAATTACTCCAAAGCAATTTGATCTGACTTTTTAAAAATATATTTTATATTTATAAACATTCTTAATGTAATTTTTACCAAAATTTTCAAATATTATTGAGTTAATTATATTTTAAATTCTTCTGTTTTTTATTCTGTGTAAACATAAACTAGTTCACAAAAATTATACTTATTTAGTTGGATTGGTCAGTATATCATTTATTAAAAGGCATATAATAAAAAAAACATAATAAGTAAGTAATTTGACATTGAATATTTAAAAAATGAATGGGAACAATGATTCAGAGAGTGGCAAATTGACATGTTATTAAAATAATTTTAACTAAGTTATCAATACATCGCAATCTTTTGCTTTTGTCCATGATCGGGACAAACTTTATTTCATACAAGTTTGGGAGGGTGCAATGCTAATACAAACACTAAGGAAGGAAACAGGCTAAGAAAATCATATCAGAACAAGTGGTCTCAAAGAAAACGAATCACCAGTCCTAAATATAATTAATTAGATAAAACTTATAATTATTAAAACAATTACCATTAATTATACAAACTTTATTTCACATAAATAAGCCAGGGGACATAGTTGTCAACGCCAATACAAACACCTAATAAAGGAAACGTATTAGAATTAATGTCAATCCAAACCAAAGATCAGAAATCATGCATATCCCAATAGAAATTGGTCCCAAAGAGAAAAGAATCACCGACTCCTGTGAATTGTGATAGCAGACGATGCAAGCTAGCCAATCTTCAATTCAAGTTCATATGACTGTGTGTGTGCAGGAGGTGGTCCGAAAGATAAAATAATCGCCAACCCTTTTGAATTGTGACAATGAAGATGATGCAAACTAGCCAATCTTTACTGTAATTTCTCATTTTACTTCTTCACGTGCGCAAGGATTCACAGAACCGAACAAATAAATAGATTATTAAATAAAAATTGTTTGATATAAACTTGCAGGTCAACTAATTGAAGTGTCATTGCTTTAGAAAAAAAATCACCTCAATGTTTAAGGATGATGTTGTGAGCCTTCACTGTGATTGGCCTATCTCAAGGCCCATAATAGAGAGAGTATTTTCTTTTGCCTTGGCTTCAAAATTCTCAATTTCATCTTCCTCAGTAACCAACCAATTGTAGGGGAGCTGGATTTTGGGTCCAAAGCTGCTATCTTTTTTTACATTACCAATGATAAGTACTGGAAGGGATGATGAAGAGCATCGTCCTTCATGTATCTCTTGCCTCATTTCATTCTCCTCTACATCTTCATTCTTCTCTATATCTTTCTTCACTACCCTCCGTAACCCCCACTCTTTCACCACTAAACCTGGACAGGCTTTAAATGTGATAAGTGCTTCTGTTTTTACAAAATGACAGTGCTTCCTAGAGATAAAGATTATCCAAAGATGTTCTGAGCCATTGATCTTAGCCAATTCTAAATTAAGTGGCATATCAAAGCGCTCTTCTGTGCATTCACTTTCAAAAGACAGATAAAAGGGATGTGGCAATGGGAAGGATGTGGAATGATGTGAAGAACTAGTAGAACGATTGTTTTTTTGAAATGCCACACAAAAGGCAAATCCAATCCAATCGTCATCCTCGTTACAGTGCCCTATCCTTATGATTGAATCCCCTCCAAATCTATGATTGAACCACGGTGGAATCTTACCAAATTTAGTATCAACACAACGTGAAATAATGTCAAAGCCACACCGAAAATGACGGGGTTCCTGTACCGGATCAAAGAAAACACAAATCCGTATGTATATCAGAACAACAGAAAGATAAATTGCAGTAAGAAGTACTCCCTTGAGTTTGGCTATAGACACAAATAAGATATCTATAAAATTAGACAAAGTAATTATATATTATAAATTTTTTAAGTGTATTTTAAAAATATTTATAAAATAAAATAGTTAAATTAGTGAGTTATATATTAAATAATAAATATATTAATTTATATAAATATAATGGATGACTGTCTTGTTAATATAACTTTAAGAATAAATAAAAATATAAACAAATTAAAAAATTAATGCATATAATTTAAGTATTTATGTTTTATAATTAAGAAAAAAAATATTAATACTGTCTAGCCCGTAAGATAATTATCTCGAGTCCTGAATAATGATAACTTGATGAATATACTGTTCTAAAATTCCTTTTTACTTTTCATTTACGAAACAACATTTAATTATGGGAGTAGTTAAGAAATTATTTAAGCTCATGGCAATGGCACAAGTTTAAATATATTAGATTATCAAGCTTCCTATGTATTAGAGTAGAAGAAAAAGAGACAGTGAAAAATTGAGAAAAGAAAGGGGTATGGAGAGTGAGCACCTTAAGTAGTCTTCTCAGCCAAGGAAGTTGATATCTTTTGAACGTGGAATGAAACACAGTCAAGCAGTCAAAAACATAGAATCCTGACCTATGATCACGAGATCCTGATGCAGTTAGGAAATACCTTCCCACTGATGAAGCGCTTTTTGTTGGCAACACAGGAAGATATTCTAGAAGACGGCAATGTGCTAAGTTTAAATATGCTAGACATGATAGCTTGCTTATGGTATTAGGTATTGAACAAAATTTGTTTCCTTGTAGATTTAGTCTTTCCAAACACATTAACTCTCCAATGGCATCGGGAAATTTCATTAGATTGCAAAAGCTCAAGTCCAGAAAAATCAAAGCTTTCATATGGGAAGAAGAGTTGCGAGTCTTGGATCTGGGGGGAAGAATCTGGGCCTTATTGGTTAGTTCAGCATCTCTTTCTTGTTTCAAGTTGAATGTCATAAGATCTGAGCAGCCAAACAAATCTAGAGTTGTAAGAAATACCATGGTATTAATTTCGCTGGGTACACACTTAAGTTTTGTGCACTCTCTCAAACTCAAGAATCTAAGTCTTGTAAGAGCCCCAATAGATACATGAACAGTGGATAAACTTGTACATCCATCCATGTTAAGGTACTCAAGCTTTGAGGCCACCTTAAAATTTGGAGTGCTTTCAAGTTTTGTGCAACCAGAGAGATGTAGGACTCTCAAAGACCCTAAATTAGATACTCTATCATCACCAAAATCTAGGCTAGTCAGATTGGTACAGTTTCGCAAACTCAAGAAGGTGAGGTTTCCAAGAAGTCCAATTGATTGATGGAGTCGTGAGAGCTTTGTGCAACCAGTAAGATCTAGCCGCTTAATGTTAAGGCTTCCTTCAAAATTTGGTGTCTCAATAAGACACTTGGAGTTGCTCAAATCCACCCTTTTCAGAAGTGGCATATTCTGTGAAGAGAATCACCAACCAGTTGTTAGCATGTTACATTAAAACTTCATGTTCATTAATCCATCTTGATATGCTTTCAAAACTGAAATCAAAACATAAAAAAAAGAAAAAGAAAAAGTGAAATATTTCATCCAAATTGAACATAAAAAATTACATCACAGAAATATAGTTTAATTTTGGTTTATTATGTAAAAGATATTTTAAAATGCCCCCTTTAAAATTACATCACGTATACTAGTATTTAAAAAGTAGGAGTGGAAAATTAAAACTCAAACCTACCTATTTTTATTGGGATCGAGTTTATTTTCTCATTAGCTTCGTTTAACTTTTTTTAATATATTTTAATTTCTGAGAGAGTGTTTGTTTTCTTTCTTAAAAACAATTTTCTCTTTTTAAAAATAAAAAATTATTTTTAAAACACTAATCAAACATATCCTAAGTCAACTATATTTAATTTTCTAATTTTTAAATTAGTTTTCTACTAAAAATTTAAAAATAATTGTGATGTCACTTAAAAAAAATAATTTTTCATTCCATTATTTTCTTCAAACCAGTAAAACGGGAAAAAAATTATTACACTGTGTTTAGATAATGAAAAAAATAAGAAAAAATGCAAAAGAAAGATAAAAGAATTAAAGTTATTTAGTTAAAAAAAGAAATTGGAAAGAAACAAAAGTGAAAACCTCGATCTATACTTAGTTGTGTCCAAAAGTATAAAAAAAAAAGTAATTATGTTTAATGATATATATATATATATATATATATATTATGCATAAAATTTATTTTATTTAATATTCATATAAAAAATCTTGTCTCTTTTTTACTGTCTAATTTTTTTGGCTCTGAGATGAGAAATGTAAGCACAAAATGCAATGCACTTGATTTCTTTTTTCTTTACTATTTTTATTCCAAGCAAATTATTAAAAACATAATCTCTTATTATATCTCTTTTCATTATTTCTTTCTTGTTAATTTCTTGAGCTCCAAAGAAAGAAAGTACCTTAGGGCCTTCCCACAGTCGTTCAATGGCACTGTCAGGCATGTTTAATTCCACAAGACAGAAGGGATTAAAAGTTGATGGCAGTGAAGCAAAGGGGTATCCATGCCAAAATAGATAATGCAGTCTCTTTGAAAGAAAATTCAGAGTTCCACCAAATCTATTATCATATAATATCAGAAGTTTTAGATTCTTCATTTTCGACAATCCTTCCGCGTCCCACATGGACACATTTTCTTCTTGATGTAAAACTATAGCCTCAACTTTGTTTCTTTCCTGAAAAAATAAAAAAAAAGCTACTTAAATTAACCAGATTACACACACACACATAAATATGCAAATCTGAACATGTTACAGTTCACAAAACAAGCATTAATCAACACTGAATACTTTTGAAATCGAGCTTCTTACCGTGTTTCTCTCAAAAACATCATCGAGATCCATGTAACGCCACAATCTACTCCGCTCTGCTGGATTGTCCACACATTGATCATCAACAATTTTCTTCCCGAGTTCTTGTAACATTTGATGCATATGAATTTCTTCATTTTTAATGGTTATCATTGATTTCTCAACCATAATTAAAATTCCAATATTATATAATAATCCACAGCTATCTAGAATTCGTTTTACATAATCTTTCCTCTCCCCTTTAAAGAAACAAGCAATGTGTAAAAATATATCTTTTTCCTTACGACTTAATCCGTCAAAACTTATTTTAAGCACCTCCATAATTCTGTCATCTGGATTTTCTTTCAATCTATTCAAGGCACCTCTCCATTGGTCAGCATCACGAGTACACAAGAAAGAACCCAATACTTTTAATGCTAATGGAAGAGATTGAGCATATGTTAATATTTCTGGAATCATCTCCATACAGCTGCTACTTGGGGGACTTTTGAAGGCTTTTTCACAGAACAATTCACGAGCATCTTTCTCACTTAATAGTGGAACTTCATATATTGCTTGAGCTCCGTACACTTTCAAAATATGCTTATCCCTTGTAGTAATGATCATTCTACTTTCAGTATGTAACAATTTAGGATTTATAGCTAATTTCTCAAGTTGATGTACGTCCTCAACATTATCAAGAACTATAAGCACCTTTATGTGATGTAGTCTATTTCTTATAATTCCACATATTTCTAAAGGACCGTATGCGTCTAGATTTTTTTCGTCTAGAGTTTGACGAAGAATTTGTCTTTGTACAGCAACAGCATCTCCATCTTTATAAATTTTGCTTACGTTCTCAATAAAGCAACAAGCATTAAATTGATGAGAGATTCTATTATATAAGACAGTAGCATGAGTCGTCTTTCCTATTCCGTTCATTCCCCATATTCCTAACACTTGAATACCATCGTCCTTTGAGGTTAGTTTCAAAAGGTTTTCCAATGTTTTTACACGAGGTTGTATTCCAACAAGGTCATCAGCAAACCCTGAGAATTTATGACCCAATGCTCTAATTATTGCTTTAGCAATATTATCAATCTCTTTAAACTCTGGCCTGAAAGAGGAAATTTATGACGGCTAAATTATCTACTTAGAAATCAAGGGAGACTATTTTAGATAAAAATCACTTAAATAAGAATCACTACAGACACTTAAATATTGTAAAAGACAAAACTTTTGCTGATAAAAACACAATTTGCATTCAAGCAATAATAGAATAAGCATAATTTTGTTAAATAAGCTTGATTTGTAAAATAATAGTGATGATAATAGTCAAAACTTGCATACGATATACACAATCGAACACCACAAATTCATGATAATAATCTGAAGCATAGAAAGAGAATAATAACCTTAATACTTACTTATCTCTCACATCCCAACCAACCGAATTACCCAAATTCGTCATAGCTCTCTTCCATCGATCAACCTTATCCGGATCTTGTTTGAATTTCAGAGTGTGTAAAGCAAAGGCATCCTCGTACACTCCATTCTGTTTTCGTACGTGAGATAGATCCACGTCATAGAAAACAGGGAAAACGGTTTGTTTGAATTGTTGATGGCAATGAGCAATAGCAGCCATTTCATCCAAGCACCACGATGAGGAAGCATAATGTTGAGAGAACACAATTACAGAGACTCGAGAGTCTCGAATTGCTTGTTCAAGCTGTGGTGAAATGAGTTCTCCTTTTTGGAGCCTTTGGTCATCTTTGAAGGCAAAAATGCCTTTTCTAATGAGATGAGAATAGAGATGATCCACAAAAGTGTTGCGAGTGTCAATGCCTCTGAAACTGATGAACACATCGTATCTATAGCTTTTCATGTCTTCATTACTGCATGTCGAATCTCCATGAGAGTAACCTATGCAACAATACCCAACATTAGTAGCCCAAATATTAAATGAATAAAACAGTTTATTTGTAAATTAATAGATTTTCAAAGGGCTGAATCTCTTCAAGAGTGTGCGTAAGTATTAAAAAGAGAAAAAACAAGAAGTAAGGATCCTAGGTTGTTCCCTATATGGGCATAAGCTCTTGCCTGAATCGTTAGAGTTCATCTTCTCTCAACAAGTCCTTCGAACGTCCAAAATTCACCGCACAAGTGTTGTAGTACTGATTCGTGAGAGTTGAATCTGAATGGACTTCATGATCGCCATTGGGTCTGTTTATATAGATGATGACAAATTCATATATTCACATGCATCCTGCCGGCTAGAAAAATGTTATTCAACGTTGTTCCACATACGCAATTGAGCATCTTCTTTGCAATAGTTTTATTCTGAAAGGCACCTTTCTCAATTCTTTCTTACATTAAACGTAAATATAATAAAATGCAACCTAAACTTATTTCACGCCGGTTGTCTTTCAAATATCTTAAAGGGCTACCTGAACCTTCATGAAAAGAGATGTACAACAAATTAATTAAAATATATTAATAATGTAAAAGAATTATACTGTCATTTGATTTATTATATTAATGAGAATTGTTAGTTTTTATAATATTTAATATAAAATTATATTTACGGTATATTTCAATCAGTTAATAACGTATAAATTTTTATACTGACAATAAATTAAAATTAATATTATAAAAAATGTTGTATAAATTTATTTTAATAATATTTTGCTGTGAATGGAGGTAACTTCGTAATGGGTTAGCCGGGAACCGCTCTTTCCATAGACATTCTTTGATATCTTGATCATTTGTTTAGGATAAAAATTATATTTTTAAATTTATAATCTTGAACGACTTTGACTTGAATTCAGAAGTACAGACCATACATGAAAGGGTATATTTGGCATAATCCGAATAAATTAGCTTAAATTTTCAAAAATAATTAAAAGTTGAGAGTAAAAAGTTAGAAGTAAAAGCTGATAAGTTAAAGTGTCTGATAACATTAACTATTAATTAAACTAATCTAGTAACTAATGTAAAAATGAGACTGAGAGAGGTGCATTTTGATCACAATTAATATCAAGTTATATTGATATTTTAAAATAGTTACGTAATCTTTTAAATAAAATCAATTTTCAACGAAAGAAAGAAGCAGAGGATAATGAAAAAAAGGAGAGAGTAAGAAAAAAGAATGTTAAACAAAATATAATGTTGTATGTTAGAAGAATAAATTACTTTTTTTTAATATATAATAGGTATAGATATTTATAAATCTTTATCAAATATATGAATATCTAAAAGATAGTTAGAATGGATATTTTTGTATTTCTCAGTCTGCTTAACCTATCTCATTTTAACCTGCTAAAATGCAAGCTAATGACAGGTTAAATAAAATTGCACATCATAGTCATTTTTTATTTTTTAAAATAAAAAATAAATATTTATCAATTAAACATAAATTTTTATTAATATAAAAATATTTTGAAATATTAATTGAGTTTTTATTAATTTTTTCTAGTGTGTTAATTTTAAGTGAATTAACTCATTAATTTTTGGACCCACTAACATTTTTTTTATTTTATGATTTTTGGTGAATTGATCCTTTATTTTGTCAATTTATCTTTAAGGGTTGTTTGGAAATGGAGATTTTGAAAGAGAAGGAAAAAAATGACATAAATTTATATTTTAAATTTAATATTTTTAAAAAATAAAAGATATAAATTAATATATTAACAAAAAATTAATATATTAATAATATAGTTATCATTGTAAATAATATATAATTCTTTTAATTTAAAATTAAAAGAATACCATCGCTTCCCTTCCCTTTTGAAAATTTCCTTCCAAACCTACCCCTAAACAGATAAATTTAGAAATCTAGTTCATTTTTCTAAACAGTTAAAGCACGGACTGGCCTAGTTTATGAAAAGCTTTTAACAACCGAAAGAACAGGGTTAGCACATTTTATGACAAGCTTTTCACCGACCAGCCTATTTTTACACCCGTATCCCCACCTGGCTTCGCTGTATGTATAATTTCTTATGAACATAAGCTCTGCTGTAATTACACTTATTTTGCTTCATTGCCAGTTATTATACTTACTGTTCTTTTACTAAAATATGGTACTAAAAGTACCTTTACAACAACACTACCCAAGTCTTGATATACAATTGTTTTAAATTGCTGATGCAATCGCAATTGCGGCCATTGCATCAAGGAAAGGAAACTCTGATTTTTGTAACCGCATATCCCATTGCAACTACATCATCCACATTTATTTGCAATTTTTAAAATCTTGACACGATCATATTCGTGACCACATTTTAAAACACAATCAAAATCTTTTCAATGATTTAAAGCAATGGTCTGCATCCTAGAATTGCCACGCCAAAGCATTTTTCCTTCTATTCAACGCTACAACCATCAGCTTACCTCTGCATACTTTCACATAGGCTCAACATTCAGGAACCATCTGAAAAGAAAAGTTGAAATTGCCACATTACAAAAGGTCACGGAGAACTTACGTTTGGATGCGAAATGAAATACAGAAGAAAAAAATAGATGAAAAAAAAAAAGACGAGAAATAAAATAAAAATAGAGTGAAGAATATTTAATGGTTTCCGATAAGAGAAAAAAATGATAAAAAAATTCCACTTATTTAGATAAATATAAAAGAGAGTGAAAAGAAATAATTGTATTGCATTTAAAATTTATAGAAAATTAATATTAATCTAATTTTTTATTAATAAAAGTTATTTTATTTGTTTTTATAATTTTTAATATTTATATTAATATTTTAAAAAAATCCTCCCAGCCGTCCAGCCCCACATAAAAATAATTTCCTCCCTCTTAGTTCATACACATCCAAACACATCAAGAGACAGGGCATATGGATGAAGGGGGAGATAAGAAGTCTAATGTTCCCAACTTTAAGAAAAAGTTTAGTATGGTCTTATAAGTCATTCCAGAGTAAGCAACAATTCACGTACCAATAGAAACAAACTATTTGCTTCTTTTTATTTCATTTCTAGTGAGTCACAAAACAGCTAATGTAGATGTCTTAAAGAGTAACTTTAATTGCATACCCAGTCAGAATAAGTTACCAGAATTCCAGCATTTGGAAAATATTCCCTTCACATAAAAGAAACTAGCATTTCGTTTACAAAAAACACCTATTATTAATTCTATCTAATAAGAAGTCACCCTTACAAGTTGCAAGTGCTAGGCCAAACTGGTCTAACAGATAGTGTTTGGAATTATTATTCTTTTGGTGTTCCAAAGCAGTAAAGATTAACAAGTTCTAAATTTCATATCTAAGATAGTCGTAATCAAATTGATTCTACTTCATCTACCCTTCTTGTTATTTTCAAGTCAAAACTGACAAACAGGTTATAGAAACATTGACAACACGTGTGTGAAAATGAGATCTACTAAATTTATGTGTTCCAAAGAGAGGGGATACGTGCACACCTAGCAACATCATAGAGCATATATGATGATTAATTAGACAAAAGAATTACCTATCCTTGTGATAACTAGTCAATCTCTTTGTAATTTCCTCTCTAACTTCATGTGAGCGGAGAGGGGAGTAGAAGAACTAAATAAGAATTAAATTAAATTATTAAATAGGTGTCATCATATTAAACCATAATCATCGTGCACGAGTAAAAGAAGCATAATTACCTCAAGCAAGACGTGTGATGTACTTTCACAGTGATTGGCGTGTGGAAAGGCCCATACTAGAGAGATTATTTTCTTTTGCATTCACTTCAATAGTCTCATTTTCTTCTTCCTCAGTAACAAACCAATTATAGGGAAGCTGTAATTTAGACTCAGAGTTGCTGCTGCTTCCATGCACATCCTCAGTAAGCAACCAATTATAGGGAAGCTGGATTTTAGGCCCAGTGCTGCTGCTACTTTCATGTGCATAATCATAACAAAAACCATCTACTGGATCAATAAAATTTGGATCAAAGACATCTTGCTCGAATACCATGCGTAAGCCCCATTCTTTTATCTTCAAACCTGGTTGAGCTTTAAATGAGATGGATGCTCCTGTTGTCACAAAGTGGCAGTGTGGCCGAGATATATAGATTAGCCAAAGATGTTTTGAATGTAAGCCATCTACCTTGTTCAGGTCTAAACGAAGTGGCATGTAAAGGCTTTCTTCCACGTGTTCACTTTCAAAAGAAAGATAAAAAAGAGGTGAAGAACCCATTATGGGATGATCATATTTTTCAAAAGCTGCACAAAAGGCAACGCCAAGCCACTGATCGTTCATAATGTTTGCTACCCTTACGCTTAAACCTCCCATATATTGATGGGAAAACCACGGTGGAACTTCATTCCCAGGTATGACAATGTCAAAGCCGCATCGGAAATGACAAGGATTCTGGTACCAGTGCAAAAAATAACAGATATATTAGAAGTAGAGGATAGGGAATCGGTGCAACCGAAAATGGTGCTATTAGTGCAGTCGAGTGCAGAGTACTGGTACTAATTTGCATTTTTAACTATATAATTTGTACAAATTAAGAAATACTGGAACTCTACATTCGACTGCACCAAACAACACCCTTTTCCACAGCATAACAAGAGGGGAAGAGAGAGAGAGGAGGCATGAGGAGTATGCACCTTAACAAGTCTTTGTAGCCACCAAAAACCCAAGTCTTGACTTTGTTTTAGATAGTCGAAAAAGGGACAATCAAAAATATATAAGCCTGACCTATGATTATGAGATCCAGATACCGTTTTAAAATACCTTCCCCCTAATGAAGTAGCATGAGGAAGCGCAGGTAAAACTTGAAGATTGTTGCAGTGCGCTATGTTTAAATATGCCAGACGCGAAAGCCTACCCATATGTGGTAATGTAACAAAGTTGTTACCCTCTAGATTTAGCCTTTCTAGACACATTAAGTCTCCAATACCATTGGAGACTATATTTAGGTTGCAGAAGCCTAGGTCCAAAAAAATCAAGTATTCCAGACATTGAGAAGGCATGAGTTCTGCAGACACAGATATCTGTCCCAACAAGGGAAGCTTCTCAAGTTTTAAGCAGCCGCATAAATCTAGAGTTATAAGCGATGTCATACTATTCACGCTTTGGGGTATACTAAAAACATTTATGCAGTCTCTCAAACTCAAGAATTTAAGTTTTGTAAGATTCCCAATAGATTGATCAATCAATGCTAAACTCATACATTGATCAATGTCAAGGTACTCGAGATTTGAGAATTCTGTAAAATCTGGCGTGCTTTCAAGTGCTACGCAGCCAGAGAGGTGTAGAACTCTCAGAGAACATAAATTAAATTCAGTGCCAATGTTCAGGCTGGCCAGATTGCTACACCCTTCCAAACTCAAAAAATCAAGTTTTTCAAGAAGTCCAATTGATGGATGGACCCGCAGTAGATTTGTGCATCCAGTGAGATCTAGCCATTCAAGTCTTCGGCATCCTTCAAAATTTGGCGTCTCAAAAAGATATTTGGACTTGCTTAGATCCAACCTTTTCAAACAGGGGAGATACTGCAAAAATAGAGTTAGCTACTAACGGTTAACACGCTGTATTAAATGTCATTAATTCACTTTGGTATGCCTTCGAGAATGGAGTGAAAACTTTAAAATTAAATCTTCTATGCAGTTTTCATATAGAATTTATTCTTAATATTTTTCACTTGTTATGTGATAGAGAGTTCAATAAACAAAAACCAAATAATTGAAAAATGGTATTGTGTGTTTATTAATTAATTATATCTCTATACTATTAAGAAAATATACACAGAGTAATCTATATGAATAAAAAGTATTATAACATAAAAAGGAGAATATGTATTGCAATTCTCAAGTATCTATTGTCACTCATGTTTAAGAAATTTTTATATAAAATACCCCTAGTATTAATATAGTTACAAGAGGAAGAAAAAAGTTTATTTTAGACAAAAATTACTTAAATTAGAGTGATAACAGACACACAAAAAAACAATGTTGGTGAAACTCTTATCTCGTGGATTCTTTTCTTTTATCAAATGGTATTGAATGATTATTCAGTATTCATCATTGTATGTGGGTTTTAAAAAAAAGGAATGCATTCATTTGGTACAATGCATCAAATGAAAGTGTTGTTATTATTTTGTAAGTTTAATTCATTAAATAATAAAGTAACACACCAGTCGATAACAGTATAATATAAGCCTACACAATCATATAATTGGAATTTGATAAGAAAAATAAAGATAAGGACTTCAGTCGGCACGAAAATTGTGAGAGTAATAGAGATATTTCATTAGTCTCACAGTTGCGCTCATAATGGTAATCGATTAAAGAGAAAACACAATAATAAATAAAAGAAATACACCATTAAAGTACCTTGAAGCCTTGCCATAGTTGCCGGATGTTGCTATTGGGCAAATTCAGTTCAACAAGATGATAGGGCTCAAAATTTAAAGGCAAAGAAGTAAAAGGGTAACCATGCCACAGAAGATACTTCAGACTGTTAGAAAGAAAATTAAGGCTTCCAGAAAAATTCTTATCATATAGTATAAGAATTATAAGGCCCCTCATTATAGACAATCCTTCAGCCCTCAACTGATAGTACTCAGGGATATCCTTTTTTTTATCTACAACTATGGCTTTAACCTTGTTTGTTCCCTAGAAAAATAAGAACAAACATGTTTACGATTGGGAAAAGAAAACAAATTACTTGAATCAAGTAATCAACTGGACTTCTTTTTAATAGAAATAAAAATATCTATATATCTTTATTCAATAAATAAAATGCTAAACCTTTCTAATGAATGAAAGGAAGATCATAGAATTTAGATTTGGAAGATAACTTATTACCGTTCCTGTCATCAAGACATCTTGAAAATCTTGGTAAAGCCAAAGCCTACTCCACGACCCTGGATCTTTGGGAAATTGTTGCCGAACAATTTCCTTTCCCAATTCTTGCAACATTTCATGCATATGAATTTCCCGGTTTCTAATGTTTATGAGTGATTTCTCAGTGATAACTGGAATTCCAATGTGAGGGTGTAATCCACAAGCATGTAGAATTCGCTTTACATAATCCTTCTTCTCCCCATTAAAGAAACAAGCAATGTGCAGAAATATTTCTTTTTCCTCTGGCTGTAATCCCTCAAAACTCATTTGAAGCACATTCATAATTTTGTTGTCTGGATTACTCCTCAGCCTATCCAAGGCATCTCTCCATTGGATAGCATCTCGGGTACACAAGAAAGAACCCACTACTCTAATTGCTAACGGAAGACGTTCAGTATACTTGAGTACCTTCGGAATCATCTCCATATGCCTGTTGGTGGGATCATCAATTTTGAAGGCTTTCTTATAAAAGAGTTGGCAAGCATCACTATCATTCAATAGTGGAACATTGTACACTACATTCGCTCCATACACTTTTAGAATATGCTCATCTCTAGTGGTAATGACCATTCTACTTCCTGTGTGAAGCAATTTAGGATCTATAGCCATTTCTTGCAGTTGTTCTAATTGATCAACATTGTCAAGAACTAGAAGAACCTTTATGTTGTGTAGCCTATTTCGTATGATTCCAGATATTTCGGAAGGACTGTATTCCTCTAGATTTACTTCGTCTAGAGTTTGATAAAGAATTTGTTTCTGTACAGCAATAGCACCACCATCTTTATAAATTTGCCTTACATCCTCAATAAAACAACAGGCGTCAAATTGATAAGAAATTTTATCATATAAGACAGTAGCATGAGTTGTCTTTCCAATTCCACCCATCCCCCAAATTCCTAAAACTCGAAAATCATCATTCTTTGAGTGTAATTTTAAAATTCTTTCTAATGCTTCGACGCGAGTTTGTATCCCAATAAGGTCATCAGCGAACCCTGAGAATTTATGACCCAATGATTCTATCACCGCTTGAACAAGTTTTTTAATCTCTCCAAACTCCGGCCTAGAAGCGAGGAGGAAAATAAAATCACTAAATTATCGACTCAGAAAACAAGGGAAAAACCAAATAGAAATTTGCATTAGGATAACATATGAAATGGACATAACTTCTGTCGATAAAAATGTGAAATTTACTATCCAGTTTCTAACTAGAAAAAGAAAGTATAGTTTGTTTAAACAGTCTCAATTTGCAAAATAGATAAGAATTTCAACCACAAATTCATGTTAATTGTTAAGAACGGAAAACGACAAAGAGAATAGCTTACTTATTCCTGACATCCCAACCAACTGATCTACCAAAGCCCGTCATAGCTCTCTTCCATAGACCAACCTTGGCTGGATCATGGTTGTACTTCTCTGTGTGTAGAACAAAGGCATCCTCGTACACCCCACTCTGGTTTCGCACGTGAGATGGATCGACATCATAGAAAACAGGGAAAACAATTTGTTTGAATTGTTGATGGCATTCAGCAATAGTAGCCATTTCATCCAAACACCATGACGAGGAAGCATAATCTTTAGAAAAAACAACAATAGAAACTCTTGAGTTTTTAATTGCTTGTACAAGCTGCGGTGAAATGAGTTGTCCTTTGTGGAGCTGTGTGTCATCCTTGAAGACGAAAATGCCCTTTCTGATGAGATGATGGTAAAGATGATCAACAAAAGTGTTGCGTGTGTCGGAACCTCTGAAACTGATAAACACATCGTATTTACATATCCCCTGAGTTTCAGCTGTTTCACTGTCGCCCAATGGGGTGAAATGGGACGAAGAGCGACGACCCAGCAGGGCCCTAAACGGTAGCAGGAGGAATGATCTCCAAGAGAGTAACTTAGCAGTGATATGAAAAGGCATGTCGTGAATGAATGAGTGAATTTGAAGCAAAATAGAAGAGAAGAGAGTTGAAACAGAGGAGGAAAGGGGAAGGTGCACAAGGAGACATATACAACGCTTAGCATCTTCCCCTTCCTATTAGTCAAAAAGATGCATTACGATTACGACAGATAGAAAATGTAGAATACAGTTCTGCAATGTATCCTCCAAAAAAATATTAAAGCTATTTCCAAAGGCAATGCTTCCCCTAAATATTTCACTGTCATAGATAAGATATTGTCAAGTAATCTGTTAGAAGAGAGACAACATTCATAGCTTATTCTTCCAGAGGATTGAATTTAACTATTTAATAATAATAGAAATCACGAGACTTGTATCCAATTATCAAATAAAATACAAATCTCAGCTTTAATAATTGAATTTAAATATTTACTAATAATAAAATTTTATTAAAAATTAAATATTTTTTATATCTCTAATATAGTGAATTTTTTTAATAAAATTTTATTACTTTTGATAGTTAAAAACTAAGGTTAAGAAAATTCAAGAAAATAAAGGATGAACATAAAAATTAAAAAACGTTAGAATCCGCAACCCAACTCATGAAATTTACTAGCATGCGAGGAAGTATTGCAATCAATTTACCAAAAAGTGACTAAATATACAATTATTCAAAACTTTATAAACTCTTACATTATTACAAAAACATTTTTTCCAATATATTTTTTAGTATTAATTAAAATTTACTAAAATTATAAATATATTAGAAATAATATTCAAATAAGTTTTTAGATTTATAATTAATCATTACTAATAAAAATATTTGATGAGTGTATTAAAAAAATATTATATTGCTTACCCTTTTCTTATATTTAAATAATTTTTTCATATAAAAATATAAAAAATTTTAAAAATTGCCCACAGCAATTTTTGACATTGGTATTTAAATTTTTTAATTTTTAAAAAAATTATCATGAACGAGTTTTAATTTTTTTAATTATTATATTTGAATCTCCATGCCGGTCTCATACTCTTGTAATACTTAGTATATGCTTATAAAAAAAATAAAAAAATGGATAAATAGTCCATAAATTGAAGTTTAAAAGGGGTAGAAATGTGATGATTATTAATTTATGAAAAAAAAATGGAGGGTCCGTACGTACGTTACTTTTGAGATGTATTAGGAGTTAGGAACGAGATGCAGAAGAAACGGAAATGACCAAATAATAATAATATTTTATTATATATTATGATAGCGTGCATCGCGGAGGTGGTGCGAAGGAAAAAGCGCGTAAAAGTAAAACGAGGGAAGAGAAGGGTTTGTTTGAGTTTGATTCTCAGAGCTGCACACGATCCCCACAATCCAAGCCATTTAATTTCGCAACCTATCCCTTCTTTTTCTTTTATAACTGAAAATATAATTTCCAATTTATCAAACCCGAAATTCCCTCCTCTCTCCCTCTCTCTCTCTCTCTCTCTCTCTCTGTGTGTGTGTGTGTGTAACATAGCACAACGCTAACGTGGAATAGTTTAAAGATAGATAATTGGAGAGTGAGTTGGTGAGATATGGCTGGTTACCGAGCTGATGATGAGTACGATTACCTGTTCAAATTGGTTCTGATTGGTGATTCTGGTGTGGGCAAGTCCAACTTGCTCTCTCGATTCACCAGAAACGAGTTCAATTTGGAGTCCAAGTCTACTATTGGGGTTGAGTTCGCTACCAAGAGTTTGAACATCGACTCCAAGGTCATCAAGGCTCAGATTTGGGACACCGCTGGCCAGGAAAGGTCTATTTCTTTTCACTTTTTTATTGCTTTTGCTACTCTCAACTATTATTGTTGCTTCTGTTTTTCTTTCTTTTTTTTTTGCTTATTGTTTTAAGTGATGTGTGAAATTCTAGTGAATTGGATTGGACTATCGAATACCAACTCTATGCTATTGCCCTCTCTTGTCTTGTTCTCCGATTACACGTCTATATTGCCTTATTATGATTTATGATGTTATGTCTAAGGCTTAATGTTTTGTTGCTCTCGTATTAGAGATAAGTGTTTTTTTTTCCTTATTAAAAAATGAGATAACTACATACACACCATAATTCATTGGTCGCTCGTGTCAACACATTCAGAAGGTCATTGTAGCATCAATTTTTTTTCAAGTAACCCTCCTGATATTAGTTTGAAACTTCATCTTCCATTGGTTTCATGCCAACTTTAGGAGCTAGTGAAAGGCTGAAGATAAGTCAAGTTAATGATTTAAGGATTCAAGGAAATATTAGGGTGTCTGTGTGCGTGTGTATCATTTCATATTGTTGCTAGAAAAGTGATGATACTGATGGGTTCTTAAGGACATAGGATCCTCCCTACATCACAATATTTACACTTTTTCATCTGTTATCATGTCATGCAAATTCTACTACTATAACCATCCTTGACAGTTTGTGAAGGAAAACTCAGACTGACAGTTTAAACGTGCTTATTTATAAAAATATGCCGCCATTACTAGGGCCTTCTGGGTGACGAGATAAATCTTATATAATTCTACTTTTTCTTGGTTGATTTTGTAAACAGTATGCCAGTACTCTAATGCCAAAAATACTATCTAGTATTCGTGGTTATTGCAAAGCAGTTGACAATTATTCATGCTAAATTGAACCTACCAGCTATGCATGCCCTTTCTGATGGAAATTTCCACCAAGGAACGTTAGCTTTATTCTCAGGTTTATCATCCTTAATTCCATTTGCATAAAATCCACAGATGAAATAATTATTTTGATAAGTCTGGATCAAAATGAAGATGAACAAAGGATATTCATTTTAATTACCAAAACAAAGGATATTCATTTTAATTACCAAAACAGTTCTAATAAGTAGCTGGATACTGAAGCAGTGAAATGAATGATACAAGGAACCCCTTTCTATCTTTCTCTGTCTCTATCCCTAGGTATTTGAGAGACGTGGACTCACCCTCCCTTTTCCTGATTATTCCCAATCTGCCTCACAACTCTCTATTCCCCCTCTATATTCAATCCCCCTCAAATCTGTCATATTCTCAACTACCTGATCTGTTATTGTCAATTTCTCAACTGATTCTCATTAACTTAAACTAGTAAAACTCCCTTACTAACTGAACCTTTCCATTCAGCTTATCTAACCCACTTTATGCCCTAGATCAGGTGATCTGTGAAGCATGGATACCAGACACAACAGTACCAGCTAATGTAAATGATATAGGATGCCAGGGCACTACTATAATGTGTATGTGTGTGTGTGTGGATGGATGGTTGTATGTATGCACCATAACAAAAGATCTAAAATGATAACTAATTTGTATATTCTTATTTGTTTCTCTTTCTAATCATAATGAGTCTCACAAAAAGCATTTCAGAGATTATTTCTTAATATTTTGTATTACATATGAAGCTGAATATTTGGTAAAAAATATAAATATTGTTTTAATTAATATATTAGTGATCTTGAAGTGTTCATCTATATAGAGGTGTCAGCTCAAGTGTTTGAACCATATAAAAATGCTTGACACGTCCAAATGTCCAATACTCTTACACCTCAAGCAAGGGGGGTTTTCATATTTCATAACTGGTGATCCCCATTGATTGATTTATCTGTAAATTAGAAAGTGCTTTCTTTCTGCATATTTTTTACTCTATATAAGTGTTCTGAGCTTAAAAATGAGTTTAATATTTAAATTTCCTGAATTGATTAAGCAACAATTGCAAAAGTGATACTTTCTCTTGATAATAAATTAGTAGTTTGTAAGAAGTTGCAAACTGGAACTTTTATGAGGTATTATTATCTGCATGGTTGAGACTAGGCCTTAAGGAGCTTTTATTTTCATATCATATGGAAGATTGATCCCTAACAGCATAGAAAATTATATAATTGTGCAGGATAACATGAAATTACAATTCATATTATGGCTTTCAATTTTCTTATAATTTTTGTGTTTTTAGACATGACATGCTCATATCTACATGCTATCACCAAGAACCTGAACCTGCATGCCATTGTTTTGTGCATGTATCAAATGAACAGAATTTAAATATTTAATTCATGTAGTTCTGAATATGCATCAACTTCTTGCAAACCTTATCCTTACTATGCATTCATGTAACCCCTGATGAACTTATGCTTAATAGTTAATATCTAATGGTGCTCATGTTGAGGATTCTGCTGATTACTTGCCTACTATAATATTTATCTATGTAATGCACTTCCTAGATATATGTAAGATAAAGCTAGGTATGGAGCTACTCAATCTAGTTGCATTGGCTCACAGTAATTAATAGGAAGGTATCTATATATATAATCACTGTTATGAGTACAGTTAGACCAATGAATCATAAATTAGTACCACTATTCTTTTGGTTTAATGACCAGTCTGGTCTCAAAAACACTGAATCAAAATATGTTCTGCTCAGGTTATAATTTTGGTGATTAGAGTACACAAGTATTTTTTCAACCACATATAAGTGTTTTCAGCTTTATAATGATTTTAATATCTCAAGCAAGTTCGCTAGCTGTTTTAGCATGGTTTTCACAATATTGTTTTCAGTGTCACAGTGTGTAACAAGTTGTACAATGTACAGTGTCACTCCTATGAGGCATTATCCTTAGCATAGCTGAGGCTGAGCCTTAAGGACCTTCTAATTTAATATTTGTTTGAAGGCAAGTTATTTAATAAAATAAGATAACATGAAGTTGCAATTCATGTTATGGCTTACCTTGCATTTTGTTTTTTTCTCATAATTTATTGTTTCTAGCAAACATGTACATGCAACCATCTAGAACCTGAATGTGTGCAAGGAATATATCTCATATTTATTTCATATTCCCTTATTTGGACAACAGTCTGGTTGGCACTGAGTGTACCTCTGTATCTTCTAAATGTTATCCTTACAAATATATGTTCCCCCTGGTGAACTTATGTTTAATACCTAGTTAGTGCTTAACTTTTATTATAGACAGTGATAGTGGGAGCATTTGTACGAGCTTATTTGGGCTCTATGGAAGTGGTTATGGCCTTTATTTCAAAGTACTTTTTAGCTTATTTTATTCAGCTTCATGGAGAAGTTCTCATTTGAGAAGAGCTTAACTAATTTGTCAACCTATATATATGTGTGTGTGTGTGTGTGTGTGTATGGTGAATTGATTCTTATTAATCAAAGAAGAGGTTTTGCTTAGTATGAATCCGTGCTCCTCTTAAATCAGTTTTCTTCACTAACTTTCTATATGGATCTGATGATATTCTGTCAAATCTACTTAATGATATTGTACAAAGAAAACATTGTTTCAACCAAAATATGTTCTGCCGAGGTTGTTCTAATTCTTAAAATCAGATTCTATTCTCTAATGCTGGTGATTAAGAGTTTGTCAGAATTTTTCTAAGGAAGAAACGCAGTTGGTGTGCAAATTTCTGGCAAAGTAGCACTAAAGCATTTAGTGATACCTTTATTAATGGGAGGAGAATTTCTTTATTGCTGTGCTAGATATTACATCCACTCACTTGAATTGTATTCTGTATTAGGTACCGTGCCATTACTAGTGCTTACTATCGCGGAGCTGTTGGTGCCTTACTTGTATATGATGTCACACGCCGTGCTACATTTGAGAATGCTGCAAGGTGGTTGAAAGAGTTGAGAGATCACACAGACCCCAACATTGTGGTCATGCTTATTGGAAATAAGTCAGATCTTCGGCACCTTGTTGCTGTCCCAACAGAAGATGGAAAATCTTTTGCAGAGAGGGAGTCTCTTTACTTCATGGAGACTTCTGCCTTAGAAGCAACCAATGTTGAAAATGCATTTACTGAGGTTCTTAGTCAGATATACCGCATAGTGAGCAAGAGAGCAGTTGAGGCTGGCGACAATGGCAGTTCTTCTGCTGTCCCATCTAAAGGACAGACAATAAACGTAAGAGAGGATTCTTCAGTTTTGAAGAAAATTGGATGCTGCTCAAATTAGATGATTCATCAATGGCGTTTGGTTTTTATAGCCTGTTTTATCTTTGTATATGCCTACATGTGAATCATGATATCATCTTGTAGAATAAGGTTAGTCTTGCATATTGTTTTGGACTACGTTTACTCTTTAAAACCATCATCTATACGCAGGATTTATGTTTCGTATAACAGTCATTCTAAAAACGTGTTTGAAACAAATAGACCTACACCAAAGTTCATATAGGTCAAAGTTTATTTGCAGGATTTGATATTTGCCATGCTTCAATTCTGGTGCCGCTAGTAACAGCTTGACTGTGTTTTAGAAATTAAATTTCGAAGCCCTTGTGTTTATATACCGTATGTACTTGGCCATTGACCACGGACGGAGTTGGCCACTTTGAAGATGACTTAATATAAAGATTTAAATTCACATGTTTCCGAAATCAATATATTGGCAAAAGAAATTATTTGTATGTTTAAATAGTTTTTACTTGGTTTCCCCAGGTGATTATTTCGTGTTTTGAATTGTAGCAAAAAATAAGAAAAATGTATTTATATATCGAACTTTAGAGGCGTTTATAAACTAAATTTGTATAATAAACAATGAAATATTAAGAGAATAGAGGAAAGCAAGCGAAGAATAGAATAAAAAAGAATAAAAAGGTGATAAAAAAGTATCGTAAACAAATTATATGAAAAATATAATCCTTTATTTAAATTCTCATTCGATTTAAACATCAAAATAAACTCTTTTTTACTGTAAAATCTAGCTTACAAAACAATTTGAATAAATTCTAAGAAAGAAATAAACTAATTTTTTTTGTAAATAACTTGAGGTGAAGATAAAATACTTGATTTGTATAGCTTGAAAGAATAGACAATAAGAATAGTTTTTTTTTTATTAATTTAAATTCGTGTACTTATCACTTGTTAAGTATTTGTTTATTTAATGTTTAACTATCGTGACTCTCTATTGTATGCAAATTTGACAATGATGATATAATAAATATATTTTATGAAACATGTTGGATGATCATAATTTTTTCCCATCTATTAAATTCTTTTTTTGTTTTAAACATTCAAGCTTTAAAAATACAAACATATTATCTTGTTTAGGAGAAATTGTTGGGTAGTTTAAGATTATATGGTCTTATTACTCACATCGCACTGCATATTACTTTTTTATTATAAAGTTCATATATATAATTGGTTGGAACTGACATGTCCCTAAACTATACAAATTTTTTTCCTATTTAGAGGATAGTGACAGCGAACCGTTGTACTCATTATGAACCATGAAAGGAAAAGTTAAAAGTGTTCCCTAGACCAGCAATGGAGCAAATACTAAGCCTAGCATACTACACGAGTTGGATTTTCAAACGATCTTTAGTAGATTCCTTGGAAATGCATGGTATAAAATAAAAGGTTTAACTTCCATTCACTCCAAACGTTCCGCGGAATATAATGATATAATGACAATTTGGGCTATGTTTGTGATGAATTTGCGTGTAAAATCAGGTAGCAGCCGGGCATTTTCATCTGCGGCAGCAACAGAAGGTATTAACGAAATCAGAACAGGTAAATTAGTGTCCCTCTCAGAGCCAGAATTAGTGGATTGTGGTAGAAAAGGTTGTGAGGGTGGTGGCACCATAGATGATGTATTTGAATTCATAATAAAACATGGAATCACCAGTGAAGCAAACTATCCGGCCACAGCAAGTATTGAGACTTGTAAGAAATGGATAAGATCCTTATTTGTTCTGCAGAGAATCTTAGAAAAATGATGGTGGATTTTCATAACTCGGTTCAAGTGATGGATTCAATCATTCAAATTTGTAAAAGAGAAAAATGAAAAAAGATGGATCAAATCTGCAAAAGCGATAACCTTGTATAATTAATCGTTTATTCAAATGTACAAAGCAAGAAAACGAAATTCATGAATTGTAAATTAATTTATTTTTAAATTATCTCTTTACTTTCAAATATTTTAACAGCGCACGATTTTCAGGCCGTGAATACAATATCACTATGCAACGCTGGACAAATGAAAAAGGTCCAGCAACGTTATCCTGTGATGCCGCCGCACCGAATCGCGCTGTCTCTCGGAATATTCTTTCGCCGGAAAACCGCCGAACACTCCGGCAACTCGCCGAGATCGGCGAAGAGCGACTCGTCCTCCTCCCTCATCGTCATCGCCATGTCCTCCACCTCCCCGCAGATCGGGCTTTCAAGGACGCCAGTGGAGGTCACGTCATCGAACCATCCGAACTCGGCGTGGTGGTGGTGGCTAAGCAGAACCGCAGAGTCGCCGGCGAGTTCGAGGTCGGAATGGGTAACGAACACCGTGAGATCCTCCGGCGGAAGCCTGGCGGCGGATTCGGCGGGGGAGGCAACAGCGCCGTCGCGTGGGGCAGCGGAAGCGGCGGAGGAATGGGATTTTGGATGTGGAAGTGAATGGTTGTGTTCGTAAGCGTAGGTTACAATGAGCTTTGTGGGGTCCACGCGGCTTCTCTCAACTTGCTTCCTTGCGGGACACCCCTTCGAACTGCTGCATCGGTAATATCCCCTGCATTTCCAAGGTTCATTTTAATTAATTATTTTATCAACTAATTAATTAAAAATTATAATATATAAAAATAAAATTTGGTAATGGAAAATGTTAAGGGACAAAAGGTGATGTGGATTGGGATGATACTCCAAAACTAGGGGAAATGGCACTTTTGTAGATTTTGCCATTTCTTTAGGCGCGTGTTTCTCAATCCCTCTCCCGTTAATCATTATGCAATTCCAAAATAATAATAATTAGAAACTCAAATACCCCCTTTCTTTATTATAAGCTGTCATCTACTCTATGTTTATTTATTTTTAATGATTTAACACTTGGATTATTTTCAATGTTAAATATCTACACAATTAAAGTGACAAAAATACAAAAATTTAACATCGGTTAATTCAAAACTGATTTTAATTTAGTTGCCAAGTTATCCAATCCTAAATTGATTGATAGTGGAGTTGACACAGTAACATATACAGTTGTCTGTGTTGGAAACGCAATGTTGCATGAAAAACATATATACATGCACAATCTCATATGCTCTTATTCTAGTCACAGTATATATAATTCATAAGAACAACAGATAAACTAGTTTATCTGTGTGAAGCTCATTAAACACAATTATATAAATGAAATTTCTAAAACGGGAGAAACTGAAAGGCTAAAAAAAAATATCATACTTAGATAATGACGGCTTCCGGCTCCAGATTTTTATATTATCTAATAATTGTGGCGTGAAGCCAACGCGGTTCAGTGCCCGCGTGTGCTATCACAACAACCTACGTTCCTAACTACCACCGCAATCCACATGCGCATTTTAGCACAGCCGCCTTCAACCAGTTTTTCTACGCCGGCACCGGCCCATCATTCCGCCGTGCATTTCAAATTCAAGCAAACACCTTCTATATAATTAATTTCTAAATTTGGTTCTTATTCCAAAAGATATTTACCATTATTCTTCTTTCCTATTAACTTCCCATCTTGATCCCTTAAACCTAAGCTAAAAAATAATGGTTAATTAAAGTAATTAAGGTAAATATAATAGTATATACCTTGGATAAGGGGAGCCTTTGATGGGCTTCTGACCGTACTTCCTCCAGGCCCATGAGTCAGACGGTGGATATGTCTCTCCTTTGTTCTTAGATCCATCCACGTCACCGATCGGTATTGTTACCACCCTCTTCTTCATCTCCCTCCTACGTATAGTATCATGAACATGAAACTCTCAAACGATTAACTTCCCAATTCACATAAAAATAAAACATAAAAAAAGAAAAAGAAAAGAAAAGAAAATTAAAAACCTTTTCTTTGGCGATGGTGCTTCAGTTTTAGTGTCTTCACCGGAAGAGGGAGAAGTAGGCCCAGTTTCTGAGGTGGGCTCGAGCTCATCTGGGTCAGCCACATATAATGGTTGGCTGTTGAATCTCCGGTTATACATGATGAGTTGGAGTGAAATTAAATCTGGGTGGTCAATATATTATAATATAATTTGGTATGTGTTGTGCTAGAAATAGTGATTAGCTAGGTGAGTGGGCTTCACCGGAAAATGAAGTGGGGATTGGGCGGAGGAGTGGTGGTGATGAGGGAAGAAAGGTAAGAGTGAGAGTGAGAGAGAAGAAGGGGTTGGGGTTGGGGTTGGGGTTGGTGTTTAATATGAGCCGCCATGGTGACAGATTGGCAACGGTGTAGTTTATTGTGGACGTGCGAGCAAATACCCAATTAATAAACATATAACATGGAAGGGGGGGCGGGTTTTATTTGATGGAGTTAGGTTCATGATAAACAATGTTTTGGCTTCATTCATTGGTTGGTCTGTCATGATGCTATGAGTCTATGTATATGTATATGTATGATTAGGGTTAGTAGACTATGCAATGCTACAATATTGTCATATTTTCAATTCGTCTAGGTTGTGTTCGGTGGCATGGCATCCAAGCTGAGAGAACAAGTGATACATATGAAAATGTTTTTCATGCATTCACTAATTATATATATGTAGTGAAATATATATATATATATATAATAAAAAATTAAAAAATGATAGAAAAAAAAGTAAAAGTATTATGTACATAATTATGATTGATTAATTTTAATTTAAAAACACCTTAATAATGTCAACGTCTATTTAATACATTTTATCTTTGTTTTATTTCTCCTTTGTCATATTATATTGTTTATTATATTTATTATTTTTCTCTCTTCATCTTGTTATATATTTCTAAGGTTCATACTAGAAAGTGTCCATCAAACATTTTTCTTGTTAGATACAATGATATCAAAATATATGCGAGCTTTTTAGAGCTTCTAGGATTTATACGGCTGGTGATACTTGGTAGAATACAGGGTAAATTGGTTTTGCTATTAAAATTAATTAACAAGTAAAATTTCTGAGATGTTTCAGTGACAAGGTTGACAACAATTATCGTTAGCTTGTTTATAAGATTTTCGAATAAAAAATTGGACTGGCCTTCATTCTTTGATTGATGTAATTTATCTTCTTCCACTATGTTTGCATTGTAAAATTTGGTAAAAATAATTAATTCTATATAGTTAAATATGTTAGCTTATACATGCGTGTGCGCTTTCTCTTTGCCTGTATATAACTCCCCCAGTATATTATCAAGTTGTGAAGAAAATTGACTTTCACTCTTTTTCTAAGATAAAATATCCATTAACTATTACAAGTTAACTTTTATCTATTATAGTTCTTTTTTTAAAGTTATTAAAATTTAATATCATATATTTATTAATTTTTATATAGATATATTATAAAAATATACTTTAATTTAAAAACACATTTAAATATCTATTTTTAGTAATACACTAAATATTTTTTTCTATCACAGAAGACTAAAATCGTGCTAATTAACAATTGTTTGGAGGGATGTGATAGTAAGGAAAGGTGTCCCTCACTCTTACTGGCAGGAAGAAGCTAAATTCTACTAGCAAAGCTAACATATAGGCCATGGCGTCGTGGGATCTCCTTGTGCATGGTACGTACCTTGCACACTGACCACCACTTACAAAACAGCAAGTAAATGAAACATTAATTATAGATACAGTTTTTTTGTGTAAAAAATCATTTTTATTCAATAAATTATAAATATTTTACAGTAATCCATAAAACATAATTTTTTTTACGTATGTGAAAAATTAAATTGTATTTCTACGTGTGAAGAGATTATTCAAAAAGAGAAGAGTTTCCTCACTTATTGTGTAGTCTATTTATCATAGGCTTATGAAATAATAAACTCATAAGTTTCCTTTAATATAATAGTCTAATAAATCCAAAGAAAAATATCTGAAGTTTTAAATTAACAAAAATCAATGTCACTCAGCCCTATGAAAAATATAAATTGTCTGATCGACTACACAATAACTCGGGTATTATAATGCCTTTGTTAATTTAAGTAAACTGTGTGCTGAAACTCCTGTTTTGTTATTATGTCATGCTAAACAGGGGACAAAAACTGTTTAAGAGAAGCGATAAATCAAGGTTTGAAATTCTGGGAGAGACATTCACATTTAGTATTCTACATACATATATAATTATCTTTTGTAAAAGATACTTTAGAAAAAAAAGAAAACTAACTAAGAGTAATATAAACTGTAATCAATGTTTAGTCATGAGATATTTAACAAGTTCAATCAAAGGAAAACATGTCGGTTTACCCGTTTACATTGAAAAGGCGTTATTTTAGTTTTAAAACCAATCCATATATGAGGCAATAGTAAATGAAGTCTTTTTACGTATACATGAATGAAGACATTTTAATTTGTAAATGACTAATTATTGCTCCGATTCTTTCGCTTGGATTTCATTATCCTTTGGTCTAACTTATGTATAATTAATCATTAAACAGTTGCAATCACATCCTATTACTGTGCCAGCTGGTTGTATATGATCATACCATTATTTTTCTTAGGTACTATATAATAATAATAACGTTGTGATATCTGCTCAAATAATAATAATAATAGCATTGTGATAATGAGGGATTATTAAAATGCTAGGTCTGACATGAAGACATATATTGATTTTAGTAACCTTGTAATTTGGATTCGAATAGCGATTTGATTAAGCAAGAACGCATTTGTTTTCTTCCTTGGACGGGGTGGTTGGGAAAATTTTAATAAGAAAATAGTTCATTTTAAATTCAAAGGGTTTGAAATCCACCTAATTCTGTTTGGACTTTGGGCAAAGATCGCAGGACAATGGAAAGTCCGGAGAAGTTAGAGATGAATTAAAGCATTATATTAATTTTACATTCCATTTCCCTTTTCCTTTGCATTGCATCACATCTGGATAAGAATGACATCAAACAATTTGAAAAAAGCTCAATAATTTATGACCCTTCAAATTAAGGGTTATCTTTTTGTCCTTTTTATTTTTTTATTTAGAGGAAAAAAATATCTTGTATGTGTTCTACAAAAATTTACTCTGAATATTGGAACAAAATAAGAATTAAAGTTATGAGATTAAATTATTTGTCTCCCAAACAAAACATTAATATTTTGGATGGAGCTTTTTATATATCATAATTTTGATTCACACACATATATAATGTTTACTATAAAATGTTTATATATAAAGGGCACCCAAAATTAAAGTATATAAGTGTAAAATAATTATTTGAAATAAAAAAATATGTCAGGTTTAATTTTAAGACTACTTTAATTAGTTCAACATAATCATTAGAAATAGAAAATTGTTACTTAGACACTTCTCTAGGTATATACACTTGAAGAAAATAAAAATATGAGAGACAAGTGATAAATATTATATGTGATATGATACAATAGGAAGAGAAATTATGGGTGTCAAATAAATAATAATACAGTTAAAGTATTTATAAATTAGAATTGCTAGAAGTAAGAGTGAGTCGATATTATCAGAAAGCTAAAGCTAAACATAAAATGAAGGCTTTTTCATTTCACTTAAATTTAAAATGTAAAGCTAAGTTCGTTTTGCTTTTGAAAACAATCTAATATAAGTGGTCAGAATAGATGAGTAAAGAAAATAAAATAGCCATTATAAATTCGAGAAAAGTTTGAAAAAATGTAGTTGTTGGTGTTCAATAAATTAATATATGTTAACAAAATTGATAAAAAAAAAAAAAAACAGAAATGATTGGGAATTATATTTTGAAATTTCAGAATTAGATATGGAAAATATAAATTTATTTTGCATGTAAACAGAAGAAATAAAAGTGGAAAGAATATTTTTAATGCGATATTAAGTTAAGAGTTAATAACGATGTAAAAACCTATGTTATGCTTGAAAATATTGTAATTTGTATGTTTGAACTATATATTTGGGTTATAATATATACACCTTGCATCCTCTTTGAATTATTCTTTTGCTGAAAAAAAATATAATAACAATGTAAAAACATATATAAACTAAAAAAATACAACATTTTACTTTAAAAACGAAATAATATTTGTTAACACTTAATTAATCATCTTAACTGTGATGTAGTTATTCGTGTCATTATAAAATTGTATGGCCTACTAAAAATTGGAGACTAAAACCTTTCAGTCCTTCATTTGCTGTTCTTATTTAATGTCTAGCCGGCCCTCGTCAGAAACAGTCAACCACGATTTTTTTATTTTTTATTTTTTTTGAGATCATCAAGAGTCAGCTACGTGCCAATATACATTAGAAAGTATTTAATTTAATGAAAAAATTACTAATTTTGTCTTTAATATTTTGCGCATTTATTAATTAAATTTTGAAATATATATATATATATATATATATATATATATATATATATATATAACTGAAGTATGACGTAATCTCTTTTAAATTACTCTTTATTGTTATAATATCTACGTTATTGTTAAACAAAATTATCTATGTGAGTAACATATTAGATAGGTTGCTTGAATTTGTGTTAATTATTATGAAATCAAGGTTATTTTTGTTTATGGTTTGATTAATATGTAGAAGCAATAAATGAGGCTTCTATGATTGAAAAAAAAACGTTACATGATTCCATTACAACAAATTTAAACAAAAAGTTGTCTATAATGCAGCACTTGTTTGCTGTATCATCTTTCCCAATTTATCTTTAAGCATTAAATCTAGCAACTTAACATTGTCACTCCTTTTTCTTGCATATTTATCACCTTTATCTCTCACTTTATACAAACACTACATTGTATATTTGTTTCACTGTTACACTACTTTATTCATTACGCTCTATAGCTCCCTTCACAAATCACTTATCTATCATTTACCATTAATAACATTATTTAAATATTTTATCTTCCAAATATTTTTCTGTCAAAATACACTCTAAAATTTATTTTTCTTTCTTTTATTTAATAGTTCAAAACTTATGATGGATTTTGGATGCAAAATAATTTTAAAAGTATAGTTATCAGTTAAAAGTTTAGTAAAATTTTGGATATCTTTTAAAATATATAATAAAATATGATATTTTGATTTGTAGAGAAAGAAAAATTGGAATACTTATTTTAGTAAACTTTGATTTTTTTTTAACTAGTAAAATATAAGTTTAAAAAAATTAAATTGGGGAATTTGTTCAAAAAATTATTGAGGGCAAGTCAAGTCTAATCTTTAATCTAAATGAAACATAGAGAGGGTCTTTCAAATTTTAACACACACGCACACACAGAAGTTTGAAGCACGGAATGCAAACATGATTTGTGTATGTGTATTCTTAATTGTGGATTTTGTGGGGGTTACGTGAAACCTTTTGGGTTTAGGTCTTGTTTCATGTAATATTATTAAGTAAAGGATTATTAATATGTGCAATACTGTAAAAGATAAAAAAATTATATGTAGTAAGTTATTGTTAAAAATTATAAAATTTAATGTTATTTAATACATTGATAATATTATAGAAAATCAAATTACTATTTAAAAATAAAAAAAAAGCATAATATGCTTAAAATTTTAAGAAATCAAAATTAGACAAAAGAAATTAGATAAATAAAAAATATAATCAAGATTTTAAAAAAATCAAATTAGGTAAAATTTGAATTAACACAAGGTAATCATATATTAAATATTCTAAAAAATAAAAAAATATCATACATAATTATTTAATAAAAAATATTTTGCATCAAATTTATGAAAAAAAAAATATCAATTCAAATTAGCCTTTACTTTAGCATTTTATTATTTTAGTACCTGTTATTATAACAATAGAAATTAAAATATAATAAAAAATTCTTATAAATACTAAAACATAAATTTAAGTAAAGAAATTGATTTTATATATATATCACGTGCCCTTTATCATGCATGATTTAATATTAGAGATCTGATAAGAGAGAGAGAGAGAGGGAGAGGGAAAAATGCAAATCACATTATTAAACATCACAGACAAAGCTGTCTAACAAATATAAGTTTTTTCTTTTTTCTTATTAAAATTTGCATTTATTGTGGAGTGGCGGCCGTGCCAGCTCTCACGTGCAACAATTCCTTAGGCAAACCCTCTGTCTCTATTGGCCTTTAAGAGAATCATATCTTAAGATATGTGAAGTAATGTATTATAAACTGTTTGCATTGCTTTTTCTTTTCAGTAAAGCTCTACTTTTCTAATTCTATCATTAAAGTAACACAACAATCCTTAAGTTACAATATATATATATATATACACTCATTAATACTACTACTTTTAATTAATTGTCAACCTATGATTTTCTGGATTCTTCCTTCATATCATGCAGCTAGTTTACTTGTGAGCTCAGGCCCATTTCCACCTATATGCTAATTTGTGGGCTTCAAGCCTTGGTTTGTCATTATTTTCTTACAACCATCATCATAGCTCATAAGAAAATTAGTTTTTCTCTTTTTAATTTCAGAACAGAAAAAACAAAAAACTACCTTTTTTTACATATATAAAGATCGGTTCTACTGTTGAATTGTTGAAAGCTTGTGAAAAAAAGGATACTTTATAGTTTATGTCTTTTTTTCAATACACATAAGTTGCCTCAATACACTTGAATAAAGTAGAAGCAATACTAAAAGAGACCATAGTTGTCAAGCATGAGAAACTTAAAAAGTTTTATAGAAAAAATGATAACCACTAAACAAAAGTACTAGTTAAATAAAGAATTTAAAATTAGGAATATCTTATCGTGTACCTATAAATGCATGGTTTGAAAACATTAAATATATTATTAAATACTTTAAATTATTTTAAAAATTAAAAATTGTGCTTAAATTTTAATACACACTATATTTAATGATGCAAAATTAGTTATATTAAAAATGATTTTTCTCAATTTTAAAATAAATGTTTTATAAATTGGTTAAACTAATACATTTTGTCACATGCACTCTCCATAACTCTATACATTCAACAAGTATTTCCCGATAAAAGGTTTGACAAAAGTAATGTCATTTATTTAGAGTTATTAAATTTTTATAAAAATAAATGAGCAAGTATTAAAAATTTATATGATATCTCATTGGATTATTAAAAGAAATGTGATTTTTTCTTAATTCAAAACATTTCGTCTAAACATACCTTAAAAAATAACAAAAGTAACCTTAAATATATTAGTCAAATTATCTCTTTCTTTATGTATCCATTTAATATTATAATATGCACGTGATATAAAATGTTAGGATCAGACAAAAGTAAATTGATATGTGAGATATATATTATCTCATTTTATCATCGCAATTATTGTTCAATCTTTTGTCTATTTGTGCAATGCATAGGCAACACGTGAAGTTAGTGGACGAGCATTCTTAGTTATTGCCGAAAGGTCTTTGCTTCTCGTTCGAGTTCATATAATGGTAACTTTTTGAAATTAATAATCTAGAATATTATGATCAACTCAAACTCAATTTATGTATTATCGTGAATGAATAGAAGATGCATGAGATAAATCAATTACATTAATTTAATATAAATGTTTATCAAAAATTAATATATTTTTTTTAAATCGTATTCAATATTCACGTTTTTCAAAATAAAAATAAAAGCATATGGTTAAATACAAACAATAATATTAGTAAACGTTAAATAAATAATAAAATATTATTTCTTTCAATTAAATGTGAATTATAATTTATTTTGTTTAGAACAACTACTTTTGTTATACCAATTTTCTCCAAATAAAACATTTTTATGTTTTATGACACGTATGAGAAGTACGTGTGAGTTCACACTCAACTTAACATGAGAATAATTTGATTCCCACACAACTTAATTAATTCCTTAATCAAAATCACCCGAAAATAAAGTAAAAGGTATATAAAGAAATTAACAGTTCACGTATCCCTTAACTTTTATTCCTAAATAATTTTAAAGTATGTCCATAAATGAAGAAGCAACAGCTAAACATATCATTGCCAATATTAATTGAATGAAAAGCAAAGCAAAATTTATACTTAAAAGACCAAACTATGAACAACATGCATGAACTATTATCTTAAATTTTATCTAGGAATAGTATTAGTAGTAGCACGCAGAAATAAAATAGACTAATAAGTTTATTTTATTTTTTATTATCATTTTATAAAATTAATGAATAATCAATATTTTTTATATCCTTATTTTAATAATTAATATTTATTTAGTAAAATTAATAAGTAATTGAATAATAGATAAAAAATAAATTAAAATTTTATTTTAGTAACATGCATAATAAAATTAAAAATTAAAAGTAGATAAATAATATACATATTAAATAATAGTAATAAATAAAATTATATATATATATATATATATATATATGAATTTATTACGAATTATTAATTTCAAATTTATAAAGTTTGAGGTTAACTATTTATATAATGGGATTTAACTTGAAATGGCGGAGCTGAAACAGTGGATAAGCAGCTCGCATCATGAGCACCCTTTGGGGTGACCCACTAATTTAGTGACTAACAAGCATTAAATATTGAGTAGTGCACAACTGCACATTGCAATAAAATGGGAGCAATAAGTGCATAGGATACACTGATCTGCATAAATTCTCGCATCCATATCATTAATTTGTATAGCAAAGCAATGGATGCAGAACAAGTTCTGAAATTGTTTGATACCTACTGGTTTGAGGCGACAATTTTCACCAACAAAACCCCTTCACATTTTCATTCTACGCTGGATTCAATCCCTCAGTCCAAGGTTATAGAAGGGCTTCCTTTACACACAAAGCTTCTTAGAATTCCAACACTTCAAGTGAGGTCTCTTAGTGATCAAAACTTGGGCTCAACAGTAGCTGCTTTCTCTGATTTTCCATCACCAAATTCTGTCCTCACACCACAGAAGCTGAGGCCAATTCTTTCTGGGAAGGAGGTGGGAGAATTTCCACTAGAAGAAGCTCATCAAAACCATGAAAATGAAGAGGAAGAAGTAACAAAGAAAAAGTTAAGTCATAGTCATAGAAGAAGATTCAGGAAAGGAAAAACCTCTAGGAGTCTTTCAGACCTTGAGTTTAAGGAGCTAAAAGGGTTTATGGATTTGGGTTTTGTGTTTTCTGAAGAAGACAAGGATTCAAGATTGGTTTCTTTGATACCAGGGTTGCAAAGGCTTGGAAGAGAGGATGCAGCTGTGAACTCATCAGAACAGAAAATTGATGAAACTGTGATTTGTAGGCCTTATTTGTCTGAAGCATGGGGTGTTTTAGACCAAAGGAAGGTTTTAAATCCATTGTTAAATTGGAGGGTACCAGTTCTAGGCAATGAAATGGACATGAAGGACAATCTTAAGTTCTGGGCTCAAACAGTTGCATCCATTGTAAGATAACATTGAATGAGGTTCCTTTTCTGGTGGATGTTTTGAATACAATCTCGTTGCTTTTGTTTGGAAAGTCCTTAGTTGTATATATTTGATTCTATCTATAATCATAGATGTACAATGCCCATGTTGTTTTTTGTACCCAAGATTTTTTCCCAATTTCCCCTGGTGCATTTTTGTCAATCTCTTTACAATCTAGCTTATGAAATGTAGAGAAGATACATCTGAACAGTGGGATAATAAGCCTTGATAATTGTTCTTGAATTGGTCCATTTGCCATCTTGTTGGGATAAAAAAAATTTCATTCATAGAATTTTCATTTGTTTAATGTAGGTGCATTTGGACACTCTTAACGCTTCTTCAAAATTTTGTATTCACTGTGTTAGATAATTGAACAATTCAATAGGGTGAACATTATTAGGGTTTTAATGATGTGGTTGACAGTTGACACACAGGTTCATATATCATACCAACCCAAATTGCTAAAATAAGTATTGTTTAGTGAATAACGAGAATGGTTGGGCCATAGTGGTAGAGACAAGAAGATAAGGAGGACCACTAGTAATTATTTACACTTGAGTGGATGCCGTTACTTTTTGCATAGTGTTCAATTAGCAAAAGTTAAGACCCATTGAAATCGCACTTTAAATCAAAGATAAAGAAAAGATGGGAAGTTGGGATATCCCCACTTTCCATCCATTTATGCAATTCCACCGGCAAATGGGGTCTGATGATTGCATCAGCCAACGCTGAAAAAACAATTTTAAAGAGGTTAATTCAAACTTTATAATGATTATGTTTCTCAATTTTTAGATCAATTTGACTTTTTGGTATTTTTGCCAAATTTGTAAAATTATAAAATGGATAAGTATTTTGGCTTAAGGAAATAATTAAAAAGAATATATCTTTTTAACCCTAAAATCGTTATCAATTTTTTTGGGGTGTTTGGATTCCCTTCTTTAAAAATGTAGGGTATAGTATACAATTTATAAGGATATATACTCATCAAAAGTAAAATAAAATTTATGAATACAGTTTGTTACCACATTATTTATACTTTAAATAATTATTTTGTCATCAATGTTTATTAATTTTTTCGTACTATATAAAATGCATCTCACACTTTAAAGAAGATTAATCTTTTTTTTTTTACTTATGTAGAGTTATTACGAAAATAAAAAATAGCATGGAATGTGAAAGACAAGTTACTGGGAAATGTTTTAAGAATAAATAAAAAAAAATTTACCATTAAAAATTCTCATCATATTATATGCAGTTTTTAATTATTATTGAAATTAATATATTGTATAGAGTAATCACATTATGTTTATATGATTATATTTTTAAGAAACATTTTTAATGAGTTTCTATTTGAAAATTACCCTCCCCCACCCCCACACAAAAAAATAAAAAATCTAGAAGTGTCTGCATTTGTTATTAGACAACGAAAGGTTATCATAGTTTTATGGGTACATACATTAGTTAATATTATGAAATACGAACTATTAATACGAAATATTAATATGTTATTAGACAACGAACAGTGTCTGCTAAAGGATGCATATACCTGCTACGGCCAACTTAACGTAATAAAGTATCTCTAATTAAGTTGAAGTTAGACAATAATGAACCAAATTGGTTTTAAATTATTCTTCAAATTAACTCTCTATATTTGAGAAGCTCCATTTATAATCAATTATGAACGTCTTTGATTGAGACGTAAGAATATCTCTTAAGTATTGATATATGCTAGAATTCTCAGGGCTCTTGGGAGGGTTTATGTATATAATAATACTAATTATGGTCTTATATGGTACTATAAAGATGATGATTTAGTCGCAAATTTCGGTATCTGTGCACATTTTTGTTTTGTTTTGTTGTGTTAAAATGTTTCATATTAGTTAAGAACATAACACATTTTATAAAACATAAATAAACTTTCTCTGTGAGTTAGCTTTTAGAAGTAAACTAGACTTAATTATTTATTAGGTTGAAGAGAAGAAAAAGAAAAAACTGAAAAATTAACTTTTAGAAATAAAATATCAAAATTTTCTTTCCCCTTTCCGTGTTTGTCCATTGTGTTGCATTGTCAATTTGCAAAGAAACCTAAGAGAAGACCCATTTGATATTGTTTGTGAACTTAAAAACTGTGTATGCCACGATACTTTTGAAAGAATATTCTGCTACCTTGATTCAAGATGAAGCTATTATTTAAAAATAAAAAAGATGTGTTTAAATTTATCAGGAAAGAATCTGCATTGTTTTGCTTGATCCACAGTGATTATAAGGGTATGAGCTTTCAATTTATGAGACCAAACCTGCTCTGGTTTTCATCCACTTATCTGCATTAGACTATTAATAGAAGAATTCTCTATTCCATGTAGTGTAGTGCTTATCATTTATGCAATTCTAATGGTTACATGTTGCAAGATTTTCTCACACTTTGGTTCAAGATATATTTTGTTGGGATATTAATGTTATTTACCATCTGAACCACGTCTTCAATTAAGCAAGAAAATGTTACATGCACAGTGGGGAGTTACGAATTGTGCATTATTGGATTTACCAATCAGCCAATAGCAAATGAGAAATACTATAAATCCAACATATCCAAATTGGGTACTCTAGCTCAATCACACAACTAAATATATTAGATTATCATAGTTAATAGCTAATTAATTATGACAATAAGTTAATCATTAATGATGTAACTAACTCAATACACTAAACTAAAGTAAACTAGGTTTACACAAATACTTCACATTACAATATAGTCACGAAAGATATATCCTACCCACTTTTGGCTTTAGAAAATTTGGTTGTGTATAATAACCTCCAAAATCATATTAAGTACTTCCATAACAAATTTGTGTTAGGCTTTTTGAAGATGAAATTTAATAACCATTTTGTACGCAATCAAACTTTTAAGGACTAGGACTAAGGACCCGAGATATATCATTCAAAAACCATTAGCATCAGTACACTGTGAAGTGACAAGTCACTACACGGCTTTGTTACAAATTTGTTATGCTGAACTCTCAAAATTAACTGGAAACAGATGGAAATAGGAATTCCATCCCTGCTTCAACTTAAACAAAGTAATTAATTTGCAATTAAGGACTAATTAACCACTCAAGTGGTTAACTATGTATAGTCGATTTGTTCTTGAACTATAAATATTTAAACATAAAATTCAGTGTTTGCAATTTTTCCAAGAGTTAAAATAGAGCACACTACAACTGCAATCATAATTATAAACTAGTTTCTTTTGTATTACTATAGTTCATCTAAGTGTATAAATTTACCTTAATCACAGTTGCTTCATAAACAATCATGGGTAATTGAGAAAGAAAGATCTCATTGGTTTCACTGAGAGGCTATAAATGAATTAATTACAAGGGACTGAATGTTATAGAAGGTATAAAAAAAAGTACTGATCATTTGTCTTTGTCAGGGGCAGCCTCTGGAAGTTTAAATGTGGGAGGCTTATCAACACCCCTCCTTGAGTATTCCCTCCATCTCCGTGCTGCTGCAGCGGCTTTTTTTGCTCTTTCTTCAACTTCCTCATCTGCAAAATGATTACCATTTGAAAGACTAAGTAGGATAAACAATACTATCCTCATATTACAGTAATTTTCATTTGTCACTGTATACTTACAACATAGGGTCAAATTTTCTCAATAGAAACTTCAGAATTTAGAAATTACAAATACAAATCCTACATAATCAAGAATTACTGAAACAATCCAAACACCTAAATGACTAAAACATAGACTATTGGAAAATCAAGTTTTATTATTTCCAACAATTTAATGTTTTTATGACTATATCCCTTTTGTACTTCCACACCTGCCATACCTGAACTTTGATAGTCTTTTGCTTTGCCCCACAGATTGTCCCAGTAGGAATCTTTCTTACCAGAACCTTGCTGCTTCATCATTCTCCATTTTGCTTTTTCCTGCGAGAAATTCGTGAATTTTGATTGTGCTTGAAACCGTATAAATCAAGTGCATTACAAGTTTTAGAACAAAGAAGCATGAGTTGATGGAGTTTCACACTGAAAATTATAAGATTTTATAGTTCCTTTAGTCTGTAACTAAGAGCTTGGTCCAACATTTAACATCACAAATTTCATGAGTTCTGCACTGTTCAGCAATTATTAGATAATCTTAAACTAAAAAATCTATTTATCTTACAGAATAGCTTGTCACATGTAAATCTTTCTGTCATTTGCGTGGACCACTATGAATTGCATCACTGGAATGCTTGAATTACTCTTCACTTATATTAACATTAACAAAAGTCTATTCAGATACAGATTAATCTTCACTCGTTAGCATTTAAGCTTGGAGTAATTAGTTACAGTGACCTATTAGAAAGTTAATCATATCACCACAATATGGCCCAATGAACTCAGAATACTCAAATATTTAAAAGAAGAAAATTTGTGCACACTATCTTTAAATTTTGTAATTTAAAACTGCTTAAGAATCCATCAACTCTGAAGAATAGCACGGAATCTGTTTTTATTAAATGAACAATATGATTCAGAGTCAAACAAGAAATAAAAATAATACAATCCAGAGAGAAGAAATAAACACAATCTGGAAATATGTAAATATGTAACTCTTCACATATTAAACAAAAAGAGAAATTATTGAATATAAGAGTTCTAACCAAGACTTTTGACTGCCTTTTTTCCCATCTGGAACTTGCCTGTCAATAACACAGCAGATTGTGTTAGAGCAGAACAGCACTTAGTATGCTTGAAATGTAGGAGGCATCAAATCTATGATTACAGGTTGAAAAATGAAATGATATTACGGATTTTGAAAGTCAGAGCAAGGAATTTTCCATTCAGTCTTTCAATCAGGTCATAGGTTATGCAGTATATGATTATTGCAACCCAAGAAATCCCCATCACCCCACAATTATCCACCAAATGTAGATAAAAAATTAGAACAAAACCTGTCAACATTTCATTGATGCTGAAAACATTTCAAAAATTAGAAAAACGAGTAGTCATTGCAGTATTCTTACCATTCTGAAAACATCAATTGATGCTGATCCCATTCCTGATAGCATAAAGGCAACCTGGTTGTATTATGAGACAGTAGATAAATAAATAGTACAAAACAATAAACAAGATCATAAACATTTGCATGTCCAGAAACAATTTGGGGATTATGTTATTTAGAGCATATAAAGAAGCAACTTACTCTAGATAGTGGGAATACCTATGGGCTACAATTTTCCCCTCCGAATCACAATTGGTTTATTAAAATTTGCTATGGAAGTTGAGTATCTATTTTTTCATTAAAAAAAACATAACAGGAAAGTAAAGCTTCATGATCCCTCGAGACTTAAAATAAATAAGGAGGAATTTCAAGATCATGTTTGGTTACACGCTAGACTATCAAGAAATCTTAAAGAAACTCAAATTTGGAAACTTCAAAAGCATGTAACAAAAAAGAAGTGATATATTTCTTTTTCCCTGAGGAGGCTATGAAATTCACTTGGGAAGATAGAGATTGTGTCAAAATGAAATCTGGAAGAAATGTATGCTATATTGAGCCTTACATTGACTCTTTCTACACGTCGCATCTCATCTTCAAGTAATGATAGTTGTGCAGCAGATGTCCAATGAATGCAGCTAACAGGGCTAAAATTGTGAAAAGGAAAAGTTAAATTAGTTACAGAAATCTTCATTAGCTTAATTACTTCAGAAGCAATATCATTGTGATACCAAAGGTTCTACAACTCAAGTATCTAACATCAGCAATGAGAAATTAAATTTATATACCATAGAAGTTGAGATAGAAGAAGGCTGATTCCTCTTTTAGTCATGCTACTTACTGAGAAATCAACTTGCCTCAGGCAAGTTAAGTTTAGTGTAACTGCTATTTGTTAAGTTTGGTAGTTATGAACTAAGTCATTATTAAGTGGCTAGCCTTTTCTTATTGATTTAAGCCTAAAAGGCTACAATATGTGAGAGTATCATTTTTCTGAAAACTTCTTAATACGATTGCATTGCCCAAAATGGTTTTCAACTATGTTTTCAGTTACTACGATATTTGATGTCTCATCACCATTGATCTGAACACTAAGTCTCAGAATGCTCCAAGTCAAAGTCGAAGGCTTCAAACTATAACCACAACAGTTACAGAAGCATGAACTATTTCATTGGCTTCTGAACTTGGAAGGAACTAATATCTATAGAGTTAACCCTTGGCTGAATTCAGACATGCAGTTGGTAAAGTGAGAATATCATAAAATATAATTAGCTTGATTATTGTCTATATAGATGAGAAAATTGCATGAAAGGGCTTCATATAAACAATAATGACAATTTTAAGACATGCCAAATTATGTTAACCAGCATACAATGCTTTATGGTTCCTTATAATCATTTAGAAATATTCTTTTTTACCTAAATAGTATGAAAGCCATCATTACCATCAGAAAAATACACCTTGAATAGATACTGGCAGTAAATGTAAAATTTAAATCTATTCATAGAGGGGCCCGGTAACAGTCAGAGATGAAGCAAATTAGATGTTAGACCTTTATTATAATCAAATAAATTATAGTACTATATAACCAGATATAACTGATAAATACAGGTAATTAGAGTGATACACATAAACATACCAACTATCAATTGCCTGCTGAACTAATTCACGGTTGCCGCATTGGTTGTATACCCTGGCTCTTCCAAAGTCTTCCTCAATTGCAAACACATCAGGGGCTACATTGGCACAATTTTTGCAGCCTGTAGAAGGATGTGCACCATAGTTATATGATATGCTTTGTAATTTCTCATTGCAAAACTTTGTAGATGTATCATTGGTGTCTACAATGAAGCATCATGTCATACCCAAAGATAAAGAATATTATTTTAAGTACTTTGCACCCTGGAACTTAGATGTCAGTATTTGTCTCAATTCCATAATTTGACTGAATCCTAGTAGTTTAAAAAACCATTTCTGTATAAAGACATTACTGAGCAAACCATAATTCTTTTTAATTATTATTATTATTATTATTATTAAAAGAGGTGAAAGATGGAGACATCATGTGATGTGCTTATGAAATGTGTTTGGTGCTGGCAAAAATATAGTTAAGGTAACATTGCATGAGTGAGTAAAGTACCTATGCAGCTAAATTCATCAACAAAAGTGTGATCCTTGAGGCTAGAATCATCCACGAAAGGATTCATTGAAGTCAAAGCGTACCCATGAATTTCATCATAAATCCTACGCTGGATGGGATCACTGAGCACCTGCACTGTAATAGTCAATTTCCAATAAAAGCACAGAACAAAACTTCAATAACACTTTCTCCGAAGCTTAAAATATAAAAAATTCAATGGAACCAACCGTGTAGATTTCATTGATGAACATGCAGAAATTTGTAGTCTCGGGATCATTGTTTCCACTCAAGTCCGGGTGGCATGCTTTCATGCAATTATAGTATGCCTTCTTGATCTGCTCAGGTGTGGCATCTGGAAGCTAGTAAAATGGACCAACTAATTATTATACATATACTATTAACATAAATCTTATAATCATTCATAAGATTCATTGAACTTAAAGGGTCTAAAAACTATATTTCCCTATAGGCAAAAAATGATTGCTGAAAGCTCAAAAATTTGAGATTCTCTCAACTCACAAAATTTTCCGACTTACATGTGTGAATATTTTTAGCACAAAGTAAACAAAAGGAAATCAGAGTTTGATGCATCACCAGTCCCAGAACTGAATAATAGTCATCCGCAACTGTCTCAGTAGGAGAAACCGAATCTTCAGCTGTAACTCTAACTCTGCCACAGCTTCTTCGCTTACCACTGTGTGTCACAAAGGTACAAGGAGGACTTGCAGACTTCACCAGGATACGCCATGAGTTTCTTGAACACAAATTCAATGACGGGTTATGGATTTTGAGAGCCTCCATGCACACTGGAGACAATAACTGAGCCATAGTTCTGAAACCAATTCCAGTGAAAAGAATCTCGTTACAAACACTATGGGAATTTGGGTTGTTGCAGTTGTAAAATACTGGACACAATCTCAACCATAATAATAATAATAATAATATTGTTGTAAAAATAAAAATTAAACAAGGACCATTAATGCAAAAACTGCACCTTGGCAATTAATTTGGTACAGCTGCTGATCCTTTTCCACAGGATGCTGAAATTGAGCAGAAAATTATTTCTTATATGAAAAAATTACTAATACAGTTTATTGGAAAATTGTGTATTTAGAATTTTTGAGGAGAAAGAAATTTTGGTGAGAAGGGAAAATTGTGGATGCTGACATGGCACTCTCACAGCCACAAGACACCCTTAGAATCTGAAGGAACCTTAGATGAATCTAGCAGACTCGCAAGTACGAAATAGGAGGCAATGGGCTTTTTTAATTTGGGTCGGCCAGCGCATTTGGATAATCCATTTCAGGTAGGTCCAATTACAAATTTAATTTGTAATCTGTTACATAAAGCTTAAGTCGATAAATAAACACTAATTAATTGATACTTAAAATAAATATTATATTAAATAAAAATAGTAATAAATTTTAAAAATTAATAATTATAATTATTAATTATTATATTGGTCTGCATCAAGTTGGATCAAATCACGGCGCAGTTAAATGTTAAATTCGACAAAAATCAATTTTATTATTTGAAGTTTATTAATTTAGTCCAAATATTTTGTCTAATTATTCATGCCAACCATGGAGCTAGCCCATTTTAACACCAGTGATATCGTGCACGCTTGGTGTTTGCTCTTCTTCTAGATTCCACACCTGTTTTATTGCTTCAAGCAAACGGTAGCTTGCAACCGATATTTGACTGCAGCATTGGAATTTTGCACAAGACAACAGCACAGATTTCTTATTTGAAGTGGAAACTTGTTTGCTAGAAAGCTATTTCATTGTTCAATTATGAGGAAAATTTGCTGTCCTAGAGCCATCGTATAGTTTGTGCAATTTCACCCTTTAAATTTTGAAATGGTTCGTTCTTTCTTATCTATCAATTGTAAATTATTTTATTGTCGCATTAATGACATTTAAGAAGTTAACGTGACTTATGACAATATTATATAGCATTGATGCCTGTTGGAGATGGATTTATGTTTTAATTTATAAATTTAAAATTATAATTTTTTTTAACTTGTTTATATTATATGATAATATGTTAAATAAAAATCTTAGAATTCAATTTACTTTATGTATTATTCAAACATAAAATAAAAATTTTATTCCGTTCCATCGTAATATAACTAAACAATGAAATAAAATTTTTATTTCATTATATTTTACTTTACTCTATTTTATTTTAATTTATTTGATTTTACTCCATATTTTTTTATAAAAGAAATATTTTATTGATTAAATTTAAATATAAAAATATTTAAAATATATTTTGTGCTGCATTTTACTTTTAATTCATAGCTTTTTTTGTCACATTAGTGACAGTTTCATCTCTATTCTAGATAAAATTATTGTTTTATTTTTAATTAATCAATTTCATTTAAAAAGTAAACAAAATTCTCCTAAATTACATTGCCTTTAAGCTTCAAAGTGACATGTGATTCAATGAGATGATTTCGTCTTACACAATATATTTTGTTTTGCTTAACGTGCTTTTAATTTTGTGTTATGTCAAACGAAATCATTTGATTGATCCATGTGTGACATGAAGTTTAAAGACAGTATAATTTTTTAATTATTTTCTTTTGTTTTATATGTGGACAAAACTATTTACACGTGTCATATTATCAGAATTTTATCTTTTTTTAGATGAAATTAGTTAATTAAAAAAATAATTTCATTTAGACTAAAAATAAAACTATTGCTGACATGGTAGAAAAAGGTTTTAGACAGAAAACTATTTTTTATTATTTTAATTTAGGAATTTTTTTAAATTTGTATTAAATAAATAAATAAATGTTGGATTTTGTTTATGTGCCGTGATTGACCGTACTTTTAGTTGTCTTCATCATTCCTTGTTATTCATTCTGCGAGATTTTGATACAAAGTCCAAGTTATTATATTATAAAATAATCCCATTTATTCATAAATAAATTATTCAACGTTAAAATTATCTTTGTTTGTTAAATTGTATCTAATAAAAATTAAACTATATATTAATAAAATTATTGATTAATATAATATACTATGTTGTTAATAAAAAATAATAATATTTATGCTAATAATTTATTTTTTTAGATAAAAGTTATATCGATAAAGACAACATTAATGCTTGAAAGTTTTAGTTTGGCATCATTTACCGTTTGTTGTTTTTATTTTTAACTAAAAACAAAAATGAAACTTATCACATTTATTTCACTGAGCAGATTGATCCTTTTCTTTCCCATTTGACGCAATAGGATGCATCATTTTCTGACATCGCAATAAAGAAATGAACATATTAACTTAAATTAAAGCCAATCAAAGAACATTTGAATAAATTAGGCTAAAATATTTAAATTAATTCAACCTCAAAATTCAATGTTCAAGCTTCATACTTTAACAGAGATATGTATCAGAACAAATAGATCATATTGTCAAATCACTTTTTTATGTCAAGAGGGTTAACTTCAAAGTTAACCCGCCTAATTTACAACACTCAAATCCATAATTTATTTTTGAAGAACTTATGAAACTGATCTATTCCCACAACAAAACGAATCATTGAACATAATGAATTACTCATCTGAACTTGTATTTTTAAAGTATGTTAACCACTTTTTAGTGATTAATGGCAAACAACAGAGCTAAGTTCATTATTTAATTGTCTTGTCATGTATCCAAGACTAGCGAAACCACTACATTCCGTGAAATGCATTATGTAAGGATAAGTGGGCTCATGTTCTTAATTAAACAATAACCACTTGTATAATTAACTGAGATTCAAATTTGGATGACCATTTAGACTCCTTACAATGGTAAGTTCACTATAATGAACTACTAATAAAGATATATTCCTAATAAAGTGGTTGTCATTGACAACCCATGATTCTTCAACCATCTAATTATCACAACTGGAAATAAATCAGGTTATGAGTGAACCCCCGTTGGCACAATCCTAGAATTGTAAATAGACAAAATAAAGAAACAAACCAAACAATTTTAGACGTATCTCGTTTGTTGGACCAGTTAGATGATCGTTGGAAATTGAGAATGTTCACTTTCAGCAGATTGGTAGACCAAGTTTGAAACGATATCTAATTATGGCAAATATGAGAAAGCAGATTGGTACATTAATTTATGATGGAATTTTTAATCCAACAAATTACCTTTTTTACTTACATGGCAAGACGTCGTTGATTTGTGGAAGATGCTTCGTAAGTACACATCAATTATTAATACTTCCTGTCTTGTTTTATATCATATGGAAGATATGTAAATATGTTTTCAATTATTTTATATCATCGTCAAAGTTAATGTTTGGATTAGACGGAGGAAAGAGGAATTTAAGAGAGAATTTTTGTAATCTGACATTACTTTTTGATGTAGATGGCAAGTCTTTGTTCAGTGGAACATGCTTCACAAGTCCACATCCATTATTACTTTTTGGTCCTATTTCATATCATAAAAGAAGGACTCACACGAACATGCTTCACGAGTCCACATCAATTATACTAATAAAAAGAAAACGTCCACGTCAATCCAACCTAGCTAGAATAATATTCTGAAATTTTTACTCTACCAAATTTCTTATCCAACTTCCATCACTGCTTATATAAATGTTTATACTTTTCTTTAACCTTGTTTAAACTTTAAATTGTTTCTGTACTGAAGGATGAATCGCGAACTGAAACAAATTAATGAGTTGAAAATGCAATTAGTTGCATGATCTCTGGAAACGAACCCGTATATCTTCACTAGCTTGCTGTTCATATGCAGGTTTTTAGAGGGTAGTAATAATATTTTTGTATAATCTTTCTTGTGTTAGTGCATCTCTCTCATCTATATATTAATTAGCATCCATAAAGTATTAATTACATGATACAAGTATATTAAACAATGGGATAAGAGGCATCCATGGCTATGCCACATAAACCTTCCTTGGCATGGATGGCTCTCTGGATCCTTATGTACCCTTTTTCACCCCATTTATCACCCCACGAATTCTTCACTATCCAATACTTAGTGCCATCGTTAGTAACCCCATAACCAACGACGGCAACAGCATGATTCAAAACAGTTCCACAATCGCCTGTAAGAACCCCACTTGAATAAAATTGGAAGTCAACTGATCCTGCATCAATGACAACAGAAACTGGTTGATGGGCAACAGCTAACAATAGTGACTCTTCCTTATTAGGAGGAACTTTCTCGTAGCCAATGATATGAGCTACAGGGGAATCTTCCTTTTCTGTGTTACAAGTCCCATTACTTGCTGTGGCCGGATAGTTTGCTTCACTGGTGATTCCATGTTTTATTATGAATTCAAATCCATCTTCTATGGTGCCACCACCCTCACAACCTTTTCTACCACAATCCACTAATTCTTGCTCTGAGAGTGACACTAATTTACCTGTTCTGATTTCGTGAATACCTTCCGTCGCTGCCACAGATGAAAATGCCCAGCTACTACCTGATTTTACATACAAATTCATCAAACATAACCCAGGTTGTCGCTATATCTTTATTTTTTACATTTGGGTTAGTTTATTTTATTGGTAAATAATTGTATAAATTAAATATATTTTTATTTTAAAGTATGGTAAATTTTATTGTAATCCCTAATTATTTAAATGTGATTTGTTTCTAGCTTTTAAAATACTTAAATATAGTTTAAATTTTTATAACTATTATTAAATTTGATTTTAGTCGTGTAATTTTTTTATTAATTTTAGTTTTAAAAATAATTTTCATTATCATTTTATGACAAGTCTGGTGACGTGGCATGTGGCATGCATAACAATTATTATTATTTTAAAATTTTATTAACAACAAATTTAGCCATATTTACAAACACTATATATTTTAAAACTATTGAAGAACTGAATATTAAATAATTTTACAAAATAAATTTGTATATATATATATATATATATATATATATTATTATTTTTGGCTCACCACATGGGTCTTCACTCTTGATTGGGGTAACAGCTCCTCTTTTCCTCTAGTCTATGGCAGCAGGAACAGCAGTAACACTCCCATACCTAAATAATGTTTCACTGCTTCGTCCCAGATCATGAATCCTCTTATACCCATTACGTGAAGCCTTGAATTCCTCGTTAGTTTGATCAGCGAATTGATTGATCCTAAGCTTGTATTGTTTGTTCCCAGCAGCATTAAATGATTCGATAAACTCCACATTGTTCCTAAATATCTGAAAACGTTTTTCCTTCTCTGCAGCATCCTTATACGTTTTACCATATTTTTCCATCCATTGTTCATACCTTTCTGTTCCTGACAAATATGAAGCATTTAGTTTGAGGGGCATTACTTGGGAAGACCAAACCGTGACAACGAGCAAGAGCACTAAAATGCACTGGTTTCTACCTCTACATGCCATCTTCTAATTTCTTAGTGTTAATAAAATAGAATATAATGAACTTTTCATCCAAAGGTAATGCCATGAACTTGGATATGCATGGCTAGTTTATATTTGTATATATAATTGCTTTTCTGATTGAGGAGGAGCATTGTTTTGGTTAATTGCACTTTTCGTGCAGTATGCGTTGCTGTGATTTGAAATCAAAACCAATCATGCAAGTTTTTATCATTTTCTCTCTGACCCTTTTTACGATGGGAACAAAAGAGAGGCGAACTTCAAGTGGAGTTTGAGTCTTCCTCTACTTTAAGTTTCCAGCTATACAAAATAAATAAATAAAAATTCAAACAAATTATAGTAATTTTCATGAAAGTGTATATTATGACTCCAAAATATCGGTTGTCATTCTTCATTGAAGAAATTTATATTTAAGTATCATTAATATTCATTTAATTGAAAAAAGGATATTTCATATAAAAACTATTTAAAAATGAGTGACACTAAACATTTTGTAGTAATAATAGACTCACTGAATTTTCATAGATAAATTTTGTTAATTTAAAAATAGCACATTTTAAAATTTGTTTTAGATTTAGATAAACATTGAAATTGTCTCCATCGTAGCACATTGGCCTTGGTCTTCCTCCAGTCCATGCTTGCAGGAATGATAGTAACGTTTTCATATTGAAATGATGTTATTGTTGTAGTCTTTCTCAGCTCGTGTGACCTCTCTAATCCATTAGGGGAAGCCTTAATTTCCACGTTGGCAATGTCAATTAGGTGATTAACCCTAATTCTTAATTTTACTCAATAATCTAAAATTTATTAGAAATTGTAAATTTATCTTGATTGCACTCTTTATTTAATAATTTTATTTTAAATTTAATAATTAATTCTCATATTTTTATAATATTAAATAAATTTTAATAAATATATAAATGTGTAATAAAAAATATAAATTATTACCACTCCCCTTTTTCTACATCCAACTAGATAGATTATTGTGTTGTGGGTGTGTATATATATATATATAATTAATTCTTCACAAATACATATACTCCTCTTAATAACAATAATTATAAATGATTAGATTTTTCCTGACTTACACTTTTTAAAATTAAAAATAAGAGTTACAATCTAAAAAAATTAACTGTGAAGAAGTACGTACTACAAATAAAAAAACGTGCGCTTATATAATTTTCAGCCAGCACTTATTGGACCCTTGGCCCAATCCATTTCCTCCAACTGACCACAATATCTACCTCCGTACAACGTATGTCTCAATAGAAAACAGAAAAATTGTGTACACAAATATGTTAGTCATTTAATATAAACCTAGTCTAAAAGGCTTGATTGTGTTTTTCATCTGATTAATTTAAATTCTGTATTTAATATTTTATTTATTTATTTTTATTTTTCTATTAAGTAAATTTGATTTTTATCAAAAAATTTAAATTCTCATTTTCTATCTAAAAATGTAAGGATTTATGGTAAAAATTGGGATATAAAAAACTTTTAAATAAAAATTCAGTTATAATTTGGTAAAATATTTTAAAAAATTATTGAATGAGATTTGAGTTTAAAGATAAGATAAGCGGCTTTGATATTTTATGTGAAATTGATCGATTATTTTTTAATAAAAGAATGTTGAAAATTTTAAATCAATTCAGCTTTTAAAGATTTGAAATGAAACATAAAATTTACTCAATTTTAAAAGTAAAAACCTATAAATATTAAAAGGATATTACGTATAATTTAAACAAAAGAATTCAAAAATACAGTTTAACTGAGAATAAATCATTCCTATTCTCATCGTTGCCTTGCGTCTTACGAACTTCTTGGACTGATTCTTTTCCTCGTGTCCAAAATCTTGTGATCCTTTCGCCTAAAGATTTGCAGGGTCAATATCGTATCGTAGGTAATGTCCAATTTTTCCTTTTTTGGGTGGGGGAGGGAAATGCAAGAGCTTCTAGAGTCTAGAGGATTGAACAATCAAAAGGAAATTTTGGTTTGGAACGAGATGATCATAAACTTAACTACGTCAATATGATTACAAAAAAGCAAGCCAAGCAAGCCAATCTAGCTCCTATCATTTCGAACTCTAGCATTAAAAGGAACAAGATTCAAAACTGACTCGCGTGCAAAATCCACACCCGGTCTCCCTCCTTCCTTGGAACCAAAAAGAGGAAAAAACTCTAGCATTCTAAAATTTGACTAAAGAAAAAACGTCAGATGCAAGGAACAATTATGCTTTAACTAGAATGAAATATTAGACATCATCAACATTTCCGGGTTACAGTGTATCCAGTACATGTATATATCTTCACAAGGGGAGAAAAACTGCATATTTAGGCCTGAATCCTGTTCTATTGACCACAAGCAGGCCATCATGTGTTTCATACTAATCACTAGAACGGTTGACTCTATGTTTCACTATCTCTTTACATTTGAGTGCCAGCCGGATATGGTAAGCCAAGACCAGTTTGCCGCCTCACGTGCTCCGGGATGAGTCTATAGATCAGTTCAGGAGGTGCTCCAGCTAACTGCAGTCAAAGTTTTCAATACATAATTATTAACATATATGTATATCCCATAGATTACAGTAAAAATAAGCCACAACTAAATAACTACATCGAGGACAACAAAGAATTACAGAATCCATTTTACCATTATTAACTGATGTTCAGTACACTCATGAGTATGAACATCGAGCAGTGCAATTTCTGTTTTGTGCTATACCATATGTATGTATTGTCCACCAATTCTAGTGTTAGATACAGTTCACAATTTTTATTTATAGGATTTTTTACACTAAATGTACTACACACCATTCAAAAGACATGGTGCATTGATAAAAACCCATGTTGACCAAGAAACAATGCAAAAGTCTTACATATCAGATCTAAATATAAGAAACCAATTAGATACATACTTCCTGTTTAAAGTTGAAAAGTGGAGGCAGTGGACGACCATTAGGTAGCCGGACATTGGGCTCTCGGAGATCATCAAAGAAAGGATGTGCCAATGCTTCCAGCTGAAAAATAGAAGCCACTAGTGAAAACTATGCTGATTAAGAAAATATTTTATAATAGTATGTAAACAATGAGCATAATGAAACATTGTTGGAAAAATACTTAATCATAGAAATTGACAGCAATCGTACTAAAAAAACACTCAGCAAGAAATAAAGGCACTTCTTAGGTTAATGTAAGTAGTTTTCATATCAAGGCTCGATGTTTTAACTTTTAATAAACTAATGCTTCTGCCAAATATGTGCCTTAAAAGGAAGACAGTGAAGGAGGTACAAGGGTTTGCCCCACTTACTGCACTGCAACGAAGACTTGGTGAATATTGGAGAAGCCTTGATGCAAGGTCAATAGCTTCAGGAGGCATTCGCTTGTGAAAAACCTGAACCATGGATCATTGCGTCAAATGCATTAATCACCCATGAAAAGAAGGCACCCAGAAAAACCGTTGATATAAAGCAAAAGAACTGATGAGGAATGCAGCTACCTTATGCCAAGGATGAGCTTTGATTTGGGGGAATCTGAAATCTGTATAATTAGGATTCATGCAGCGAATTTCTTCTCGAGTAGGGGTACCAAGAACCTACAAGAAAAGACCATAATTATCTCTCTGTAACTAGATTAATGAACCCAGGGTGACATCAATGAAGACAATGCATCACCTTGATAATTTCCACAAGTTGGTCAACCTGATTTTCTCCTGGGAACAATGGCTAAAGAAACATTTTGAAACTATGAGAAATCAAGATAACATTTGTCATAAACGAAAAGAAAAATTTGTCATGTATGAGCAACATTAGTGCATAGATTATCTAAAATTTTAACAACCTGGCCTAGAAGTAGTTCTGCAAGGACACAACCAGCTGACCAGATATCAATAGATGTTGTGTATTCTGTCGCACCAAATATTAGTTCTGGGGCTCGATAGTACCGCGAACATATGTAAGAAATGTTTGATTCACCCTGGACCTGATATGAAATGAATTATTAAAATATACCTTATTTTTATGATCAAATAACTGTAACCAAATTAGCATGTGATTTCAATCAATAACCATTCTTTAATTTATTGAATAAAGAATAGACTGAGGTCCAAATTATAGCAACATTTAACATTTTAATGGCTATTTACTAAAAATGTTATCATCACTATACAACATTAAAATTAAACTTGTGAAGTGATCTTAAATGAGCTTATCCAATTCTATGATCTGAGTAGGTAGCATATGACTTAAGTAGCCTACCATTAACATAGTAACATACATGTATAAAGTAATGAAATGCACAAAAAGAATGCAGCCCAACATACCAGAACTTTGGCACTCCCAAAATCACAAAGCTTGACTTGGTGAGTGAGAGGATCAACCTACAGAACAAATATACAGTAGGCTTAGGATAAATGAATGCAACTCCCAGTGGAAAAATAGCAAATGAATAACTTACCAAAAGATTTTGAGGCTTCACATCCCTATGGCAAACTCCGGGTACAGAATGGATATATGCTAGTCCCCTAAAGATCTGAACATCACATCCCAACTCAATCATTACAAGATCTCAAAAGAAAAAGTGAGGAAAAGGAACAATAAATCAAACCAAATTGTAAACAAAGAAAACCTCATACTTGATATGTATATAATTTCACATAGATTAGGGGAATTCTCTGGTTCATACTACTGTAGTGCTTTATAACTCGGTACATCGTCTCGGGGACATATTCCATTACCAAGTTCAGAAAAAGTTCATCTCTGCTTGTTGTAGAGAAGAAACAATGCTTCAGAGAAATTACATTTGGGTGATCCATCAAGCGCATTAACTGCAGTTCACGATTTTTGTACCGCCTGTCCTGCAAGACCTTCTTTATAGCCACTGCTTCTCCAGTTTCCAAGCACTTTGCCTTTTTTTTAAGGTCAAAACCCAGGGGTGAGAAGCAATATGAGATACTTGACAGCAGGGAAAGCTGAGTGGGAACAGTTATCACCTCAAGAGTTTATTACTACACTTATTCTTACCTGGAAAACAATTCCAAATGATCCAGTACCAACAACACGTTCGGCCATGTAACTGATGGTCTGCAAGTGTTATTAGAGCACAAATTTATGAAGAATAAAAGAAATGGAAAAACCCATGGATGTATCATCAAACTCAAGAATTCAAGTTTATTGAACCATCATTGTAATATATCAAAATTCTTCAAAACTGTACCTTTTAAGGCCCAAAAGTGGGAAACCAAAAAAATTCAATTGGCAGAAGGGGGAGAGAAAATAATTTGAAAAAAAAAACAATTAAGTTGGATTAAGTGAGGAAATAAGCCAACAATTTGGCAAATACTACGATTATATCGTTTGATGTATCTTAATAAAAAAGTTTACTATACCAAAAAGGAAATAATCTATGGCATAAAATGTTTTTTCCCCTTAAAATTAAAGTTGAGAAAGGTTAGAACACGCCCGCACTCGTTTAGGTTCGCCATTTTTGCCTCCAATTGTGGTTGAGATTATGTGACCAGTGACTGCATCATTACCATCAGCAACAGGAGCGGACATTTCCTGCAATTTTTAGCAATAAATAGATACTTAATGTGGTAAACCAACTCTCCGAGTACAGAAAGAGAACGTCAGACTCTGCTTTATACAATATCTTGGACTGCTTATAGTGTTATTTCAATTAACTTTATCTTAATAGCAAGTATCATCATTAATTTGGTCTAAAAACGTTTAATTATCATGGCAACGTCATATGCCATTCAGGTATCAGATGCACAACTCGGCCGTGATACTAATGGACATGCATACAAAGTTACATAAACCGCAATTCAGCACCCAATACTTTGGACACCTACTCCTATGCTGCATGTTAAGATGATATGTTGCAAGTTTAAGGGCGAAAAAACCTGTAGTATCTCTGAATCCTTCATTGATTAGAAGTTTTATATGATATGAGAAACACACAGCAATGAAACATAAACAGCAGACACGGATAGATAGCCACCAAACAATATGCGAAGTTGAGGATAGGTGAAGTGTAAAGAGCTCAAAGACATATGGTATATGCACAGACAAAGCTAAATCAGGTTACCACGGTCCACAAGAAAGCATCACATGCCAAAGAAAAGCTATAAAATCAATTAGGAGACAATACAGACAGAGAATCTGAGGACAATAATTCCCAGAAGCAAGCTAAAACCGTTTTGACAACAATCCACCAACAAATAAAGGAATCCCCATTTTAAGCAAGGAACGCAAGCTTAAAATAGAAACTCTACCAAAAATCATACGGCAAATAAATAGAGCCAACTTTAAAACAAAATCCCCAATTTCGCTAAAGTTATTTTAATTTCACAGTAAATGACATATTAAGTGCAAGCAACCAGGACTCTTATGAATAATAAAAAATAGAAACAAATATGGGAGATAAATTTTGAAATATTCCAACCCCCATAAAGTGTCAGTGGAACTGGGAAAAGAAAAAACCCAGCAAGAGAAAGAATCTGAGGGATGAGAAACAGGTGAACACAAACTGAAGACTAAGCCAATTTGAAGTTCAGCTAAGTACTTAGCCAGATTCTTTCTCTCTCTAGTGTGTTTGAAGGAATGAAAAGCCCAAATTAAAGAACAGGATTCCACATTTTCACTTCACTGGATTCCCTTTCTCTTTTCTGGACCACCAAACCGAAAGCTCCACATACTTCAATTTTTCAACACTAAAGATCTCAACCATAAACCCACAAATAAAATAAAATAAAACAAAAACATGTTGTCTAAGCTTCCAAAATTTACAATTCCACAAGAAGAAAAAAGAAAAAAAAGAAGCATCATTCCTTCAGGACAAAGGTAAAACCACCATGACCTTCACCGGAGAAATCTCCAGAGAGGAAAGCCGGGTCACCGAACAAGGAAAAAAATGCCGGAAATTCACAGATCGCCCCAGGCTAGGCTCAAACCAAGGCCTGTTCGGTGGATCAACGACGATCCGAGCACGGTGAACGGTGGTTGAGAACAGTGCTTTGGGTGCAATGAGAGAACAGCTGAGTGCGGAAATCACCTTATCTGTGGTCGAGTCGGAGCCACGGCGACCGTCCACCTTCATCGGGTCATTCTCTGCTTGCGGCAGTTGTTGCTGTTGCTGATGCGGCGGAGCTGCTACTTGCGGTGGTTGAAGGTGGTGCGGCCCCAACGGCATAGAGGCCATGTGAGAAACTACACACACAAACACACTCCCTCTCTCTCTCTCTCTCTCTCTAACACACACACTCTTTCCTCTCTCTAGTTTCTCTCTCCTTTGTGTTTCAAGGGAATAGTGGCTTGGGTCCGGGTCCAGGCTTTGTACTAGATAAAGGGTAGGGGATGTAGTGAGAGAGAAGGTGTTTCTACTTGTATTCTCATCACACCTATTTCAAAGATTGATTTGCACGTCTGGATCATAGCCGTTGGATGGTTGTCTTGTGTTGGTAACCGACGACGAGATGTGTGATCTGGTGTGACAGGGTGTACGGGGAAATATACTCCATTGGCTTACGTGGCAGGGCGACAAGGATCACATGGAACATCCAATGTTGCATTTACGGGAAATACGTATTCGAAAATAGTAACGTTGACGTAAGGGTAACATATAATACTCAAGTTCAATACTCTACTCCTTTGTTAACAGCGTGCTTCATTGACATTAAATCTCTTCAAATGTGTACCTGTTTCAACATTATAAGTATAATTTTCATAGTAAAATATAATTTTACAGGATTTTGTGAAGTTTCTAATCGTACACTAAGTCAGTGTTCTACATGGTGACTCAGCTTGGTTTATTGAGTTGGAGTTATAATAATAATAATAATTTTAATAATTAATTTTATAAAATTTCATATTCAAGTTTTATGTATAAGTGTGTATTTGATTTAATTTAATTTTAAAAATAATTTATTACTTATTTTTTAGAAAAAATAGCTATTATTCTCATAAATGATAAAATAATATAACTATTCTGAGTAGTAAAAAAACTATTAAATATGAGTTTATTTTTTAGAATAACAATAATGTAACAGTAGATGCATTTATGGATGAAAATAAGTGTAAAGATAATAAATAAAAAATATAAATAAAGGCCAAAATGTAACAAACAAATCAAAAACTTGAATAATTTAAATGCATAACCGCCAATAGAAGATTCAAGATGAAGAAAGCTAGCGGTATTGCGGCATAAACTACTCATATTTAAGGCACGAAAAAAAAAAAGTAAAAAATTTTTAGTAAATGCATGTTAACAATTTGGGAGAATGAAAATGTAAATGCACGAATAAAATGACCAAAAACATAGGAAGCATAAAAGCATGTTGTGAATGTCATTAACATAATTTTAAAAGAAAAATTATATTAATTAATTTTATTTTTTTAAAAAGTGATTATTTATTTTTAATAAAATAAAATAAAATAGTTAGTATTAACAAATTTTAAAAATTATATTTAACTTAAAAAATGAGAAATTAAACGTTACTATGATTAAATAAATACTAAATTTTATTTTTTATTTTAGATAAATACCAAGTTTTATTTTCTTTATTTAAGTCTACGACCTATTTGACTGTTATTTATTTTTATTAAAATTTAAATTTTGACTAGTATTTTTATTTTTATTTTTTTTGTCAAAATCTAAAATTTAACTAATTCTTTTTACTTTTTTCTAAGTTTTGAATTTGTGTCGTTTATATATTTATGTCAAGAGTTCAAAATTTAGTAGTTTATTTATTTATTTATATTATTAAAATTTAAAAATTTATTTATTTATTTAACTTTTAATAACATCTTTACCTTTAGCTGATAACATTTTTATCGTTTTTCAAAAAGTATAAAACTTAACTAATTTTTTTTATTTTTACATCAAAATTTATAAGCTAACTTATTATTTTATATTTGGTTAAAGTTTAGAATTTGATTGACTTTTTTTTTCTTTTTTATTTTAATCATATTTTAGAAGTTAATTAACTCTTTTACAATTTTTGTCAAAAGTTTATAACACTGCCAATTCTCTTTACTTTACTTGTAGGTTAAAATCTACAATTTAATTGACCTTTTTATATTTTTATTAAAGTCTAGTATTTGTCTCAATTTTTATTTTCAATCTCCATTTTGTTTGATGTCTTTCATTTTTAGTGTAAGGCAAGTATTTATCTAGCATCTTTATTTTAAATCTAAGTCCAATATTTACATGACAACCTTTATTTTAATCAAAGTTTGGTTTCTACTTAATATTTTTTATTATTTGTCTAACACAATCTATTACATAGTTCTAATGTTTATTTTACATTATTTTTAAATATTTTGTTCAAAAATCATCACATATTTGACAATCTTTTACACTTTATTTTTTTCCTTTTTTTTCTTATGCTGTTTTTCTCATAATTGAGCACTCACCATATTTATTTTTGATATTTTATGTATTTTATCCGTTTTAGACAAAAATCAATTCACTTCTTTACTCAATTCTTATCATTATATACATCTTTATATATATTATTTAATAAAAACTAAGTAAAAGAATCAATTGTAAATACTAATTTTTTGTCTAAATATTTTTTTAAAAAGGTAATATAATTTTGTTTTACCAAAAATGAAAAGTAATAATTTATTTTTAATAAAATAAAAAATTGGTCTTAGAAAATTTTAAAAAATAAATTTATCTTTTCAAAAATGAGAAATTAAGTATTATGAGAATAAAATCAGATTAAAGTACCAAGTTTTTTACACCAAAAAGGAAAAGATTAAAAAATTTGACCTCTAATAAGAGAACCTCAGAAGCAAAAATTGAGTCAAAGAATAGAAAAAAAATAAAAAGAGAGTATATAACATTATCTTAAAGCCTAAAAATTTAAGTAAGTTCTTCTCTTGTATCAAATCAAATAAAATTTGTTTTTGATTTTCATTAACTAGTGTTTGGACTCATTTATGTATTTTTTATGCAATAGTTACATTGTCCAAGTATATATGAAACTAAATTTGCCAAATAACATAATTATTTTTCCTAAATTAACCTTTGAAATATAATAAAATAATAAAGATCATGAACCAAGAAAAAAAGAATATTCAAACTTTAACTAATCTTTTTTTTTTGTCCTTTTGAGTTATGGTGTCTTTATTAAAGTTGTTACTGAGTTACTGAATTACTGAGTTACCCTCATTCATCATAAGTTATGTCATTTTTAACATTTTCTTTACCTTTAATTACTACAAGTCGCATCTTTCTTGTTATTAATATTTTTCTAGAGGCGAATAAAAAATATTGACTCGATTAAAATTAGCTTATCCAAAGCAATAACATATCATGATGGATGAGTTAGATCGATTATCGAGATTATTTGATAAAAAAAAACAATTTAAAATAATTAAATTTAATTAAAAATGAGTTTTAAAAATTTATGTTGTCAGTGTCCAATCTGACAGAGAATGACACCTTTCAATCTCACATCATATTTTATCTTTTTTTACTTATGTTGTCTATAGCCACTACAATGTTGCACCTCTTTTACACTCACATCTAATCTCTTACATATTCGAGAAAGATCAAAATACATATTTTTACAAAATAATCTTTTTATTTCTTTATTAAATATTTATTATTAATATTTACAACATTAACTCTTTAAAATTTTATAAAATCTAGAAATACTTATATAATATATTTTAATTATTTATTTTAAAAGTTAATTAATGATATTATAAAATTATTTATTTTATTTTTATCTGATTTATTTATTTTATTAAGTTGATGTGTTTATTATTTTCTTCTTAATAAATATATATTTATTTAGTAGTAATGTGATTTTATTATATTTAATCTTTATAAAATTTTAGAAGAATCGTATTGAAAGGGTCTCACTTTAAAACACTTCAAAATCTCAAGTGATTGATTTCTTAAATTTGATTTCTTTAAAATAAAGAGGTTATAATAATAATAATAATAATAAAATGAGTTTGTACTTAGTTTAATTATAGTTATTAATTAAAATTATAATAATTTTATAATTTTTTATAAATGTATAAATAATTTATCATAATTTTAATTATTTTTTAATTAATGACTGTACTTATATTTTATTTAAAATATAATAATTTATACTACAAAAAAGATAAATTTAATCTCTCATTTAATATATAAAAAAGACTCTAAATATTATATATAAATTTATAATCATTTATAATTTTGAAATCCACTTTTCCTTCATATTCTAGTTGAAATTTATTATTTGAAATTTGTGGAATAACAGAAACAAAGAGATTTTTCTTTAATAATAAATTTTTTCTCTAGAAACTTAAATTTGATTTTGATTTCCTTATCTTCTGTGGCAGGAATAACTATAAGGTGAGATCTAATTGGTAGGAATTGAAGCTTTAACCAAATAGCAACCTCCTATAAAAAATGCAACTTAAGTTAAACATTGATTAAACTTCATCCCAAGCTGATGGAATTACCGGATATGATGGACTCAAAATAGGCTCATTGTAGTTTTTCACAATTTTTTAGACCATTGTTCTCCATTATTGCTGAGCTCTAGGGCGTGTTTTGAGGACTATAACTTGTTGTGACAAAAAAGATTCAACTTATATGAGTTGAATGTGACTCTAATAAGGTTATTTCTCTTATAGTTAATCTTTAGAACTGTAATCACTTTCTATTTTTTATTATTAATAAAATTAGAAGATTACTTAGAGGGATTAAGTTTATCCATTTTTGTCATATTTTTAAAAAAGTTAATCAACTAGCCGACAAAAATTAGGTCTGACTATAGGTTACCTTATACTTATTTTGAGGAAGCACATTCTTCTTTATTGTCTTTTTTAAATCTAGATTGTTTAAATTTTCTAGTGCCTAAATTGTAACGTAGTTCTTTGATAGTTTTTGGACTTTTAGTCCTCTTTATAAGTAAAAAAGAATTAAAAATCTTGAAATTAAAAAAATAATTTTATATTCTAAAATTGTTTAATTAATTTTTCTCTAGAGTTACATCATTATTAACTTTTCATAACATGTAAAATTGACAAATTAAACTGTTAAATTATCTTTATTGTAATTTATATTAAATTTTATATAATCTGCACATTTGTAAGTAATTTAAAAATTCAATAATTTTTTTATATTTTAAAAATATATTATACATTAAAATAAAGTAATACAATTAAGTATTTATTTATTTTATTTTATATAAAATTTTGTAAGACTGATATATTTGAGAAGAATTTTTAAATTAATGATTAAATTAAATAATTTCATATTAAAAAATTATTAAATTATATAAGTATTTAAATTTGACGCATGATATTAATATAGAGATCAATGTTTTTTAAAGTAACTATTGTTAAAATTACTCAATTCAATAATTTTTTAAAAATAGTAAACTTTAATTAATTTAGCTGTTGAATAATATAATATTAACATGTTGATTATATTTATTAAATTTTAAATGAATTAGACATTCATTAAATTTTATTTATATTATTTTTAAAAGAAAAATTTTAACTTTAATAATTTACCAGAACCTGCAAGTCTCTTGATGACCTAAAACCAGAAAATTCACGGCTTTTATAACTAATAAATAGCATTGTATTAATTAAAAATAAATAAAAATTACGAACATTATTATTTCAAGAGATTAAAATACATTAAGAATTTAAAACCTTTCAACATAACTGTCTGCAAAAGATTTTATTTTGTAGACGATATTTGTGATTTAAAAATTTATTAAAAATATAAAAATAGAAAATAAATTAAATATAACAATAAATATAATTTTAATAAAATTCATATATTAAAATTGGCCCCTCATAGTCTTGGCCTGCCTCTGAAAGTGTCTCATTTTAATTATTTTTTAAAATGAAGTTTGTTCACATATATCTTAACGCTAATTCAACCATATCTCATAGTTACATATTTATCATTTATTATTTATTATGCTATTTCAGGCATATAGCTAAAAGAAAAGCATTTGTATTAATAGTCAAAGATTCAGTATCAATATACAAAAGCCCTCTCATTCAAAATGTACAAATTCATAAGAATGAAAATGATATACCAACATAGATCGAAAATGAAAAAGATATATCAACAAATAGAGATGTTGAATTATACTTTAAGGGATTTGGTTCCACATGATTTGGCATTCATCAGAGACTGAAAAGGGAAAAAAGATAGACACAACGCATTTGATTCAATAACTCATCCCTTGCCTTGAGTTCACAATAAATCTTGCAAAAAAAAAACACAACGAATTTTCACTCTAGTTTATGGAATGAAAATAAAGTACATTGGTTTGCTTCCAAACAAAGTTCTTTCCGAATTTGTTGAACAGATACTTCAACACATTTGCAAACTAGAAATGGGTAACTTTAAACAAACCCCAAAAAACTCAACAAAGGAAAACATCAATGGCAGTCCCGACAAAAATGAGGTCTAGGTAAGGATGATATCCTATATGTTTTAAGATACCTGCAGCTCCATTTGAGGACGAGAATGAAAGAAAGAAAGATCTCTTGAATCATGTTCAAGATGAGGATTCTATTCTTATAATGTATGCCCGTATAATACAAATCACACATTTATTCTGAATAATTATCCACGCATATTATATTTTAAAATATTTTCCTACTAATAATTCAATTTTAAAAATGAAAAAGTGTATTAAAGTCTTACACATAGGTCAATGTTCTCATCCATCGATTCATTCTCCATTCTCCATTCACCAAATTTACAGTCCAACTGTTATTTGAGCTACAAAATTAGAAAAACATGGACAAGTATCCACTAAAATGTGAGTATGATTAACAATTAGAGTAAGGTTAGGTAAATAAGGTAAATCTCCCAATTTAGGTTTTAAAATCAAATCAATGATCAAATTCACAAAATTAGTTCAATTTCCATTCCTTAGTAATTAATTAAACTCGATTTCTAGCAGGAGACTTAACTTGAGAAATGTGTTGAGTTTAAGAATTCAAGGTTACACATAATCAATTCTTATTCTTGAGCAATCAATTATTATGTTACTTATTTTACGCTTGGATTATTCACTAATTTTTCAATTACAAGACCAATCATAAAGCTACTGTATGAATGATCAATAATAGAGGCATTGAAAAACAAAGCAGGCAATCAAATTAGATTTAAAAAATTGTGAATTAAGATTGTACAGATTGAATCACGTGAGTTCAAATTAGAAATCTTGTTCTAAGTTGAGAATTCAACAAATCATAATAAAAGGAGGAGAAAAAAAATATTATAAGATTAAGATAAAATATCTTATTTTCATAGCAACTCAAAAAATATATTGAATCTTTTAAAAATATTAATTAAAACACTTATTTTTAAACTATTGGTGGGTACATGATGAAAATTGGCTGTGTAATACTTTCTCTGATTTTTTTTATAAAAAGTAAAAGAGTAAATTATCAGATTAAGAAAAATAATTATATTTTTCATAAATATAAATTTTATTCTAAAATATCTATAATATTAAATGATGTAGTTAATAATTTATATATTTAATTATAATAATAAAAATATAGAAAGAAATTTAAAAATACATCTTGAATTTATTATTTATTTTTTTATAATAAAGATTAAGAAAATTCTCTATTTTATTTTTTTATAGAAAGAATCGAAAAAAATTTAACATTAACTAAAACTCTTAATTAATGACTGATGTGACATATAAAGAAAACGGTGAATATATGAAAATATCAAATTACATTTGATTACTTAGAGCATGTACACAAGTAAACATTGTGTATTTAGTAGTATGATAGAGGCTACAACTATAAACTGGCTCTACTATAGTGTGGGCACAACAATTTATTAGTGTCCACACACTATTATTTACTATAATAGTTAATTTCATCACTTTGTTTTCTTTTTCTTCCTCAAGTACATCTCTCATGAACCAAATTATAAAATTTGATAAAAAAAATAAAAATGATGAACATCTAAACTAACCTATGTAAAAATGAATATTGAACAATCAAACTACTAGTATATATATTTTAAAAAAATTATAAAATAAAATAATATCACGTGCCCTTTAAATCCACTTAAAAAGACCTTTGTTTTTGTTTTTGTTTTTGTTTTTATTTTTGTTTTTTTTTCTGTTGCCTCAAAATTTTATAATTTTAACTTAATTATATTTTTTTTTGCCACTTGTCAATTTACAATTTTGGTTTATTAATTTGCTAATTATTATATAATTAAGACCTTCATTTGTACTCAAAATTTTTCAATTTTCAGAACTTTTAAACAATTAAAATTAAGAAAAGTAAAATTATAAGTAACAAATGATTTTTTTTTACTTAGCACAGGACGACAACAGAAAAGAAATACAATTCGCATTGAAATGATATGAAGTTAACAAAGTACGAATTGGAAAGTATTTGTAAGTTACAACTTTTGTCGTATCAATATTTTAAAATTGCTCTGCGGTATAAAATACTGCAGCAGTACCATACTAGATAACGACCTTGCAAAGCATAAACTTGTAGCAAGCCAAATCATTGCTCATATCCTTTCCTTTTTACCTTTAATCTGAGGGTGACAGAGATTTCGAATCCAATTCAAAATTATTTCGATTCATTCATTATAATCATTTAAACTAAGACAAGCAAGTCGCAACTCGTATGAACATTTTATGAACGGTGATTAAGAACATTCAAATTACCAAAAGGAATAAAGCACTAACTACATTACATGATTGCCAAAGTGTCCAAGATTATGCTTTATGAGTAAGACTCTGTAATTAAATCAACCACTCAGACAGGGGATCTATGTAATGAGAATGATTTTTTAATACACGAATAAACCAAACAAATTTAAATCGTACAATTTTATACTGATAATTAAGATTAAAAAAAGTTTTCGATCCTCATACACTTCATTTATTCAATTGCTAATAAATATGCTCTCTTGTTAGCCCCAACCCAAAAAGATGAAACTAATTATTAATTAATATAACTAATTTATTTTTAAAAAAAATCCAATGATCAATTCACAACCCTGCAATTCTTTCTGATTTCTCCACTAGTCCCAGTGAGAGGACTGATATTGCTCATCTTAACCATAGCAGCTGCAAAGTCACTGAAAAAAGCAGCATTATTGGTACTGTAAGTCCTAACCAAAGCATCTTGAGACCCACCATTGAAAAGCACTTGATCTGAGTGGAGAAGGCCACGGTTAGCCACAAGCTCTGTGTAGTAATTGTTGTCAAAACTATTAGGAGTGAGGGACTCAAGAGGGGACAAATTGGTGTCCCCACCAGATGCAGGGCAAGTGGCCCTTTTGGATGTGGCAAAGTTTGTGTCAATATTGGTCTCATTGTATATGCGGGTTCTGAAAAATTGGCACTGTGCTTTGCCTATTGTGTGGCTACCAGAGAGCACAGTGAGGTCACGTGCACTTAGGCCTTTGGCGGCGAACATGAAAGTGAGTGTTGCAAGGTCAGAGAATGGTGAAGGGATTTGGTTGTTGGCATCACTCTGGCTCGCTGTTCTTGCATCTCTTCTACCAAGAGCTACTTCCCATGAGGGTCCTCCAAGCTATGTAGCAATTGATCAATGATCATAATGAATTATTGGGTCAGCAAGGGATCAATGAGTTCAAAATAAAATTGGAAAAAACATGCACCACAAGACAAAGTTTATTGGTACTTGTATTTTTCAGGTTTTTGAAAGGGATAATAATTAGTGATTTTTCTTGAGAATGAGACAAGGTTGACACAAGACTTTGATTAAATGAACCATAGTTTTTATTTTCTCTCTTGATTATAATTTATCTTTTGTGATGTAATTTTATGCAAGATATATATTTGGATGACCCCACTAAATTACCTAGAGTTGACATGGTGATCAATTAGGTGTGGGAGGAAAAGTAAAACCCGAAAGTGGGGAACATGGTTTGAAAATAAGCCCATGCCAAAAGGCAATGTTAGGATAAAAACAAACATCAACTTAGCTAGCAACTTGTGAGAATGACTGCAGTTGGAATCTCGTAAGATTTCAATGCATTATCAATAGCAACAGGAAAAACCTAAAATTACTACATTCGCAATTTTTTTCTTAAATAATTCCTTATACATTTACCTTTTTGCACATATAAATATAATTGGTACTTTACATTGAGCGTGAAAACATTATAGATTGTTTATTAAAAAAAACTAAGTTCATTATTTGAAAATTGATGTAAAAATTGAACATTAAAGGTAAACACGTGTAAATTATATTATTTTACAATTTTTGGCCCGTCTCCTTTAATTTCAGGCCTGAAGTCATATTTCCCAGTCAAGGAATTTTATTTATTTTTTAATATATTGTTTAAACTGTTTGTGATAAGAAAGTAAATTTGTTGAGTTTTGTATTCAAAATAAAAATTTACAAACATGCCTGCACAACATAATAATAGATTTAGTGCCAACAAATAAAAAAAGAAATGGGTCATGCAAAAGAAAAAAAAAAAGAAATATAGAAATGACTTACAAGAGCTACTCCATCTCTTGCTGCAAGTGCAAGAATATCTGCACAAGAAACTGTGCCATTGCAAACAGCTTCAACATTGGTTTTAATGGTATCAATCACTTCGTAACCCCTGGCTGAATTTTGGTTAGGTAATGCATTTTTCTCACCGACAAAATTGGCAGTGTCATCCAATAATATCGATGCATCACAACCCTGAAAATTTACAAAGAAATAAAACTATGTTAATGTTACCTATCTCCATCTCCATCTCCATAATGTCAAGTTCTAACTATATTCTAGCACGTGACACTCCATTAAAAAAAGGAAAAAGAAATGATACTTTCATGCTACTTATTACTTTCTTTCTCTTTTGTACGGTGTGCATCAATTGACTGGGGTCCAATTCATATACAAAATTACAAATTATTCATTATGTGCAAGTCCTGTGCTTTTAAAAAACAAACAAAAATAGAACATTCTCCTCAAGTAGTTTCAGAATTATATACATATTTTTTAACAAATCTAAAACATTAAAAAAATTATAAGTAAAAATTAAAATTTGTAACATTTAAATAAATGCGAATTCATACCCCTTTAAACATAATTTCAAAATTACTAAGAGATTATCAAACTTAAACCTAAAATGTGTCATTTATGTTTTAAAGCAAGAACTTTAGAAGAACTAATCATGATCACCAAAAATCATATATGAATACTTATTGATTTTACTTAAATATAATCTTATTTATATTCATAAACACTCCATATAAATATAGATATAGAAGTGGGAAAGAGAATGTGATCTTACATTTACGAAGCAGTCATGAAAGAACAAGCGAAGTAGAGAGGCCCCAAGCCGGACTTCTCCGTTGATGGCTTGTGTCATTGCATTTCTCACAATGGTTTGAAGATCAGGACAAGTTTTATCATAGAAATTGGTAGAAAGTTGTGCATTGTTAGAACAAGTAAGAAGAGAAAGAATGGAGAGTGCAACAAAGAAGTGGGTACGTAATAAGGGTGTCATCTACGTAGCTATAAAGCTTTCAACCACAAATAGTGAAGAAGCCAGCCCTTTGTCTTGTGTGTTGAAATGATGAAGAAGGGTATGGAAGAGGGTATGCAATATATATAGAGGAATTGTAGTGCATGCAAAAAGAGCAAGGTAGTGATGATGGAGATAAATCTAAGAAATGTGGAAAATAGTGTCCCCAACTTTCAAACTTGACTGCTCCATACGCGTTTTACTTATTAAAGTTCTTGGGAACTACAGTGGGAAGAGAACTTGTGAGATAAAAGATGAAGATGGTTCACCATTAGAGAAGTTTGACTTAATTCCAAAGGAAAAAATTGCATTATTGAAGATGGTGAAACACAAACAAAGGGAGAAAAAAAAGGTTAAGTATGAAACTATATAGTCCTTCTGGCTGGATCATATTTCAAGTGGAAAAACATATTTCACAGTGCTAGATTTCAGCTTGAGACGACTTGGAGAATGTGCCCAGCTATTTTGTGATAATTAATTTAATTTATTCTGTTAGCCTAACCAGGTTTTAATTTAATCTTGTTTATTACCCACCTCTTGTAGCAATTAACCAAGAGTACTATACTTTGAAATGTATATGATTTTATTTTTTTCAATTCCATAGTTTTGAATTTTGAAGAATATGGGTGAAGATGTCACAAAGATCTACTATACAACGTAATTCTTTCATGGCCAGAGGTGATCAATGTTTAAATGTTAATAATAATAATAATAATAAAATACTGATGAATATCTTTTAAGTATTATTGATATACTTTTATTATGACACGATAAAAAAAATGTCATTTATTAATATATAAATGAAAAAAATTAGGTTATTAAGAATAATTTTTCTTAGTAGAATATTTGTTTAACATAAAATAAGTTAATAGTAGAAATTTTAATTTATACCAATAAACAATACCTTATACTAATATTTAATGTATTGATAATATATATTTAACATTTTTATTAACAAGATTATTTGTTGGCATGATATCATTTTGTTAGTATATATTCATAATATCTATATTAATGGTTTAGTTTTTGTTAAAAAATTATTAACAAAGAATAATTTACATTAAATTATTGATAAATTATAATTTTATAGAGCAATTTTTAATAAAAAAACTTTAACTATTAATTTTGCTGATTAACAATATTTTAATACAAATTGGATAACTTTTTTGTACATATAATTTGTGCCTCTACCTACTTTTCTATCTTTATATTCATTTATTTTTTTTTTTCTTAATGGAAGGAGATGATTGCTGTTGCTTTACACGTCAGTACTATTCAAAATAATGAAAACACATATTCTACTGAACGCAAATAATGTAGCAAAAGGGAACTCCAATCATCCCCTCTGCATAAAAGTGATTCTAATCATAACCATATCCTTTTTAGATGAAAAAAAGCAGTGATCAGTTTGACCAGTTTTTACTAGTTTATAAAGCAGCTCTGGATCTAACTTGAATTAGATTTGGTTAAGTCAAACACATCTTTGTCTTAATCAGTTATTTTGTCAAATCAAAATTAACAAGATAAATGAAATTAAAAACTTGAGTAGCTTCCACTTTTCTTAAAAATAAAGAGTTTGTTGCCACCACTTTTCAAGTGTGTCATTCATATGGAAAATATTTTTTAAAACGTTTAAAAAAGGTTGACAAAGGTATACATGGATGAAAATTCAATTATTTAATTTATACATCATCTATTTGATTTGACAAATAAATCTTAGTCCACATTTAGTGGTCAATAATTATACAGAAATGTCTTAATTGGATAAGGATAGATAATGATCGAAACTCACATCTCATGCTAGTTGTGATGGTTCGGCCAGGGGGTGTGTTCAATTGCAATTAAGACCTTTGAAAACTTAGCTTCATAAGAACTAAAAAACCATCTCAAAGTCAGAACTATGTGTTATCGTGAAATTAAAGAGATATCACCTAAATAGTCAACTGAGTTTTAGGTTGTAGACAGTCGAATAAGGCATATAATTTTCGTTATTAATGTGAGTTTGAATTATAATTTGATTTTAAAATCCTTAAATTATGAATTCAAATTTTCATTTTCGCTTTACAACACACGTCTCTGAGCATGGATGTATTCAGAAACCAAACCAAAGAAAGTATGAAAAGGCTAAAAGTGAATAAATTTCAGGGTTTACTATTGATTTGATCTCCAAAATTAATATAAAAGTATCCTGTGATAAATCATTTTAATCCTTAACATTAATGCATGTAAATCAAGATAGTCCCCATATTAATGCGTATAAGGAAGCAAATTAATCGTTCACACCAGTTTTACGATTGTCAAAGTCGTAACCAATTCTTTATTTTAATATTAGTGACCAAATTGATCAGTGGCGTAATTTTGAAGAAAAAAAATATGATTTTTTTATTTAATTTTCATCTATTTTAATTCATTTTAATCCAGATCTAATCTGTATTACGCACTCGAATGTATGAGTGAATTTATTATTAAAATTTATTTTATATATATAAAAACTTGAACTTAAGTTGTTTGCTAACTGGACTAACTTCTCTCGATATAAAATATTTTTTATTCATAAACTTTGACATAAAATATTGTATTAATAAGTCATAATAATGTAATTTATAAAAAAATCTATATATAAATTAAAAATTTTCACTTGTTTGTATTTTTATATTTTAATTTATGTTTTCTAATTTATAAAAATATTTTCTAAAATACTTTAAGATTAAGTTTTTCAGATTTTATGTAACTTTATAAATACTCATGTAATCCACAATATACTTAGTAATTTTTCTAAATTATAAAAATAAGAAAAGTTAAATATTGCTGAGATACTATAATATGTCAGGTATTTTAGTTTTCTTTTAATTATAATCGAACTTAATATAGCTTTGTTTTTTTAATGTATTTTTATTTTAAAATAAATTTTATTTCAATATTTTGGGCTTATCTTTTTTTAAGTTACATGTATCCTTTACATGATTCAATCTGGATTGATTCATCAATAACAAATTTTTCATTTTCAATATTTTAAAAAATTATATTTATTGGAATTAAAATTTAAAATTACAAATCAAACTAAAATAATCTTTTACTTTTTAACACCTACTTTAATTTTAAATAACAAATATCTCTTATTTTAATTAGAATATTAAGCGGTCTCACTTTTCAAATTTTTATCAAATTTATTCAAACATCCATTATAATTACTATATATTTCAATCAATCATTTACTTTCCTACTGTATTTCTATATATATATATTATAATTACCATATATTGAGTTTGAACAAAAAAGAGAATAAGTATTTAATTAAGTTTTCATTTAATAGTAGATTTCACATAACATAAGTGATAAAATATTTCTTTGAATATATTTTTTTCTCTTGACAATATAAATTCAAATTCGAATTAATATAGTCTTTCCTTTACATTTCTTTTAATACAAGTCTATTGATTACTTTATTTTTTAAAATTCAAAATTGGCATGCTATATTATAGGGGTGAATAGTATGGCAAAAATGAGGTACACAAATTGTTTTGTATATAACATGCAAATCAATATTCATCTAAAAAAAATCTATAAATGTTTAATAAAATCATAATTCAAATTAAAAAATGCTCTTTTTGTGTGAGTTCCTTTCCTCATTATGTTAGTAATTACAAATATCTTAATTTGTGATATATTAAAAAAATAATATATTATGAATTTAATTTTAATGCATTATCAATATAAAACATTTTATTCTATCAATCAATTCAAAAATATAGTAGATATGACTTTTAAATCAATTATGAAAAAATTGATAATTTTTATTAGTATAATACATCGTTAATAAATGACAATTTTTATTGCATTTCAATTAAATTCATATATTATTTCATATAATAATAATAATTGTTTCCTCAAATCTACTTCTGACAGGACTGATAGGTCATACTATGATATTATTGAGGGAAATATACACCTAACAGTAAAATTTTCTGAACTTCATATAAAAATAAATTTAAGAACGATGTACATGATTGTAAGATAGATAAATCTTTTACAACGATACAAGGTTTCTAAAGCTATTAATATTTATTTATTTTAATTTATTATATCTTTTTTATTTTCCCATTTATCACGCTAGTGTTAAGGTAATTAATTGTACTGTAATAGATTGTCCTTTAAACTTTAGATATACCCTACGGTCCTCACCTGAAAGTGTATCATCGCTTATTCTTTTAGCAAACCTTTTTTCTTTTCTTCTTTTTTCGTGAATAGATAAACAATATTGTATAGATTGCATTTGTAAAAGCGACATGCGAACGAAATTAAAGTGATCTAAATTTCTATGACAATGACCATTGACTTGGGAGCATAGAAATATGGATCGATGATCGATTGTGGCAAAGCAATTGTCTAAACACGGATTCTTATTCACGTACTAGAATTAGAAATGGGGTTAAATATTTGAGAATCTTACATAGATTTCGTCAATCATATTTACATATTTAACCAAACATGTACTAATGATTTCTCCCATGATACGTTTAATAGTCTTCCACTTTCTATTCTTTTGCCATAATGCGGACTAGCAGTAGCAATATATGAACCTATGCCCCAGCCAGAAAATACGAGAATCCCCCAAAGGCATGTTGAATTATTATTATTTTCATTTTTGTTTTGTTGGTCTTCAAGGATACAATAATTGAATATTGAGAACCATAATGATTAGTAAAGCACCAAACAACCAACTATAATCCGGCTTATCTTATATTGGAACTTAAATGGAGATCCTTAAGAAGAACCTTCAATCACAAAGTAAAATATAAACAAGTCTAATATTTCATCAATTGAACCATATCAAGGGCACCATTTTTTCCCCTCTTCAAAAAGGCATCATATGGTTTAAGATTACAAAGAGGCTGCAACTACCAAGCCTACAAATCTAAGTTTGGTAACCGTGTACTTATCCTTCACTTAAATGTTGATAAAGATTACATATTTGCATTAAC